GATTAAATAATGTTTATGTCTGCTATTGCCATCCATGGTTATCCAGATGGCACTTACTAGTCATTATCATAATATAAACTTATAGCTGGCCTGAGTTATGTAATGTCTTTTGTCTTGTAAATCAATCTGTACTGAACGTTTAATCCACTACGTTAAGAGCCTTATAAAATTATAACTGTACCTGAAGCCTTGTGTAAGTTCTTCTATATGACGAGTTGTTACAAGTGGTTGGCCATCTTTTACAATAATATATGGTCTGAAATAAAATTAGAATTCTCCTTTCAATATTATCCATGTCTTTAAACATTTCGTTACTTTTCAAAAATTCCTTGAATCCATTCATTACGTTTATCTGTTCCATATGCTTGACAATCTTCATCTAAACTAATGATCTGCCATATATGTGTCAAATTTGAAAATCTGGTCTGGACACAATCTGATTAAAATACAGATTCTTTTTTCGTTCGTTTTTTTTTATACTTTCAATGACCTCTACTACATGAATATCTGACAAGTTGTAGTGGGAGGTCCTGTCAGGAGTCATACAAGCGGCTGTTGACCCTGTGACATCAGACATTTGGTTACCCAGAGTTCTGTGCACCTGGATACCAAAAACTCACCGTAACAGACCATTTCATTGGGTAATCCCTTACATCATCCAGAAAGCGGTTTATATAACAACTCTTCCAGTTCCTAGTGGTCTGAACACTGCTCTTCAATCAATTTAACTTACCTTTGGACTGTCAGTGATCCCACTTCTTGCTATGGCAAATGAAAGATCAACTTGACTAAAAAAATCTAATAACCTACCTACAAACACGACCACCATCAGATGCGATGTAAACACACCGATGTCCGTGATTAGGAAATATAGAAACAAATTCGGAGATATAACCTGCTCTTCTCATCATACGAAATGTTCGAACTAATCGTTTGTAATCTCGTATAACTCCTAATATATTACCTGAAAAAAATATACACAGACATTTATTCAGTGTTGACATTTCATAATAAACTTCCGTTTCTGGTTGATTTAATCTGATTAAAACACAGATCCTATTTCGTTTCGTTTTTTATAGTTCAAAATTTCATTTTACTTGTCTTTACTACACTAGGATCTGTACGAGTTGTTATATTACTGGTGTTCTGGTTGAAGTGAGGGATTGGCCAATGAAACAATCTGTTACGGTATGCTGATTGATTAATCAATATCCGACGTCATAGGGTCAAAAGCCGTGTACAACCCCTGACACGACCGTCCAGTACAACTGGCCAGATCTTCATGTAGTGTATGTAATCGAAAGTATAAAAACCGAAACGAAATATAGATCTGTATTTTTATCAAATTGCAGTTGATTGAGATATGCATGAGAGAAGAGAAGAAGAATGTGGACAGTAATTGACATGTAATAATTGGACAAACGTGATATGAGACAGTATAATTGATAATACAAGAATAAGGCTTGATCTCGCTTTAACTACGTACATCTTATCAAAGCCTTCACGTAATACCCTTCATATTGCGGCACTAATGTCGATTGGGTACAAGCCTGGCTTGTGAGTCTATCGTATTCCCCAATCGTCGCGAATACCAAGTCTCGCAGTTTCAAGCTAAAATGTCTGTCTGTGATAATCGAGTTGTAAAGTTCAAGGTTCGTTCAATGTCAAGGTTACCGTGGAGGTCCCAATGTCACAATCTGTGACTGGACGCTACTGTTCACGTGTCTACAGATAACTTTGCTATAAGTTTAAACTCGCAGTCGTTGCTTCAGGAACATGATGGAAAGAAACAAATGAAATGGAATTTGATGGGGTTTAACATTCAGTCGACACAAACTAGGTCATTTTAGGACTAACATATGGTTCAATTTTCTTTCAATATTTCGTTTGCGCGTAGGGGTTTTTAGCAGTGGCAGGAAACAGGAGGACCCAAAGAATACCCATGAGATTGGACAGGTGGTTTAACATACACTTCTCGACATAAACTAGGTGATTTTGGGACTAACATATGGTTCAATTTTATTTCAATAATTCACTTGCTCATATGGGTATTTAGCTGTGGGAGGGAACTGGAGGACCCAGAGAAAACCCACCAGGTTGGACAGATGGTCCTACTCCTTGTCAAGTACAACTGGGGAATCGAAACCACGCCAGTTGACTTAATGACAGACCTTATGATACAGCGTGCACATGCTACCCATTCGGCCAACGCAACATTTTAAGGAAGATGGCATGTTATTTTTATACGATCATAAATTAACAAGTTGCTCTAACTGTATATTAGTCAACGTACCGTTTAGGAAAACCATATAAACATATTTAGACGTTAATTCCTCTCCACTGAGTAGTTCAATATCTTCTACACCAAGATTAAACGCCAGACGTACCAATGGTGATTCATTCATATCAGTTGTTATGTGGGTCATTAACGCTAAGTTCTTCACCAAACCACAGGCCTTGAAAAAAACAAAATTAAATCAAAATTAGACAAAACCACAGGCCTTGAAAAAACAGATCAAACAATTAGACTACAATCTGATTAAAATACAGATCTATATTTCGTTTCGTTTTCTATACTTTCGATGGCCTCCACTAAACGAAGATCTGACCGATTGCAGTGGAAGGTCGCATCAGGGGTCATACCTGGAAAAATTACAATTTCTAGGGTTTATGATTAAATTTGATTTCTAATTCCAAAATAAGAATTGACCAGCTGGCAAAATTTTGAAGTAAAAGACCTAAATTAGACATCATGGATACAGATCTAATTTTCTGTTTTAATGAAACGAAATGGGTTTAATGGTGCTCCGACTGGGCTAATGAACATAATCTTTAAGTGGCATTTAATGGGCTAATGAAGACAGGCATACGCCATACAGTGTGCTATGAGGGAAATTTTGCCCGTACAGTGGCACTACAGCCTACTCTTTTACGTGCACACTAATGTATACACAGGTCCTCGATCTTTCATCCGATCCGAATGACTGTTCTAACGATTTTTTAATTCAAATGTTATTAGATCATTACAAACCTCTCCTTCTGGCGTATCAGACGGACATAGTAGACCCCACTGTGATGGTTGTAATGATCGTGGTCCACTAACTTTTCGAGTCTTCTCAAACTGAAAGTAGTAAAATAATTACAAGATGCATGTATATCGATAGTTTAGATTAAATTACTATCTGGTCTGAATATTTTATTTCAATGTAACATAATAATGTCATCATACCTATAGTGGATATATATGATAAAACATATCTGACTAGTAACTCGTGTCATCATACCTATAGCAGATATAATGGTGATAAAACTTATCTGACTCGTAACTCAGATATAACTCGAACTTTGTCAGACACAATGCCTGATATATAATATATACATTGTGTGATAATTTGTGCCAAACAAAGTCTGTGATAGGTGCCTGATGTCCATGTCTATATGTATATACATTCTGTGATAATTTGTACTTTACAATCGTTACAGAACTTACCTTGTCATCATTTCTATAGCTGATATAAGTTTGATAAAACTTACCTGACGCGAGTTAGTATATATACATTCTGTGATAAATTGTACTTTACAATCGTTATAGAACTTACCTGACTTGTAACTCTTGTCATCATACCTATAGCTGATATATACGATAATCGGGATAAAACTTGTGTTACTCCTGCTCTTTCCATCTTAAATCTTTTAATAGTCCAATTTCCCTAAAAAAAAAAAAAAAAAAATGTTCTGCCGAAATCCCAATATAAACAAATGACACATATTAATTAAATTCCACATTTATCTTTTTCAAAAGTATCCAAACTGATTATCTATACTTAGTCAAAGCACAGAATGTTCATGAACAAACTCAGTCAGGTTTTGAGGTAACAAATTTGCCAACCTGGCCAAGAGGCCAACCCCTCGCCAATTAGTGACCATGGAAACTCCACAGTGATTTTGGAATAGTATAAATGATTCCATTTTATTCTTGAATAGAGAGAGAGAGAAATGGGGTTTAACGTCCACTCGACACAAACTAGGTCATTTCAGGATTAACATATGGTTTAATTTTATTTCAATAAACCAGAGGACCCAGAGAAAACCCACGAGGTTGGACAGGTGACCCAACTTCCATAAGGACCTAGGCTAAACCACACACAACTTACACTTGATATTGCAATGATGAGTCCATTTGTTATCTGATCTTGTCTCATATGTTTTAAAATATCAAACTGAGCAGCTCGAGGTTTCGGTATCGTCTGATCGGCTATTTTCTTTAACTTAAATAAAATAAAAGAATATATTCAAATAATTTCTCAAGATAAACAGATTCTTAATTCTTGGGTATTAGAATCACTTTTAATCTTATCTGAAAATGATGATTTCTATTGTAGCTAACAGAAATGTTAGACACTACTGAACTAGTCGTAACTGATATTCAAAATATCAATAAAAACAACGATAAAGGACAAATGTGTACCTGACAAAATGTCATGCCCAAGAGGATTTGTGTCTGTGACAGTTACCTTATTTCCAGGCTTGATTTTGGATCTAAAATGTTTTAAATCTGATTAAAACACAGATCCTATTTTGTTTCGTTTTTATAGTTCAAAATATCATTTTACTTGTCTTCACAACACTAGGATCTGGAAAAGTTGTTATATAACCTGCATTTTGATTTAGGTGAGGGATTAACCAATGAAACGGTCTATTATGGCGAATTCTTTGCATGTGGTGCACGGAACTGTGGGTAAACCACTAGAAACGTCAACGCTGATTGATTAATCAATGTCTGACATCATAGGGTCAAGAGCCGCTTGTATGACCCCTGACGCGACCCCCTACTACAACTGGTAAGATCTTCATGTAGTAAAGGCCATCGAAAGTATAAAAAAACGAAACGAAATATAGATCTGTGTTTTAATCAGATTGAAACATTTTCTATAAATTATGTTATGTAGAAAAAAACTAAAATATTCTGTTAATTTTTTCAGGGGAAAATTGAAAAATAAAATTACCTCAGAGTTAAATTTCTTGAAAAGATCTTCAAACAAAAGAGATAGAAGTTGTCCTGCGAGTTCTAATCTTTTGTTACCATAGTAATCGCGATCATCAACGTTAACTTTATCCCCCTGTGTTAATATCACTCTTCTAATCATTAACGCAAGATAAACAGCTTTCAGTTTAAAATTCCATTCTTCAACCTAGAAAAATTCAAAAATAATTTGTAAAAGTCTGTGCATTACGATGTTTTTATTAAGTATAGAATGAACAAAAACAAGGGAATGTATGGATTATTTGTATTTTTCTCGTTTTTTCTTATCTAGTGACATTCAATTACTTTTTTGAATTATCAGATATCCTCTCACAGTCTCATATAACAACTTTTGGTCTTCGAAGGAATTATTAGCGAGCAGAATTTCGCCCATGTATTTGTTATCACTCGTCGTTTCTGTCAGTTATATAGAAGGATAACTTGTGTTTTCCTTTTGCTTTCGTCACTTTCATTTCTTGAAATCTTCATAACACATTTATCGTAGCAATGATCTCTGTGTTAAAATTATATTTGAAACGTGTTGGCCCAGTTCTTTCACCTATGCGATAATGACTGACACCATTGTCCTTTAACACTTCTGCACTTGATACATGTAAATACTGATCACTGTGGTTCGCTAAATTGAAAATTGATCTACTCAACCTGGTTTACTGCTAACCAGTAGACTCTGTAACCTTTGTATCATTTAATCTTGTGTACATGTATCTAGTAATAATTTCTTTCACATTCAATTAATGTACATGATCTAATATAACACTTACTGTTATATGATCTAATATATAACACTTACTGGTACATGACCTGATATATAACACTTACTCAGGGGCGGATCCAGAGGGGACGTTTGGGGGGTCGAACCCCCCCCCCCCCCGCTCAGCTACATAAATTTTTTTGTAAATCAACACTTTGTATGAGAAAGGTTTCTTGGCCGTGTGCTTTATCCTTTATTGTCAGATTTGGGACAGGATGGGCACTCAAAGCACGAGATAATGATATAGACATTATGTGATATCACAATTAATGCTTTGCATCCATGAAACTGAATCACAATGTCATTGTATTAATTCATAATAAAACGAGGTGCTGAATTTCTCTGTTTAAAAAGCTCAATGTGTATGTATATACGCCAAAATGACGATAGAGACCATGCGGGGGGGTGGGGGGGGAGATACATTGTCTCAGGAACATGACCCCTCCCCCCCCCCCTGCAAAAATTCCTGGATCTGACACTGCTTACTGGTACATGACCTGATATATAACACTTACTGGTACATGAGCCAATATAACACTATGTAAGACATCCCTAGCTTCGTCTATTTTACACTTTGTACCACTCGGCCATTGATTTCTCTGTCGTATTTTACTACCAATCCATTTCAATGCCTGAAAACAGAAAATATTCAAATTAGAGAATAATTTAGGTATTGGGAACCCAAGAAGATATTTAGAAAAGCATGCCCTTGTGCTGACTTAATTAAGAAATGAAATGAAATAAAATGGGGTTTAACATCCTACTTTTCTGCACCGACTGGGCTAGTGAAGACAGATAATATGCCATATGCCTTATCTTGTATCAAATTCCATCTGTAGAAATGAAATAAAAGAGAAGTTTAAAATCCTACTGTTCTGCACTGATTGAGCTAATAAAGATGGGCACTTGCCTCGACAATGGCATTTTAGCCTACTTTCTTTTCTTTTTTATTTTAGGTCAAACCAATTTTAATTTTTTGTTCTTTCGGGGCTTTAATAATTAAATCACTACTCGAGCTATGTAAACGATCACACTGTAGTTTCTTTCACATTCATTTAATATGAAATCTTTGTTTAAAGTCGCAAAAATCATTTAAAATCACCCAAAAAACATCTAACTTGTACTTGTGTCCAGTTTAAAGCTGAAAGATTAATTTTGATGATGAGTGTCCAATTTACAAGGCAGCAAAATTTTGCCAGGACAAAAATTCAAACCAGTGCGGCCTTACCTGTGTCTGAGTAAAAACTTGAGCTCTATGACATTCTTCCAAACATGGTGCTATAGAGGTCATGACCTCCTCTTCACTTCCAATCATCTGTACGATTTCCTGGTCGCATTCGATGCCCATGGCTTTAAACGCTATTGCTACTGGTATGTTCTGTAGACATAGAAAAATTTACTGGACAATTGTACACAAAACATGGTTGTTTTTTCGGGTAATCCAGTATTTTTCTAGTAAGACTGAATGTCTATACTTTCCGATAAATGGTTTCGTAACAATGTATCCTTTAACCAATGTGTAGACAGGTGGAATCTGTTTTTTGATGTATATTCGCGTAATGCAGACATTTAAACATACATTATGAACTGCCTATTGCAGGTCTTATTTTTAGGCCTGAAATGTAATCTGAACTATTAATTATGATGATCGAGGCTAGGCCTAAACTTCAATCGTTAATATCTCGGTTCACAGTGGATCAATTTGACTGAAATTTTCAGCATATTTCCTTTACATTATCTAATCTTCCATAATGTATCTTTAAGTAACCAGCCCTACAGAAATGATCTCTGACATGTGTGAACTGTCAAACTACTCAGAACAATAACAACAACTGTTCAAGACTTAAAAAAAAATACATTCTGGTTCTCAGACATTGCCAAATCACTTGAAAAGGGCTGCACGACTATATCTTAATTACCTCAGAGATAATATTGTGTCAATCTGATTACAATACAGATCTATATTTTGTTTTGTTTTTTATACTTTCGATGGCCTACACTACATAAAGATCTGACAAGTTATAGTGGGAGTTCACGTCAGGGGTCAAACGAGCAGCTTTTTACCCTATGACATCAGCCATTGATTAATCAAGCAGCATTGAAATTTCTAGTGGTTTATCCACAGTTCCATGCATGAAAAGGCCAAGAACTTGCCGTAACAGATCGTTTCATTGGCTAATCCCTTACATCATCCAAAATGCAGGTTATATAACAACTCTTCCAGATCCTAATGTAGTAAAGACAAGTAAAACAAAATTTTGAACTATAAAAAATGAAACAAAATAGAATCTGTGTTTTAATCAGATTGTTATTGTGTTTAATTTAAAGAATAACTTACCTCGGAGAAGATATTGTGTTTGAGATAATATTTAGTGTGTTTTATTGTAACATATGTTTTACTCTTTCTCTCGTGAGTTGAACTGAAAACAATAAATTTATTTATTATGTCACAAATACCGGTATTCAAATAATCCAAGTCATCACTCCAATGATTTTATATCACGTACAGTTCATATTAAAGCTGCTTATTGCCATTTTAGGGATTTTAAATCCATTACAAGCTTCTATATTGAGAATGTTGAATCAGTTCAAAAAGGGTTCAATTCTGTTAAGTATTTGGGGGGGTGGATGGCCGACTGGTTAACACGTGTGCGCTGCATCATAAGGTCTTATATTGAGTCAACTGGCATGGTTTCGATTCTTAGGTTGAAAGTGACAAGGAGTAGGGTTGCCTGTCCAACCTCGTGGGTTTTCTACGCTTCCTCCAAATTCCTCTCACTGCTAAAAACCCGACACCAATTAGGTCATTTCGGGACTAAAATATGGTTCAATTTTATTTCAATAATTCGCTTGCGGACAGGACTTGGAGAAAACCTATGAGGTTGGACAGACGACCCTACTCCTTGTCTCGTACAACTGGGGAATCGAAACCATGCCAGTTGACTTAATGACAGACCTTATGATACAATGCGCACACATGGGGGGTTGGATGGCCAAATGGTTAGCGCATGCGCGTTGTATCACAAGGTCTGTCATTCAGTCAACTAGCGTGATTTCGATTCCCCGGTTGTACGGACCTCCGGTTTCCTCCCACTGCAAGCGATTTAATTAAATAAAATTGAACAATATATCAGTCCCAAAATGAACTAGTTTGTGTCGAGTGGGTGTTAAACCCCTTTTCTCTCTCTCTCACAACACGCACATGCTAACCATTCGGCCATTCATCCCCCCCCCCCCCCCCAGTTGACTCAGTCTTTTGAATCTGATTGATTAGAAAGAGATGGGGTTTTAACTAATATATACTTAATCTCTCACCTGGTAACGGAACATTCTATAACACCTTTACTATCTCTATCAACAATCATTCTATTTTTAGACAGCTGTTCCTGAATCAGGATAACTTTCTCTGTGCCTCGTGTGATAAAATAACCTCCCGGATCCATTGGACATTCGTTAAGCTTCGCCATCTCTGCGGGACTTTTACCAGATAATACACAGTTGGAGCTACGTAACATAATAGGCATCCTGAAAAAATGGAATGGGTTTTAACTTATGATCACCACAATACTTAAGAAATGAGGGAAATTTTGCCTGGACATCGGCAAAATGGCCTACTCTTATATCGCATGCCATCTGCCAACAGATCTTTTAAGTGCACGCCAATGTGTACACGGGACCTTGTTTTTTTGTCCCATATGAACAACTAGACAGCTGTCCTTACCAGGCCCTCTGTACTGCACCTATGACAAGGGGAAATCAAATCAGAAAATCCTGATGAACTTTTCTCAGCCCATGCAGGGATCGAACATCCAACCTCCAGGCTAGTGAGCCAGCGCCTTCCCACTTGGCCACCGTTGCTCCCTGAATACAATAAAGCCTAGAATGTCATCTCACCTTCCTATTGGTAAATTATTTCTGATAATTCTTTGATTTCCACGAGTATATTCAATATCTACAGTTATCGGTGCCGAGTAAGTCATATCACGTAGACGACACTAAAAATATAAAAAATATGATCAAATAAAGTATAAATAGCAATTAGCATGAAAGGAAATGGGGTTTAACATCCTACTGTTCTGCTCCAAATGGGTTAATAAAGCAGGGCATATGCCATAGTGTGCTATGAGGGAAATTTTGGCCTGGCAGCGGCACTGTGACCTACTCTATATCGAATTCCTACTACCAAGGGATCTTTTACATGCATGTCAATGTAAACACTGGACCTCCGTTTCTCGTGCCATCCAAATGACTAGACAGCTGTCCTGGTCAGGACATGATTATTAACATGATTATCAAGCATGGAAATAAGGCACTCGTCAAAGACAATGTCAAACACAGATTCAAGCTGACAGGCACAAAACCTCAGTGCGGCACTGATTTGGTTTTTTTATTGATATTAATAAATATCCAGCAATAAGTTAAAAATGTCAGCCACTATTTCATTTAGTGTCTGACATTTTGTCAGGTACATCTAAAACTGCTATTTCCAGGCTTGATGATTATGAAATATACGAACTATAATCAAATAAACGCATGTAGCGACACGAGAGCCCTGATAACAAACATTAAAGAAAGAAAGAAATACTAGGTCATTTTGGAACTAACATAGCAGCATGGTACAATTCTATTTCAATGTCTTGCTTGTCCACAGGGATCTTTAGTGGGAGAAAGGCAGAGAACCCAAAGAAACCCCACAAGGCTAGATAGGCAACCTTAGTCGTTGTCATGTTAATGTCACTTTATGACACAGAGAGAAAAATAGGGTTTTAACGTCTACTCAGCACAAACCAGGTCATTTTAGGACTAACACATTATTCAATTTTATTTCAATAATATATTTGCAAGTAGGGGTCCGTGGCAGTGGGAGGAAATTGGAGGACCTAGAGAAAACGCATGAGGTTCGACAGGCGACCCTATTTCTTGTCACATACAACTGGAGAATCAAAACCATGCCAGCTGACTCAATGTCAGACCTTATGATACAACGCACACACGCTAACCATTCGGTCATTCAACGTCCCTCCACTTTATGACAAGAATTATGACCTGAAGTACACACATTAGACAACTTGGACTAGACTGTACCTCATGAGGTGAAATTGGTTTAGTGATATTAAATCCTTCTTCTACATCTGGCATACCAACATAAATATTTAAATATCTGAAAATAATACAAGTATACATGTAATAACATTCAAAAAATATCTATAAATAAGTACATGTATAACATTCTAAATTTGTATAAAATACTCAAATATCTGCAAAACATACAGTTTTAACATTTTCAAAATCTCCACAAAACTGAAATACATAAAATATCTATAAAAAATACTCAAATAATACAACTTGAATAACATTCTGAATATCAGCACAATCTGATTAAAATACAGATCAACATTTCGTTTTGCTTTTTCTATACTTCTGCAGGCCTACACTACATGAAGATCTTGCCAGTTATAGTGGGAGGTTGCGTCAGTGGTCATATGAGCGCCTTTTGACACTATGAAGTCAGACATTTGATAAACCAATCAACATTGATGTTTCTAGTGGATTACCCACAGTTCCATGCACCTCACGCCAAAAACTCGCCGTAACATGTCGTTTCATTGGCTAATCCCTCACACCATAAAGAATGTGGGTTATATTATAACTCTTCCAGATCCTAGTGAAGTAAAGACAAGTATAACAAAATTTTAAACTATAAAAAAATGAAATGAAATAGGATCTGTGTTTTAATTAGATTGTCATACAGGTGCCTTATAATATAGGCTTGTATTATATATGCATTGTGCGATGACTTTTACTGGAGAATGTCAGTGACAGGTGCATTATATCCAGGCTACTGTGGCTCCTGCTTGCTGTAATAACTTCAATCAGTAATAATTTCATGATTCCAGTTGTAAGTTTAGTTTATTGAAAACAACATATCATACAAGCCACCATGTTGGGACCACTAACGGAAGTGAGCAAAATATAACAAGAAGGTTATGTTTGGTCGTCAATTGTAGTTCACATAATGTCACACTTGCTAGATGATAATATACATTTAGTGTATTAAAAACTCACTTGAGATAGAAGTTAGGATCAGCATCACTTGTTATCTTTTCATTGGCTTTCATAATCTTCTTTATCTAAGTATAAAGTAAAAATTATACATCACTATCTAAATACAAACTGAAAATTATATATTATTATAATACAATCTTCATAGTTTCATAGTGAAAATACCCACTGTAAGTGAAGCCTGAACATTACAGTCGCCTCTAGATCCAATCACTTGATTTGATAATGCTTTCGTGATTTTAAATGTCTATGTATAATTTGTGTTATGCAATCTGATTAAAATACAGATCTATATTTCGTTTTGTTTTTTTATACTTTCGATGGCCTACACTACATGAAGATCTCACCGGTTGTAGTGGAAGGTTGCGCCAGGGATTGTACAAGCTGCTTTTTCCCTATGATGTCAGGCATTCATTAATAAATCAGCGTTGATCTTTCTGGTGGTTTACCCACAGTTCCGCGCATCACACGCCAAGAAGTCCCCGTAACAGATCATTTCATTGGCTAATCCCTCACTTCAACCAGAATGTGGGTTATACATGTATAACAACTCTTTCAGATCCTAGTGTATTAAGGACAAGTAAAACCAAATTTTGAACTATAAAAAAAAAAACGAAACGGAATAGGATCTGTGTTTTGCTCAGATTGTGTGTGTTGTGGCTTGTCTACAGGATTGTATTCTGGGTGATGTACATATTAATTTCTTATTATGCCAAACAAATGTTTACACCATATACATGTACCTTTGCATTTTCAGTTATTTATCAAAGCTACAAATCATGGCACCTCATCAGTCTGTTTACTAGTGTCAGTTAAATTACTAACCTCAACATTGATAAAATAGTTGAAAGAATCTATATGCTGTTTAACCAAACCTTTCACTTTTAGAAAAGCTGGCAGCAACTTCCATTTCTCCTGTAAATACAAAATACATCATATAAAGCCTATAAATATATATCAATAAAAACACCCTTTTAAACGAAAATGGAAAAGAAAACAGAGTTGTATAATCTATTTTGGCACCCGAAACAGAAATATGCTTGGACTTCAATATTGCTTTCGGATGGGACAAAAAATCAAGGTCCTGTGCACACAATGGGGTGCACGTAAAAGATCCTTTGGCAGATGGAATTCGATATAAGAGTAGGCCATAGTGCCGCTGCCTGAGCAAAAACATCCCTCAATGCACACTATAAGCCATATGTCTGTCTTCTTAGAACATTCGGAGCAGAACAGAACTCGTCAGTAGGACGTTAAACCCCATCATTTCATTTCAATATTGCCCGATTTGTTTTAATATAAGTTTTAACATAAGTGTATCAATTGGTGCAGTGCAGTCCATGTCAAGTATCACTATCAGCATTATGAAATCCAGCAAGCTTTCGGTGCCAATCCAGTGCTAATGCACATGCCATATGTATATCTTTCAAATTCTATGTGAATATTTATTATATATCTGAAGAAGTTTCATATTTGAATTGGATGGTTTATGAATATAAATTAAAATCCGAGGTTTTACGAATCTGTGTAGCATGTAAGCATGATCTTTGGTTTCAAACAGACTAAAGTTTCAGATTTCTGTGGCGATGGCAATGAAAACAAATCATCCAGCGAATCATCTATTAAATTTTTTTAAAAAAAACTCATAAATCAAATAAAACTGTAAATGTTTTGAACCTCTATTGTTTTAACCGACGCTGACAGTTTCTCCTTGTCCATTCTCATTATTTCCTCGATCGATTCCATCTTGGTTCAAAGTCTTTTACAACAACTAAGGTCAAATCTTTCAATATTTCATTGCTATTTCTTCATTTTCGTGCCGCTTCATGGGCGCAGACATATTGGATTTACTGCTGCCACCTGTGATGAAAAGTCTTGGACATCCAGTAGAATACAGGAAGTAAAATTGTCCATATTTCCGTACTGTTTTATTAATAAACTGTTATCCACCGTAGTATAATTATGCCGCAATAAGGCAACATTCTGAATTACTTTTGCATGTTAACACTGAAGTTTACATTTAGTTAAAATGAATATTACGTGACACAAGGGACGTAACTCTCAATTGTAGACTCGGTTTATTTTTGTGCCATCGTCTGCATTTGTTGTGTAATGTTTGATGTGCAGTTTGTTTCTATTATGTAACAAGTATTAAATTAAAATACTAGTGGTTGGTGGTGAGTGTATATTTAGTGGATATATAAATAGGTCGACTATACACATGATATATGGGGGGGGGGGGTATGGCCTAGTGGTCATGCACTGCGGTCATGATTTCTATCCCTGGTCAGCTGGTGTGATTTGTGGCTTAAATTGGAGATAGGGGCGCCTTCTCAATCTCGTGGGTTTACTCCAGGAACTCCGGTTTACTCCGGGTACTCCGGTTTCCTCAGGGTACTCCGGTTTCCTCACATCCTCCGATCAGAGACAGTTCTTCGCTCTCCTGCGCGTGCACTAAGACAATTTAAATAACACAACTTTGTCTGCAATAATATCACAAACAAAAACAACAGCATGACATTATTACTTATCAAGTGGAAATTAATAAACAATGTGTCACAGTGGTTCAGTGTGTAGGACACTTAATTGCAGCTCACTACTTAAAGTAAAAGGTGACCAAGGGTTCAATTAATGGTATGCCAGTGTTCCTTTAGAAATCAAGTTGAATTTGATGGTCAAATTATTTAAGATAAAGATATATAATTACAAAAAATGCCATGTCAGGACTAACATGATTAATATGGTTAATTTTATTTCAATAATTTGTATGCAGATCTTTAGCTGTGAGACAAAACCAGAGGACCCGGTGAATTAAAACCCATAGGGTTGGGCAGAGGTCCATTCACCATACTGGGGGGTTGGATGGCCGAATGGTTAGTGCATGCGTATTGCATCATAAGATGTGTCATTGAGTCAACTGGCTTGGTTTCGATTCCCAAGTTGTACTTGACAAGGAGTAGGGTTGGCTGTCCCACCTCATAGGTTTTCTCGGAGTCCTCTGGTTTCTTCCCACTGCTAAAGATCCCTACACGCTAGCAAATTATTGAAATAAAAACAATTGAACCATATAAGTTAGACCTGAAATGACTTAGTTTGTGTCGAGTGGACATTAAAGCCCATTTCTCTTTCTCTCTATTCTCCATACAAATCAAATGAAATGAAATGGGGTTTAACGTCCTACTATTTTGCTCCGAACTGGGCTAATGAAGACGGGCATACGCCATACAGTGTGCTGTGTGCTGTGAGGGAAATTTTGCCCAGAAAACGGCACTACAGCCACGCTTATATCAAATTCCAACTGTCAAGGGATCTTTTACATGCACGCCAATGGGTACACAGGACCTCGGTTTTTCGTATCATCCGAATGACTAGACAGCTGTCTTTCCAGCATCACTGACGATCTGGGTGAACTTTCTCGGCCAATGCAGGGATCGAAAACCCGACCTCCAGGCTAGCGAGCCAGCGTCTTACCCACTTAGCCACCGTGACCCCTTGACGCCTATTCACCATACTCCTTGTTACATACAAACTTGGGATCCAAAACACCTCTTGACTCAGTGACAGACCTTGAGAAATAATATTGAATTGTGTGAAATTTACCATGTCACATTTTACAGATCAAATAACAAAGAATGAAGAACATAATAATGATGAGAAGTTTATACAGAATTAATTCAACCTTTTTAACAACGCACAGTCATCCTCATCAATCGGGAAAAATTCTGACCGGTTTTCGATGCCTTCATCAACAAGATGTTTCACCAACTGAATCACGAACCAAGATGTTCGCCTGGCAGATGCATTCTTACGGTGGTAATGATCAGCTAACCTTGTCCGCAACTAACAGAATTCCTACGATTAAAAATCCAAATGATATTCTAGTTGAGGTGCATGCAGCAAGTGTCAATCCGATAGATATAAGAATGAGAGGTAAGCTGTTTAATAGTTATAATGATACATGTATTTGTAACATGGATGGGAAATCTTCCTTTGTTCTTTTCATTGAATAAGCAGATTGTTTTCCCTCTAGTAGATGTGGTGGAGCTTAACCGTGCAATAACTAGACATGTTCAATGTTATTGCACTATTTTGCTGGTTTACACTTGTTTTAGTAGAAATCATATAGAGAAGGGGTGTGGGTTTTCTGTGCAATAACAACAAGCATGTTGAGCAGGTGTCAATGTTACAAGTCATTTATAGCACCCTTCATTCGTTGACAGGTTTAACATCGAGGCCGTAGGCAAGTAAAATGAAATTTTGAACTATGAAAAACGAAACGAAATAGGATCTGTGATTTAATCAGTTTGTGCCACTATTTACACAATTTTTGTGTAAAAGAACCTACAATATATTTTAAATGTCGATTTTATTTTTATCAATCTGAGGTCTAGAATCGAAGAATGTTATGTACATGTGTTTTAACCAGATTAAACTAAAAGTACCCTTTACATTGGAATTTGACAAGGAGTAGGCGGACATGCTGCTATCTCAATCTGATTAAAACACAGACCCTATTTCATTTACTTGTCTTTACTACACTAGGATTTGAAAGAGTTGTTATATAACCTACATTCTTATTGATGTGAGTAAATTAGCCAATGAAACAGTCTGTTACGCCGATTTCTTGGCGTGTGTTATACAGAACTGTGGGTAAACCACTAGAAACATCAACGCTAACTGATTAATCAATGTCTGACGTCGTAGGGTCAAAAGCCGCTCATTTGACCCCTGGCGCTATCTTCCACTACAACTGGTCAGATCTTCGTGTAGTGGAGTCCATCAAAAGAAAATAACGAAACGAAATATAGATCTGTATTTTAATCAGATTGCTGCTGTCTGGGCAAAATTCACCTTCCTAGCATTGCACATGACTATGAATAAAATTAACCGTATGTTAGACCCAAAATGATTGAAGTATTGTATTGATGAGACATTAAAACCCATTATCCATGTATAGTCATTGGGATGGGACAAAAAAAGGAATCCCATGTATACATTGGTGTGCATGTAAAAGAACCTGTGACAGCTGGAATTTGTTCCAGTGTTCGAAAATGGTGTTGGCCGAGAAAGTTCATCAGGATTTTCCAGCGTGGCCCCCTCTTGTCAGTGTTGCAGGACAGAGGGCCTGGCAAGGCACAATGTATAGTCATTAGGATGGGACAAAAAAACAAGAGGTCCCATGTATACATTAGCGTGCATGTAAAAGATCCCGTGACAGTTGGAATTCAATATAAGAGTAAGTCGTAGTGCCGCTGTCCAAACAAAATTGTCCTCATAGCTGTTCGGATGTGACGAAAAACCAAGGTCCCGTGTATACATTGGCATGCACGTAAAAGATCCCTTGGCATTTGGAATTCGATATAAGAGTAGACCGTGTGTCCAAACAAAATTGCCGTCTTAGCTCACTGTAAAGCATACGCCCGACTTCATTAGCCCATTTCATTTCATTTCTAATATTAATATGGGAGGTTTTTTTTATTATTATTAATTGTAACGGTTTATTCTGCAGGTGGTTATGGTCAGAGGATTTTGAATATAATGAGAAATCAGGGTCTATTAAACACAAGATCTGAGTTTCCTCTGACTCTGGGCAGAGATTTCTCTGGTATCGTTGTAGAATCTGGAAGAAATGTTAAAAAATATAAACCTGGGGATGAGGTTTGTAATTTATGATAAAATTTGAGTGGCTCAGTAAGTAGGGTGCTAACAGTACCCAGACTAGGAGTTGAGGTTGGGTAGCCGAATGGTTAACACATGTGCGTTGCATCATATGGTCTCTCAGTAAGTAGGGTGCTAGCACTCAAAGAAGGAGGGTAGGTTTGGTGGCTGAATGGTTACGAATGCATGTTGCATCATGTGGTCTGTGATTGAGTCAGGTGGCTTGGTATGAATATATATTGACTGATTTACATTCAATAGCTTCTGTTTTTATTCTAATTTCAAATCAGTTATGTTCTGCGAAATACACCAGAAGTCTCAATCAAATGGCAATCTCTAGCGTCTGGTTATTCCAGTCTACACCGCCAGTATTTATTGCGTATTCTCTCCCGATAAGAATATATCAACACTGTTTGACATGACTTGTTGAATATGTCCAGTCTCATTTTTCAAGTGCCTTGTTACAAATGGCTCTGAAACGCATTATGGTACACGATTTGTGTACCAATGGTAAAATGTTTATTTTGTCTTAAATATTGGCTATCAGAAGCCCATCTTTTCCTGGTAAGATCACAACATCAATGTTGATTTAAATTGATAAATATTTTTTGTTTTCAATGTCAAAGACTTTGGATTGAGTTAGAGACTTAGCTACTTTAATTTCAAAGTCTGTAGACCTATTGTTTTTTCACACTATAGGTTTATGGTGTTTTAGGACCCCAGAGACAAGGATCACATGCTGAATATACAATATCTTCTGAAAGAGAGGTAGGTGTGGTCTTTTTATCAATTTATCCAGGCAACTTTCATTCTAAAGACACTCTAGACTTGTCAAGTAAAACTGTCTTCATACCAACGAGAATATGTTGTTTTATGCAAAAAAAGTATTCGTGTTAAAATAATTTCACTAGAGCAGAACTTGACTCTGAACACGGTAGACCACCAATGGTAGGGTGACCCACCATAAATAAATATCTCCATATATCTCGACAATTACGCCACAATATTTATATATATGCCAAGCCTCAAATCAGTTTCACACAATTATAGTCACTAAATAAACGATCATGTTGTACTTAATAAGCTATGACCATTAATCATGTATAAATAATAGACTGAAAACTGGTTCTAAGAGTCGTCCATAACATCCAGACACTTTTGAGTAAAAGATAGGTTACGTGCCCTTGTTTTGAAATTAGTCTCGCTTAACCAGTCTATCGACCATTCTACGTCTGATTGACAGGTCGGGATAATCAAGACTACTTTTTTACGAAACGTAACAGAAAGCTAGAACAAGAAATTGAATTTAGAAATAAGCACGTTAGGTAGCTCAACAATCGTTTTAAGAAGCTTGTAAAAGTAGAATGAAACTACTGCTAGTATCATGTTCCTGCCTAACCCGAGTGATTCAGAGATATTATTTGTACTAAACCAAAAGATGCCGCTCTTACCGGTACAGTTAATGATAAAGCGATTTAAAAAATGAAACGAACGTAATTTCTAAATCTGCTGTAATAACCAAGAAGCTTAATTTAACTGCTATTCAAAATCGTCAACAATAAATTTTTTACGGCTGTAATAGTTGATAGATTTGTAGAGAATTGCACGTGCCATTGCTATTTATAGTATCATACTGTCAGAAAGTTGGTCTCGGCACGGCGAATGTGCATGCTTCAGTGGTAGTCTCGAACTATCAGCGGTGGACTGTATTTCTGTAGAGTACATGGGTCACCCTACCAATGGAAAGCTAACACAATAATCAGTATGATTAAACTCTTATAGAGTGGGATCCAGAAAGTTTTAAATAAACTCTTCTGTTTGACTGTTTATTTGGGATTTATTTAGGGTATGCAAGGAATTCATGGAGACATAGAGACCAACCTGAAAGTTAATTACAAATAGTTTAGTTAGTTGGAGTTTACCAATATGACCCATTGGGAGTATGATTGTGTGAATCTTTGAGTTTTTACTTCTTGTAAAACACAACAATCTTTATATGGAATACGGGAACCATGGTGGCTGAGTAAGATGCTGCTCGTTAACCTGGAGGTTCAGTCCCAGGGGTTTCCCTTCCTGTGGTGCAGGACGGAGGGCCTGACAAGGACAGCTGTCTAGTCATTTGGATGGTATGAAAAACCAAAGTTTACAAATTGGTATTCATGTAAATTTATATGGAATACAATCACTGATTTATTGGTGATAGATAAGAGAATATTTGTTGATCTTGATAGTATTTCTTATTTTTAGATGGCGCATAAACCAAGACATTTGTCTCATGTAGAAGCTGCATCAATACCATATGTAGCGTTAACTAATTGGTCTGCGATCTACACGGCAGGTCGTCTCACATCTAATAATACACCTGGAAAAAGGTAACACCAATCTGATTAAAACACAGATCCTATTTCGATTCTTTTTTTTATAGTTCAAAATTTTGTTTTACTTGTCTGTACTACACTAGGATCTGGAAGAGTTGTTATGACCCGCGTTCCAGCTGATGTGAGGGATTAGCTAATGAAACTGCCTGTTACGGCCAGTATTTGGCGTGAGGTGCATGGAACTGTGGCTAACCCACTAGAAACATCAATGCTGATTATTAAATCGAATGTCTGACATCATAGGGTCAAAAGCCTCTCGTCAGCACAAGGAAATGCTTTTCGAAAAATCTCCCTGGCTTCACGATACCTACTAAACGACCATCTTGAAATACCACTTGTTAGAAGGAGCTTCTGCGAAATGATAAGTCAAGTGTTGTATAGTTGTTTGGATAGGACAAAAGAACTCTAGGTCCAGCTGTATAATTCTATGAAGAAGTAATGAGATCTTATTTGGTATTTATTTTAGGATTTTGGTGTTAGCTGGTTCAGGAGGTATTGGAACATTTGCTATTCAGGTAATTGGGCAAAACATTACAGATTATTTTCAGTCAGTAATGGTGATCAAGACTAGGCCTAAAAATCGGTCGCTAATATCTCTGTTCCGATTGGAGTAATTTTATATGAATTATGTATGATAACTTAGTTATTGAAGGCCTGTTGTGGTGAACTGTATAAATTATGTTTTATAATTTAGTTATTGAAGACCCCAGTGGTGAACTATGTAAATTATGTTTTATAACTTAGTTATTAGAAAGGCCTGGGGTGGTAAACTGTATAAATTATGTTTTATAATTTAGTTATTGAAGGCCTGGGGTGGTGAAATTGTTACAACTTGTAGTGGTGATGCATCTGAACAACTTCTACAACTTGGAGCAGATTATACAATAGATTATAAACAACAAGATGTTCTAACAGAACTCGCTAAATTACCACGGTGAGCACAAAATATATAGTATTTAATCCTCAAGATGTTTACGTCTGGTGCAGGATGGAGAATTTAGTTGTTTGGATAGTCCAAAAATCCAAGGTCCTGTGTATAAATTTGGCATCACTTTATAGATCCCTTAGCAGTTGGAATTCGAAAGTGTATAAATTGGTGTGCACGTAAAAGATCGCTTGGCAGTTGGAATTCGATATAAGAGTAGGCCGTAGCGTCGCTGTTCGGGCAAAATTTCCCTCATAGCACACTGTATAGCATAATCCCGTCTTCATTAGTCTAGTCGGAGCAGAACAGTAGGATGTTAAACCCCATTTCATTTCATTTGCAAATCGAAAACCACTGTCTGGGTAAAATTCTCCTACCTATGGTTGCACACTTAACCATAGAAATAAAACTAAACCAAATATGTAAACCCAATTCCATATTTAGGGGGGTTGGGTGGCTGAATGGTTTAACACATGCGCTTTAGATCATAAGGTCTGTCATTGAGTCATGTGGCATCGTTTCAATTCCCTGCTTGTATGTGACACAAAGAAGGGTAGCCTATCCAACCTCGTAGGTTTTCTCTGATTTCATCTCACTGAAAAACAATGCTCAAGCGAATAATTGGAATAAAATTGAACCATATGTTAGTCCCGGAATTACCTAGTTTGTGTCGAGTGGACAGTAACCCCCATTTCTCTCTCTCTCTCTCTCTCTCTCTCACACTAGTATTTTATTTTTATTTTTATTTTTATCAAGGTTTGATTTTATCCTAGATCCATTAGGAGGAGAAAAAGGCGAACAGTATTCACAGTTTTTAAAATCTTGGCAAAATGCTAAGTTTGTCAGTATAGCTCCACCATTTTTAACAAATTTTGATAATTATGGAATCTTGCCAGGTTTAGTTAAAAATATTGGTGATTTGGGTTGCAGTGCATTAAAGGTAAACTAAATTATTTGTTGAATAGACATGTTTTCAATCTGATTAAAACACAGACCCTATTTCATTTCGTTTTTATAGTTCAAAATTTCGTTTTATTTGTCTGTACTACACTAGGATCTGGAAGAGTTGTTATATAACCTGCATTCTGATGGCGTGAGGGATTAGCCAATGCAACCATCTGTTACAGCGACTTCATGGTGTGCGATGCACGGGACTCTGGGTAAACCTCTAGAAACATCAACGCAGATTGATTTATCAATGTCTGATGTCATGGGCTCAAAAGCCGTTCGTGAGACCTCTGACGTGACTGTTTACTACAACTGGTCAGATCTTCGTGTAGTGTAGGCCATCGAAAGTATAAAAAACGAAACGAAATATAGATCTGTATTTTAATCAGATTGACATGCTTTGGCCTCAGTATGACCAAGTGGGCTTTAGATCATAGGGTTTGCACTGTAACAGATGACTACCATTAACACATGACGTCTCATCACGCAGCGTCAATCATTGGCTTAATGTCGGGTGCATTGTTTACATAATACCTAACTGGTTTGGGTGGAATTGAGCCTTTTACTCATTTTAATACCGATTTACACTAAATAGGAAATAATGTTTACCTACAAATACGTCAAAAGTCTTTATTTCTTTTTCTAATACATAAAAAAAATGTTTTAGAATTTAATTTTTCGTTGCAAAAAAGTTAATATTTGTGGCTCATTAAGTCACATCGATGTCATCCTTACCAGTGATTGTCGCGGCCTAGCGAATATTCACTGCGGATCAGTGTGATAATGTATGTTTTAAGTTATCACATGTGTTTATTATTACAGGGAGCTAAAGATGGTAAAATAATAAGATGGGCAGTGTTTGCTCCGTCAGAACAAGGATTGAAAAAAATAACAGATCTCATTATCTCTAGACAGGTGAGGTCCAATCTGATTAAAATACACATCTATATATTTCATATTGTCTCTACTACATGAAGATCTGACCAGTTGTAGTGAGGGGAGGGGGGGGGGTCGCGTCATGGGTCATACGAGCATCTTTTCACCCTATGATGTCAGACATTTGATTAGTCAATCAGTGTTGTTGTTTCTAGTAGGATACGCACAGTTCTGTGCATTGTTAAATTTTTAAAATGCACGGGGGTTCAAATCCATTTAAATCTTGGACATCCGATATCGGGATTTTCTAGCTGGGTTTCCCTTTGTTAGTGGTGCAAGATGGAGGACCTGACAAGGACAGCTGTCTAGTCAATCGGATGGGACGAACAACTGAGGACTTGTGTATACATTGGCGTGCACATAAAAAATCCCTTGGCAGTTGGAATTCGATATAAGAGTAGGCCATAGTGCCGCTGCCCGGGCAAAATTTCCCTCATAGCACACTGTATGGCGTATGCCTGTCTTCATTAGCCCAGTAGGATGTTAAACCCCATTTCATTTCGTGACCATCGGATGATCTAGAGATTTGATTATAGGGGCTTGGCGTGTGAATAAATGTCTAAATAATAATTTATATAGCATTTAAAACCAAAAGCAAGACCTTCAAATAGGCAGATTTAGTTCTTATATAATGCTTTTCGATTCCCTGCCTGTACATGAAATTTAAGGAATTACAGTCATGGGTTTTATTCCGAGTCCCTGCAACTGCTATAAAGACTCCTACATCTAAGCAAATTATTAAAAGAAAATTGAATCATATGTTAGTCCCAAAATGACCTAGTTTGTGTTAAGTGTATGTTAAAACACATCTTTATATAAATGCTTCTATGACTGATACTGAATGTTTGTTTTTTTTTCTTTATTATGATTTATTTTTATGGGGCAGATCACTACACAAGGGCATCCCTCAAAGTAGGAAGGTCACCCAGGGGCGACCTGTACCCCTGAAGAAATTCATCTGATATGTTAATCAGAAGCCTGGAACCAACCAAGCTTTTTATTTTCCTTACTCATTAGTTTAAGGCATAGTGATTGTAGGGGACAGGGTTTGACCAGTTCTAGCTAACACTTTAATAAAAACTGATCAAATTTCCCAAAATTCTCGAACACTGGATGATCGTTATAAATATAATTACTTCATTTATATCATATTTGAATTATTGGGTATGGTATCTGATTTTAAATTACAGATTTTGATCAAATATTTGTGTCAACATTACCTTTGATTACTATTGATTTTGTTATTTTTATTTATATAGGCTAAGTAAGGGAAATAACTCTTTTTTGTTTTTTTTTACGTTTTTTTCAAAAATGTTTGTTTTAGTTATTTCGTTGATGAATGATATGCCTTGTTGGCAAAATAGATAAATAAAATAATATGTTTACATGATATTACTTTCATAAAATTCATGAAAAGTTAAACATACATTATGCAAGAGCTAAATCTGACAGTTGCAGCTCTTTCTTTGGCCTGAAATGTTATATAAACTATTAATTAGACATTTATTAACATGAAAAGACCATAATCAACTCTCAATACCATCTTATGTGTCAGATTTTCACTGGATTTGAATCCGATTTGCTGCTCAACGCTCATTGATGATTTAATCCAAAAATGGATAATTGAAACTGTTTTTTATCATAACAACTTTAGTAATGATAATCGAGACTATGCCTAAAATTCAAACTCTAATATCTCGGTTCAGAATGGAGCACTTTGGCTGAAATTTTCAGCATATTCCCTTTCCATTATCTAAATTTTAACTATTATAGTGAGAACTGCCAGTTCTTTATCTAATCCTCTATAATGCCCCCTGATGAGAATCAAAACTTTTAATTCACTGTTAAAGGGCTACTGGCATTCTCACAGACCTTTATATTCTCTCAGGACCAACAATTGAATTTACTTATCTTTTGGGGGACTGTTGATAAATACCAAATCTTGTGGACCACATGAAACTATACATTATTTTATTTTTCAGATTCATCCAGTCGTGGAAAAAGTTTTTGAATTAGAAGATCTTCCATCGGCATATGAGAAAATAGAAAGTGGCCATTCTAGGGGAAAAACTGTAATTAAAATGAAATGAATGAAAGAACAATTTAAAAGTGACATTAAGACTACTGCAACTGTGTTAAGAGAAATTGTGACTTATCCTTATTAGTCTGTAGTTTAGATGAGATCTGTTTCAGCTATGAGGATTGGATGTCGTGGTTTCAGTCCAATGGACAGACTAGGATCCCCTGTCTCACCTTGTGGATTTTCTTAAGGTCCTTATAGAAATGGTTCCACTACTGATGTCTTCCGTCTTACTCCAGCCACAGTAGTGGATCGTTCTAAGCATTTCCTTTGAGCAAGATTTTTAGTCAAATGACTACAAAAATGTTATTGACCTATAGTTCCCTTAATTTCCACATAAACTGACCCCAAACCGTACAGCACATGGCTTAACATATAATACACCAATTCCCATTAAAATAAAGGTGAAGTCTTACCGCATAATTATATGATAAAATTACTTATTTCAATGTAAACTGTAATGATATGTGTTGACAGCTGTGTTTGAATCTATTTGTACTTACGTTATGCCTCTTAGACTGTATCAATTGTAGAGCTAAGCACAGTTTAACGCGACAATATTGTAGCTAGGTTACTTCGTCCTCCTAATAGCTAATCGTGTGTGAAGAATCTCAAACCATAATCAGTTCATAGTTTAAGACAACGTCTGTTTTAGCTATGCTGGGCGAGAGGTAGGTAGGGTGTCTTGTTGTCGATCCAAGAGTAGGGTTGCATGTGACCCCTGCTGGATTTCTCAATATTGGAGGATTTACACAGCATTGGATGTGATGATCACCAGTGTACAGGAGTGTAACATCTCGACCAAACGTGACCTTGACACACCATGCTTTATCTAGACTTGAAAGCTAACAGTCTGCCAGAGGGCTAAATCTATTTGTTAAGGCCAGCTCAATTTTTGTCAAGGTCCCTGAGATGTAAATAAGGTTAAGGCATGTGATTGTTGTCGAGATTGTAGTTATGGTTAGGGTAAGCATTCAGGCTAGGTCCAGGGTTAGGGTTAGGGATGGGATTAGCACTAGCCCTGTTTACATCTCGTGACCTATGACGAAAAAATGAGCCAGTCTTATCATTTATCACTAACCCTGCCAGAGACCATATTGGCCTATATTTTCAGCTGGTCTGAGGTCTCCAAATAGGATTTTTTTACCCCTCAAGAAGTTTTTCTAATATAACTGTATGTCTTCTGTTCAGCTTAATTTTAGTGAAACTAAAAGACTTTATTTTTCATTTCTAAGTTTATTAATTATTTATGTACAAAGTTTAAAAATCCTGTAAAATAATTATGTTGTATTAAAAGATCATGAAATACAATTAACTTTTAAAAAAAAAAAACATTTCAAGTGCAGGAGAGATAAGTGAGAAAGAAGACAAGTTATTAAAAAATGCATTATGTAAGGTTTAGATAAAGATCTGACAGTTCTCGCTAAAAATAGATAATGAAAAAGGATTATATTGAAAATTTCTGTCAAATTAGTTCATTCTGAGCGGAGGTATGGTGTAGTCTTGATTTTCCTTGCTACCAGGAGCCACGGTGACTAAGTGGGTAAGACGCTGGCTCGCTAGCCAGGAGGTTGTGTGTTCGATCCCTGCATTGGCCGAGAAAGATCATCAGAATTATCCGATGTGGTTTCCCCTTGCCAGAAGTGCAGGATGGAGGGCCTGACTAGGACAGCTGTTTAGTTGTTTGAATGGGACAAAAAAACAAAGTCTTGTGCATACATTTGCGTGCAAGTAAAAGATCCCTTGGCAGTTGGAATTTGATACAAGAATAGGCCAGAGTGTCGCTGGCCGGTCAAAATTTCCATCATAGCACACACATTATCAATATTAATCAGCCAGCTTTAAATAGGACACAATTAGTACAAATTAGATGTTTTTGGGTGATTTTAAATAATTTAAACAAATATTTAAACAAAGGCTTGATATTAAATGAATGTGAAAGAAATTAATGCTAGATACACAAGATTAAATGATACCCGGGTTACAGTGATGATATCCCTAATATCATTGGGTGCAAGATAAAAACACGGAACAAAATTTACATCTGTATTTTAATCAAATTGACACCAATCTAGTTCAATCATTTACATTTTTATCTTCTAAATCTATTTCATTTATTGAATAAAACATAGAATAAATTCATTTAACATTCCTTTTGTTTACCTTAAAAAACATAAATAATTGTTTCGAGGGTGAAACATCGAACTAACAATTCTAAAACTTATTTTCTTTTAAAAACATTTTGCTTATTCATTTAGTGATCTCTTTAAGCACTTGGAACCATGAAAAATACAAAATATTAGCTACCCCAGTTTCCTGAGATAAGTGATCTTTTTCTTTTTTACATGAAACTTTGTGGCTCATTTTCGAAACCACCTGATACTGCTGCCCAGATCACCCGAGTCACAGAACCACCTGATACTGCTGCCCAGATCGCCCCCGGTCACAGAACCACCTGAAACTGCTGCACAGATCACCCGAGTCACAGAACCACCTGATACTGCTGCCCAGATTGCCCGAGTCACAGAACCACCTGATACTGCTGCCCAAATCGTCCGCGTCACAGAATCACCTGATACTGCTGCCCAGATCGCCCGAGTCACAGAACCACCCGATAGTTCACATTTATTTACCGAACTTGGGTGTTTTGTGGAGCTAGAAAAAACAGTAGTTTCGGGCGTTCCAACCAGGGATCTTAATCGGTTCATTACTGTCGGCTTCAGCCATTGATGTTTGAAAATAGCCAATTGATAAAACAAAGAACCGGCCACTAATTGCCCACTATGGTATCATAAATTAATCTAATTTAAGCTAAATTACAACAGGTTAATTATTACATGTTAATTAAGAAGTCAATCAACTTGCTTGTCGGCTACAATAACAGTCATACCTTAGTGAGAATATGCCATGTGGTTCAAAATCCAAGTAATTAGCACATTTAACAGTAATCTTGGAACATCCGAGTACGAAAGGGTTTGCTTGACACTTAATAAAGAGGAGAGAACCCTCGTCGAAACGTCGCCAGAAATAAACTTCAAAGTAACTTGCTTTTCCATATAAATGTGTCATGAGATATACTAAATGGTAAGTTTAAACTTCTGGGATGTCCGATGTCTCGTTTCTTTTAAAACATTTTGTGTGCTAAGCTACCGATCTCATATTAGTATAAAAGATTATATATTTTTAACATATTTTCTAATATAAAAGTACAATAAAGTAGATCAAACTCTGATGGAAATATTAATTACAATTTAATATAATGAATTTATAAAGTAATAATATAATGAATTTATAAAGCGCCTGCATTCCCGTAAAAATTACTGCTCCACGGCGCTAAAAATTTCAGTTTTGTTAAATTCTATGAAGGAATATTGAGTGATCTAATGACTAGGTTTTAAAAACAAATTATATTAAAGGTCACCGGAAAAGCTTCATTTTTTAAAAAAAATAATGCAAGTAATTATGTCAACGTATCCTTTCCATAAGTAGTAATTTCTGTCATTCTGCATGAGTAGTTGTAACTATCCGTCAATAAACAATCTGTGACGTCATTTTAGTCCTTCTGTTCATATTCTAATTATTTTAGTCTATATTTCTATGAACAGAAGGACGTAAATAACATCATAGCATGTTTATTGGCAGAAAGTTACAACTACTCACGTAGAATGCCGGAAATTGCTAACGTTGAAATTTACCTGTGGCAGGTAACATTGACATTCAGGTTCGTGTTATACTTATGGAAAGGATATGTTGACATAATTACTTGCATTATTTCAAAACATTATGAAGCTTTTCCAGTGACCTTATTTTAACTAAAATAGTCCTTTACAAAACTTTTGTTGTTTTAATATATCAAATACATCAGTAAGAAACTATGTGTAAAGTTTTGTGTTTCTGGATCAAAGATATTTCTCATAATGAGTCATTGAAAGTTGAGTAAATTCTTAACTATGTCTGAAAATGCTTTGTGAAATCGATGCCAGGGCCTTTGCTTCCCATTTTTGCTAGCCATTAAATTTTTGACTATTTTGTTTACCTCTAATCTGATTAAAACACAGATTCTATTTCGTTTCGTTTTTTTTGTTCAAAATTTCATTTTACTTGTCTTTACTACACTAGGATCTGGAAGAGTTGTTATCTCTGACATGTTCTGAATAGCCAATGAAGCAGTCTGTTACTGCAAGCTTTAAGCATGTTTTCCAGGGAACTGTGGGTAATCCACTAGTAACATCAAAGCTGATTGGTCATACGGTCAAAAGCCGCTACAACTTGTCAGATCTTCATGTAGCATAGGCCATCGAAAGTATAAAAAACGAAACAAAATATAAATCTGTACTTTAATCAGATAATGTTGACCTAAGAGTAGCTAGGGTTTTTTTTACTAAGAATTTTGAAAATGGGTTTGCCTTGTTTTAATCCAATTTAATATTTCGATTTTGTTTTCTTAATTAAATGTTACATAATCCATGATGATGGACTACATTTTAGCGTGGTAGAAGCCGAAGGAAATTTGATATTATCCGAAAATGCAAATAGAGCACAGAGGACTTTAAGAGTTTAAGACCAAGTCAGTTATAGTGACAACATGGAAGATATCTATTCTAGTTGACGATATCCATGGACCCCAAACATCAGCGTTAAAGCAAAGCTCCTGAACCGGGGCCCGTTTCACAAAATTTTAACTAAGATAATATCCAAATTTTAGTAATTTGATTGGATAATAGATTGATTTTAATGCTTGGCCAATCAAAAATTGAAGTATCTACTAAAATCTGGATTTTATCTTTAGTTAAAATTTCGTGAAACAGGCCCCGGGTATAAAAGAAATGGTTGACTATTTTCAAAATGTGGTTTATAATATATAGCTAATGATGTAGATAATGATGAACAATATGATTATATTAGATATGTATAAACATTATACAAGATAAAATGATTAATATTTTAAAACTATATACTACGGCAGTGTTTGGCTTATATATACAATACAATTATAATATATTTATCCACATTTCTAACTTCACAGATATACACAGATCCAGTAACGTTTGAGAAGGAGTTCGGAACCAAATTATTGGGACTACATCAAGTGTAGACAAAAAATATGGAGTGCGGACCCAAACTATTGGGACTACAGCAAGTGTAAACAATAAATAAGGAGCACCCGTATCATTGATCAACTTCAAAATTTTACCAGACAGCCAATTTTTGATATTGTTTTTTTTCATTGGTATCATAGATTAACAAGACGTATGACAATTTTTTTTTTTATCATTATCCCAATTTTTAAGTGTTTTTAAACATAAAATAATCTAACTGCATTTATTGTGCTTTAAGGATGCATTATTCAAGAGCTAAATCAGCCTATTGCCAGGCCTGGAAATAACGGTTTTAGATGTACCTGACAAACTGTCAGACACTAATGAAATAGTACCTGAAATTTTCAACTTAGTGCCGGTCATGTATTAATAATATCAATAAGAAAGACAAATCAGTGCCAGACAATATGACAGGCACCAGAGGTTTAGTGCCTGACAAAGCCTGAATCTGTGCCGGACGTTGTCTGTGACAGGTGCCTTATTTTCAGGCTTGCATATTGAAGGTCTTTTAATTTGGATTTGAATGTTAAATAAGTTATTATTTAGACATTTATTCACACGACAAGCTGAAAATCATTTCTCTGGAACATTGGATGGCTGAGTTTTAAACAGATTGAAATATGATTGCCATTTAATGATTCGATTTAAAAATGGAAAAGTGAGACATAGTCTTGATTAACAAGTGATGTTGCTATGATAATAAACAACCTATGTCAAAACTTGAAACGGTGATAACGTCGCTCAGAATAAAGTAATCAGAATGAAATTTTCAATATATTTTGGAACTATTATAGCAACTCTTTATCTAAATCTTTTACAGTGCATCTTTAAAAAGTTAAAATTATTTGAGATTCTAATTTTAATGGCATGTAGATTCACTGACAAGTAAGTTCTCTGTAGTGTATAGGCAGTTTCACTCCCGAGTCTGCCCAAGTTCACAAAGCATTCTCAGACTTAAGTTAAGAATTTACTCAACTTTCAATCACTGTTTATGAGAAATATCTTTGATCCAGAAACACAAAACTTTGCACACAATTTCTTAATGATGCATTTGATACATTAAAACAACAAAAGTTTTATAAAGGGCTATATTTTAGTTAAAATAAGGCGAACAATTTTAAGTAAATTCTTAGGTCTGAGAATGCTGTGTGATCTCAGTTCCTGGAGAACATATATCCTTGCTTGTCACACTATTTTTGATATGATAAACAACCCAATGACACAATGTTCAAATTTATTTTTCTGTCAGCTGCCTAAAATTATAACACATATTTTACTAAGGATAACCTAAAAATTCTAAGTACATTTTGTTTTTCAATGAACTAAAAATTCTACAACTGATACAGTTTGACAGATTGAATAAACTGTTTATATTAACAAAGGTTAAAAAGGGATGTTATTTATAGAACAGGGTTTTCAAACAAGCCTTAAACAAATGTAATATCTCACTAAACAACAAGGTACCTATTTCTTAATATCATTTAATTCAGAGTTATTTCCTCGGCTAAAACCGAGACTGAACCGTAGACCATCTATCTGGTTAGTGATCCAATGCCACTATGGCCCCCTGGAAAATCCTGAGGTATTTTCTCGGCTAAAACCAAGATCGAACCCTTGTCCTATTGAGCCACCATGGCCCCTTTTAATTTAGAGCCATAAAGGCCTATAGTAATCGAACTTGTTCTCTCTGTGTAAGCCAATACATATATTGTGTTCCCAGCTAAATATGAGAGGCGTGCTCCTCCAAGTAATGTTGTTTTGATTATCAGTACGACTACCTGTATTCAGACACACCCACCCCCACCATGTGTTCCTGTAGTGCTGCTCTGATGGGTTCTACTTGAGCCCTTGATGTTCCCTCCGCTCATCAAGGCTATTAACCCGCGTTGATATGTTATTAAGGTAGGATCAGGCGAGATGTCAATCCAATTAAAATACAGATCTATATTTCATTTTGTTTTTTTTTATACTTTCGATGGCCTACACTACATGAAGATCTGATCGCGTCAGGGGTCATACAAGCGGCTTTTGACCTTATGACATCAAACATTTGATAAATTATCAGCATTGTTGTTTCTAATGGGTTACCTCAATTCTGTGCACCTCACGCCAAAAACTCGCCGTAACCGACCGTTTCATTAGCTAACCATGCACATTATCCAGAATGCAGGTTATATAACAACTCTTCCAGATCCTAGTGTAGTAAAGACTAGTAAAACGAAATTTTGAACTATAAAAAACAAACCGAGAGAGAGAGAAATGGGGTTTAATGTCTACTCGACACAACTAGGTCATTTCGGGACTAACATATGGTTTAATTTTATTTCAATAATTCGCTTGCGCATAGGGGTCTTTAGCAGTGGGAGGAAACCAGAGGACGCGGAGAAAACCCACGCGGTTGGACAGGCGACCCTACTCCTTGTCACGTACAACTGGGGATTCGAAACCACACCAGTCGACTCAATGACAGACTTTATGATACAGCGCGCGCACGCTAACCATTCAGCCATCCAACCCCCCGAAAAACAAAAGGAAATAGGATCTGTGTTTGAATCAGATTGGGTAAGATGTGTGTTTACCAGTAGATATATTTTGTAGAAAAAAATTTGTATTCTTAATATCGAAAATAATATCTGATGTAAATAATTAAAACTTTTAAGAAATAGGCCCTATCGTAACTAATAAATATCACATAAATATTATATACAAAACATTTAAATATGAAATACGACACGATGTGATGGTTGAGAACTCGCGAAGTCAAAATATCCCATTTCTTTCAGCTCAGATTTGTCTTTTTTCCGTGTTTTTATAGAAAAGCCATAGAAATATACATATATTTCTATTTCTGTGAATGAGGTTGGATGATCGAATGGTTAGCACGTGCACGCTATTTCATAAGGTCTGTCATTGAGTCAACTGGCAGGGTTTTGATTCCCCTGTTGTAAGTGACAAGGAGTAGGGTCGCTATCCAACCTCATGGATTTTCTCCGGGTTCTCCGGTTTTCAATAATTCACTTGCTCGTAAGGTTCTTTAGCAGTGGGAGGAAACCGGAGGACCCAGAGAAAACCTATGGGATTGGACATGTGACCCTACTCCTGGTCACGTACAACCGGGGAATCGAAACCACGCAAGCTGACTCAATGACAGACCTTATGGTACAGCGTGCACGTGCTAACCATCCACTCCTCCTCGATAATAATGTATGTATAATGATAGTACAATAGAAATATACAATTAACGACAAAACCTATGAGATTGGACACGCGATCCTACTCCTTGTCCCGTACAACCAGAGAATCGAAACCACGCAAGCTGACTCAACAACAGACTCTATGATAAAGCGCGCAGGTGCTAACCATTCGGCCAACCGCCCCTCCTCGATAATAATGTATGTATAATGATAATACAATAGAAATGTACAACTAACGAGTCATCAAACAATCTCAATAAGGTAAATACAAACAATTTTAAACTAAAATTCTATATACAAATCTTTTTACAATTTACTACATGATAAATTCATTTTGATTTAACAATCCTCATCAGCAATTCTCGCTCTCTAGTTGTGAAAATTAAATAAAATCATCAGTTGCCTGGGTTTGTTGAGAGTATTACCAATCTTAATTTAGTTATTAATCGCTACATTACAACCTGCTATAGAATTCCAACTGCCAAGGGATCTTTTACATGCATGCCGATGTGTAGGTCTACACAGGACCTCGGTTTTTCAGACAACATCCTAATGACTAGATATTTTTTATCTACGTCAGACCCTCCGTCCGGCACCACTGACAAGGGGAAACCACGTCAGAAAATCCTGATGAACTTTCTCGGCTTAAAAGAAATGAAATGGGGTGTAACTGTTTTGCACCAGCCGTGCTAATGAAATGAAATGGGGTTTAACGTCCTACTGTTCTGCTCCTAAACTGGGCTAATGAAGACGGTCCGTGCTAATGAAGAAAAGCATATGCGATACCGTATGCTATAAAGGAAATTCTGCCTACTCTTGCTGGAATTACTACTGAGACAGGATTTCTTTTTGTCCCATCCATGCAACTAGACACTGTTCCTTGCCAGGTTGTTTAATCCTTCATCAAAAAGAGGGGGAAACCCTGTGATTTCCACCCCTTCTGGTTCTAGCATGACTAGTTATAAACTAAATCAACACCAGTTGTAATCGCAAATACGCAGGCAACTGATTTTTCATATCATCCTCAAAACTAGATAGAAAAAAGATAAGGGCTGCAACTAGAATGTGAATGAGCACATGAAATGTCTTCATATAAAACGAGATTCTGTATCAGCGCTCAATAATGGATCCATGAACTTAATGCTTAATAGCACTTTAAACCTCAAAAATCAAGTCCTTTAAAGGTCACCGGAAAAGCTTCAAATTTTTTTTAAATAATACAAGCGATTATGTCAACATATCCTTTCCTTAAATATAACACAAACCTGAATGTCAATATTACCTGCCACAGGTAAATTTCAACGTTAGTTATTTTCGTCGTTCTTCGTTCTTCGTGAGTAGTCGTAACTTTCTGTCAATAAACAAGCCATGACTAAATTTTAGTCCTTCTGCTCATAGAAATATAGGCTAGAATATAAGCAGAAGGACTAAATTGCCGTCACAGATTTTTTATTGACGGAAAGTTACAACTACCCACAAAGAACGGCAGAAATAACTAACATTGAAATTACCTGTGGCAGGTAATATTGACATTCAGGATCGTGTTATACATATGGAAAGGATATGTTGACATGATTACTTGAATTATTTTAAAAATTTATGAAGTTTTCCTGGTGATAATTAAGACTGTGAATTGGATTTTACTCATGAAATCTGTAAATGAAATGAAATTGAGTTTAATGTTCAACTTTTTGCTCCAACCTTGCTAATGAAGATGTGTTGGACAAAATCTGTCTAGAGGTTTTATCTAACTGATTCAAATACAGACCTATATTTTGTTTCGTTTTTTTATACTTTCGATGGCCTCTACTACATAAAGATCTGACCAGTTGTAGTAGAAAGTCACGTCAGGTGTAATACAAGTGGCTTTTGACCCTATGACATCAGACATATGATTAATCAATCAGCGTTTATGTTTCTAGTGGGTTACCCACAGTTCCGTGCACCTCATGCCAAAAACTCACCATAACAGACCGTTTCATTGGCTAATCCCTCACATCATCCAGAACCCCGGTTATATAACAACTCTTCCAGATCCTACTGTAGTAAAGATAAGTAAAACAAAATTTTGAACTATAAAAAAAACGAAAGAAAATAGGATCTGTGTTTTCATCAGATTAGAGGTTTTACCTATGCTTAAATATCTCTTTAAAGGCTATTTTAGATTAAAACATATTATGTTTAATAAAAATCTCTTTAGAGGCTATTTTAGATTAAAACCAATGTCTAAAAAATCTCTTCGGAGGCTAATTTAGATAAAAACTTGTTTCTATGACTATTCTAAAATCTGTACATGAAGATGTGATAAGTAAAAACATTAATGAACAATGAATATAATAAAGATAAAAATATTTCACATAGAAACAATGATTAATGGAGCAATGTACAAGCACATAGTAAAATCTAGGGATTTAAATTCCAATATTTTTCATGATTAACGCCCAGGACCAAAGTTTTTTCGTGTTTTGCTTTATTACTAAACTCTTGTCTTAATATTTGAGTGAAGTGGCATAGTTTTTGATTCAGGTCATGCCGTGTGCTATGGCATAGTTTTGATCCAAATCATGGCGTGTGCTATGCACAAAATTCTGCCACAGCCTACTCTTAGTATATATGGGACTTCTTTTTTCTTGTCCCATCCAGTTGACTAGATGATTTCTTTTGTCGGGCCCTCCATCCTGCACCACGGGGCAATGCAGAGAGACAGAGAGAGAGAGAGAGAGTGAGAGAGAGAGAGAGAGAGAGATAAGGTTTAACATCCACTGACACAAACTAAGTCACTTTGGGACTAACATACGGTTAAATTTTTTTTCAATAACTCACTTGAGCGTAGAGGTCTTTAGCAGTGGGAGGAAACCGAAGGATCAAGAGAAAACCCGTTTGAAAACTTCTGAGGTACTTCTCACTGGGGATCAAACCTAGATACATATTAAAGCAATAATTGCATATTTCTTTGAAATAATTTCTACTCCCCAACAGTATTTGGAAATTGTATCATTTATTTTTTTCACTGGAAAACTATGTCTACACAATGGAAGAGAGAGTTGTCTTGATTGTCAAGGTCCGTTGTTAAACAGATAAGGATAATGATGTTTGATTTAAAAAGAAAATAATATATTTGCCAATTTATCAACTGACAGAAGTGAATTATAGGACAGTGTGTATAGATGCCATGTATTTTAAGGCCTTACTTTCAAATATTTTAAACATATGACTTTAAAAAAAATGCAATTATCGCTTTTAGACATTAAGATAATTTACGACCCTGGACCTAAATGTCAAGATTTTAAAAATATATCAATGTAAGGCAATATAAATAAAAACATTCTAGCTCTCAGACCGTCACATCACTGAAACCAATGGTGAGAAGTAGAACTTTGAAATGTGATGTTTGTGAGGACAAGAATGTGATGTTTGTGAGGACCAGAATGTCAATTTTTTATCTGAACTAAATGAAAACATGTTTAAATATTGACCCACCCCCTTCGCCCAAATGAAAACATTTACAAGAACATGATTAAATAAAACACATGGCGATAACATAAAAACACCTGGCGATAACATAACAACACATGGCAATAACATAAAAATAAACACATGGCGATAACATAACACATGGCGAGAACCGCATAGCAATAACATAAAAACCTGGACAGAAAAACATACCGAAACCTATTCAAAATTACATCGATAAAATATATAATGATCAACTATGATAATAATAAAAATATTAATAGTAATTTGTGACCACTGTTCTGTAACGATAAAAATGTTAAGATGATTTAATTCATAAAACACTAAAATGTCAAACAAACTACTATTACAATAATAATTATAATTCTTGTGTATTCGGAGCAGGTGATGGAACTGCTGAACTCGTTCCTTTTTTATCTTTTTGTTTGGAGAGTGTGGCAACTTGTCGCATTAACTCTTTATTCTTCGACTGAAATAAAATATTAAAATATCAGTTCTGGCTCCATGTATCGTTCACGTTTTACCTTTTCACACTGTATGTAATCTCAAGGTGCAAATTGACCTTTTCACACTGTATCTAATCTCAAGGTGCAAATTGCGAACAGAGAGAGAGAGAGAGAGAGAGAGAGAGGGAGGACCCTGAGAAAACCCACGAGGTTGGACAGGCGACCTTACTCCTTATCACGTACAACCGGAGAATTGAAACCACGCCAGTTGACTCACTATCTGATTAAAACACAGATCCTATTTCCATTCGTTTTTTGTAGTTCAAAATTTCATTTTACTTGTCTTTACAACACTAGGATCTGCAAGAGTTGTTATATTACGGGGTTCTGGTTGAAGTGAGGGATTAGCCAATCAAATGGTCAACACTGATTATTAATCAATGTCTGCCGTCATCCGGTCAAAAGCCAGTTGTACGACCTCTGACGCGACCCCCCACTACAACCAGCCAGTGTAGTGTAGAACATCGAAAGTATAAAAAAATAAACGATTAATCAAAGTCAAAAGCCACTCATATAATACCTGATTGACCTTCCACTAAAACTGGTCAGATCTTCATGTAGTGTAGGACATCGAAAGTATAGATCTGGATTTTAATCAGATTGGTTAACTCAACGACAGACCTTCAGATCCAACGGACACGCACTAACCACTCAGCTATCCACCCCCACCCCGCATGGAGGCTTTAAATCTTTCATATAAAGAGAGAGAGAGAGAAATGGGGTTTTACGTCCACTCGACACAAACTAGGTCATTTTGGGACTAACATATGGTTTAATTTTATTTCAATAATTCGCTTGCGCATAGAGGTCTTTAGCAGTGGGAGGAAACCGGAGGACCTGGAGAAAACCCACGAGGTTGGACAGGCGACCCTACTCCTTGTCACATACAACCGGGGATTCGAAACCATGCCAGTTGACTCAATGACAGGGCGTATGATACAGCACGTACGTGCTAACCATTTGACCATCCCCCCCCCCCTTCATATAAAACATTATTAATGAAATGAAATGGAGTTTAAGGTCCTACTGTTCTGCTCCAATACTGGGCTAATGAAGACGGGCATACACCATACAGAGTGCTATAACATTTTTATAATAATAACCTCACCTGCAGTGTATCTATAGTATTTGATGTGGTGCTATAACATTGTTAATAATAATAACCTCACCTGAAGTGTATCTATTGTATTTGATGTGGTGCTATAACATTGTTAATAATAATAACCTCACCTGAAGTGTATCTATTGTATTTGATGTGGCAAAATTTAAAGATTGTAACTTTCCTCTCAACTCTTTCTCTAACTGAAACTCAGACACTTTCAATTCACTAATCTGGAATAGAATAGTCTCATGAATAAAAAGATTACAGTCATTTTGGTATAAAAATATCAATAGCCAATATTTTACAAATTTATAAGCAAAAAATAAGAATCCCCTATTTTTTTTAAAATAATATTTAAAAAGATACAGGGTGACCAAAAAAAGAACAGAACCCATAATTTTTTTATTAAATCCTACAAAGATCCTGCAAATTTGATGAAATTTGCTGGACTTAAAACATCAGTCCGTGTACGATCATTCCCCAAAGTTTCAGTATCTTGGTGGCTTTGTATAAAAGTCATGTTCTTTCCAAAATACACACCAAAGGGTCTCTGCGGCATTGGAGGCAAACGTGCATAAGTCGCACAAAATTGTCAATTACTCGAACACATTCCTCTTTGGGGATTCCCCTGATTTTTGCTATGATTGCCAAAATATACTCCAAAGGGTTTCTGCGGCATTGGAGGCAAACGTGCATAAGTCGCACAAAATTGTCAATTACTCGAACACATTCCTCTTTGGGGATTCCCCTGATTTTTGCTATGATTGCTGCCTTCAGTTCACCAATCGTTTGAGGATTGTTCTGGTACACATTATCCTTGAGATAATCAGGGAAATCCCCAGTGAGGAATGTGTTTGGGTAATTGACAATTTGTGTGATGTATGCAAGTTTGCCTCAAATAGTTCTTAAAATTCTCGAAGTATACTAATGTTGTCGATTTAGGACTTAAAATGTCGATCAATGTTCTCGAGTGAGCTAGTACCTTACTCACTATGCCAAGGTGGCTCCTGAAAAGAGAGAGAGAGAGAGAGAGAAAGAGAGAGACAAACTAGGTCATTTCGAGACTAACATATGGTTCAATTTTATTTCAATAATTCACTTGCGTGTAGGGGTCTTTAGCAGTGGGAGAAAACCAGAGACTCCGGAGAAAATCCACGAGGTTGGTCATGCGACCCTACTCCTTGTCCCGTACAACAGGGGAATCAAACCCACGACAATCGACAAACCTTATGATACAGCACCCACATACTAACCATTCGGTCATCCAAACCCTCCAGGTGGCTCCAGACAGAGATTTGATAACATACCTTTTTATCTTTTTCCTTTAAAAGTGAGTCTTTAACTTGTAATTGTTTCTTTAAACTTTCTATTTGATCTTTCAGTTGAGTTATAACTATAACATGATCCGAGCTAACACTGTCCATTTTACTAGCCTCGGTAAAACTACTGTTTGAATTACTGAAATATAAAATAATCATGCAATTGTATTTGATATGTACATTTGTTGCTTACATTGTGTCTCAGTTTTTCGTACGTTTTTTTTTGTGTGTGGTGCATTCCTCCTGCAATTCCTGACACACAAACTTGAATACCACACAAAAAGAGTAAATCTTACTAAACAGTAAATCTTATACAAGAACAGATAGGAAAGCAAACATGGACAGATAAACCAGCATGGTGCAGTTTTCATCAACTCTTCTTTGAAGTGTCAAATTTAACAATGAACCCCGCCCACATGTATGGCGCTATTGCGTGTAGCATGTGCAGCTCAGTGGTTCTCTTGGGGCGATAAGTTCTTCATCTGTGAACATACTCTCAAAGCATGTCAAATGTCCATGACTATTTATCATATCGCAACCTGCATAGGTATTTTCATTTCAATGTCCCCTACTTTTTTAGAAGAGTATATTTGGATAGTTTAAGTATTTACCTTTTTGGTGTTGTGACTCCATTTGATGATGTTTTTTCTAATCGTGGTTTCTTTCCCTGACTTGATTCATCTTCTGATCTGTAAACATATTTAAACTCAATAAAAATCATAAATCTCTATCATCCAGAAAAATATTCTACGAATATAAGTTTGGATGTGTTGTCAATATTTGAGAATAATAGGTCATTGGCTACATTATCCGGTCATTTACACTGAGGGTACTCGATTGTACGTTCTGGAATTGAATTCTCTCAATCTCAAAAATGGTGACAAAAGAGTGAAAAGGGAAATGCGTTGACTGGATAAGTAAATATCTCAACCAACCATACAGCCGGGAAAATATTTGTTGTGTTTAATTACGTCACGATTCTACTCACACTACCTCCTACTGTTCTGCTCCTGTCTGGTGCAAGATGGAGGACAGCTGTCTAGTCGTTCGGTTGGGACAAAAAAAAAACAAGGTCCTGTGTATATATTGGGTGTACACGTAAAAGATATCTTGGCAGTTGAAATTCGATATAAGAGTAGGCCATAGTGCCGCGGCCCGGGCAAAATTTCCTTCATGGCACACTGTATGGTGTATGCCCGTCTTTACTAGCCCTATTTCATTTTATTTCATTTCAATCAAATTCATCTGTTCACTCATAGAAAAAAACAAATAATTAAAGGTCTTAAGCAGTTTTAGACTTAGGTTTGTCGGAGAAATTGCCTCATGGCACCGTCAAATCTGTAGGCGAATTCATCCCATCTGCCCAATCGAAAATGTTGTCTCCTCAAGAGACAGATCTCATCCTACAGCCAATCAAATCACAGAAAACTACAACATCAGACCCCATAGATGTCAGTGAGACAATCTTCATGGATGCCAGTGAGACAAACCTCATGCATGTCAGTGGGAAATCCCCATGGATGTCAGTGAGACAATCCCCATGGATGTCAGTGAGACAATCCCCATGGTTGTTAGTGAGACAATTCCAATGGATGTTAGTGAGACAATCACAATGGATGTTAGTGAGACAATTCCAATGGGTGTTAGTGAGACAATCCCCATGGATGCTAGTGAGACAAACCCAATGGATGGCAGTGAGACAATCCCCATGGATGGCAGTGAGACAATCCCAACAGATTGCCAGGAATGAAACAAATATCACAATCTAAACCCAATTTGGATTGACATATTGCATGTATCTGATTCAGAACCGACAGAGAGAGAGAGAGAAATGGGGTTTAACGTCCACTCGACACAAACTAGGTCATTTCGGGACTAACATATGGTTAAATTTTATTTCAATAATTCGCTTGCGCGCAGGGGTCTTTAGCAGTGGGAGGAAACCGGAGGACCCGGAGAAAACCCACGAGGTTGGACAGGCGACCCTACTCCTTGCCACGTACAACCGGGGATTCGAAACCACGCCAGTTGACTCAATGACAGACTTTATGATACAGCGCGCGCACGCTAACCATTCAGCCATCCACCCCCCCAGAACTGACAGAAATTTACTTACAATAATGAAGATCTAGATTTAGACTTATTAGGCTTTTCTTTTGTTTTCTCCAAAAGACTGGCAGCCTTCTCCGATAAACTTCCACCGCTGGCTGGACTACCTGGACTAAGATGTTTATTTTTATCCAGTAATGATTGTTTAGCAGGTTTTCCAACTCCGCTAAATTTTAACAAAGTGTCAACACTTGAGGAACTTTTTTGAATATTTTCTGTTTTGCTAGGACCGAATATTTTGTCTAATTTTGTGTCCGTGATTGCTTTAGTTGGAGGTGTTTTGGTTGAGGGCTGCTTACGGGTTGTTCCTAGACTTTTGCGTGTATCGTCTCTTTGTTTCCGCGTTTTTGCTACAACACGTCTGTATGCTAAAGTACACAGCCAACACAGGATTTTTCCATCATCCTGTAAAAAATACGAAAATTCAACATTTAACACTGAACTGCAATATAAAGCAAGCATTTTGATATTTTCACGGCCACACTTTCGAACTGGGAAATCACTAGCATTTCATGGATATTTTTTAGCTTCCATGTGCTAACAGTAGCGTAACTATATTTCAAAATATTAATATTTATTGATGGCTGGGATTCTGAATTTTAGGGATTTGCGCCGATATTGGTTGACATGATGAAACTTAGTAGTGAATAATATTTGCTGCCTCGCAGCGATCAATTTTTTTGCTTTGTTTTTTTTCTTGTTAGTGGTGCAGGACGGAGGACCTGACAAGGACAGCTGTCTTAGCCTTTTATATTTATTTATTTAAAAACATAAACCCCATTCAAAATATGGTCATAAATCAGAGAATATACCATCTCCGGCATCAGACGGCACGTTTACATTTCTTAATTTCACTTGTCTCACAAGATTTCTACTTCCATTTCAGTTATTGTACTATAACCGCCATGTGTGTTTGTGTGAAATAGCTTTATTTAACTTCAGCTTCCACAGAAGAAATATCACAAACAAGTTATCGGATACAATGTATATCAATTTGGGGTGTTATATATTATTAGGATATGTGACATATATGACTAATTCCTATGTGTTGTCGGACGACATCAAGGCGATTGAATCACCAAACAATGAAGAAATCACAGGTTAATCACGTAGATTAAGTTTATAATCACTCTTATTGGATTGATATATAGTCCGACAGAGGAGAAACAATGACTTCTGTTCAGGATTGAATTGATGAATTGTCCGACAAAGGACTAAGTCAGCAAATCAAGGCAGATTAAGTAGTTAATCAAGGTAGGTGTATAGACGGTATAACATGATAAATACGTTGATCACATAATTACCTAATCAGTCCAGCCTATTATCGACGATAATCAGGTTGAGTGGTAGTTATACACTCAGTAAACTATATTAATTTTGGAATTTTGAATATTATTCCCCATGTCTTGATATCCGATTGGGCATAATCTTGGTCGGACAATTCAGCGTTGGACAGGTCCGGAATATACGGGCAAAATCCCATCACTGGTATAGTTTATATGGAATAACCATGTTTTGTATTGTCAAGTTGAATTTGTTCCTAACTATTCTAGGAATAATCTTTAAAATTACTGATTGGTTCGATGGTAGCCGACACGTTTCCTGGAATATTTACAACTTCCAAAATTTATGTTCATATTATTACCTTTTTTTGATCTCCACGGTTGAATGCACATTTCTGTTTACACTGTTCACAAGTTTTGGGCATTCCCCATTTTCTCTCTGAGTTTGCACATCTTTGGCACCTTCCTCCGATAAATGCTGCTAAAATACTACAATATTCGCATGCTGTTGGCTACAAAACACAAGTAAATATCAAATAAACAATACATTTAAAAGATTATTCAAACAAAAAAATATTGGACTTAAACTATCTTTTGTTACCTTCTTCAAGCTCAAAAAGAGGCTTTGTCAAACTGAATGTGTTTCTGATATTTAGGTCTAGAACAGTGGTTCTCAACCTTTGTTTTACCAACGGCATACCTTGGAACACATGAAAAATTGCGGCACACCTGGCTAAATATATATGAAAAATATTTGAATTTTGTAAAAATAAAGTCATAGACGGCATAAAACCGTAGACAGAGACTAGTCATAGACACATAGAATGACTCAAACTAAATGAAAAAAAACACAGATATGAACTTATCAGTAGACACCAGTGAATACTCAATTGGGAATATGGGATCACATGATTTTTCGTTCAAAATTTTGTGACACACTAAGGAAAATCTCGCGACATATGTGTATGACTGTATGTCCAATACACAATCGGCATGGTTTCCCCTCGTCAGTTTTGTATGACAGAGAACCTTGCAAGGTACATTGTCTTGTCAATCAGATGAGTTCCTGTGTACATTCTTATCATACCAATTGTTTGAATGTTCCATCTTAAAGCGAAGTAATCACATACTGACGAACTACCAGATTAATAATTTTGAATACAAATTATTAAGAGCAGTAAAACATACCTTGCCATAATTTCGAACATTCTCGGCACATTTTTTACAGATGCTGCTTGTTCCACGGCTGAAAATATATATTAAAAAAAAAATAAATGAGCATGTTCCTTCACAGTACGCAATCTAAAAGTATCTCTGAACAAACAAGACCTTGATTTTATGATTTATAACGTTTTTGTTGGGCTTTATTAAAAATACATTATGCAAGAGCTAAATCTGCCTATTGCAGGTCTTTCTTTAGGCCTGAAATGTTTTCTAAATTATTAATTAGACATTAATAAACTTATCCAGGCCATATTCAACTCTCGATGGCATCCGATTTCTCTGATATAACATTTAAGCTAAAAATGAAGGAGCACGACTTAGCTCCGAACAACCAGTACGATGGTTGAAATTATTGCCCATATCTTGTCAAACCTTCAAAGGCTAATATCTTCGCTCACAATACAGTAATTTGAATGCAATTTTCAAATAAATAATTTTACATTATCTATTTTCGAACTATTACTGTATAGCAAGAATGGCTAGCCCTTTATCTAAATCTTACATAATGTATCTTTAAAATATTTGTGAAAAGTGGCATCACTAGCCCAACGTCCTTAACATGGGAAATCTAACAGAGTAAATGCAGATAAGGATTGGGGGTCCTCAGAGTTTTGGTTCGAGAGCACTACCCTTGATCATCAGTATAGATATTATTGAAAGTAGCAATTTGATCTGATGTTTTAATTTAATGGCAGGGGTATATATTATTCCATTTGCACCATTGATACATATTGAGGAAAAAAAGAGCTGTGGGTCGCCTGTCCAACCTCATGGGTTTTCTCCGGATCCACCAGTTTCCTCCCACTGCTAAAGATCCATAAGCGCAAGCGAAATGCTGAAACAATATAGAACCATATGTTAGTCCTGAAATGACTTGGTTTGTGTCGAGCAGACGTTTAACCCCATTTCTCCCTGCAATAAAATGTTGTCCAAATTTCTGTTATATTAATTCTTCGGGGCATTTATTAGCATTGATATTTAGTAAGAACTCTGAATGGTTATCTCTCACCTGTCTTGTTGGAACTCAGCTCTACAATAAGTACATTTTACAACAGGAAATTTATTGCGACATTCCTGAAATTATTGAAAAAAAATGTTAAACATCTGTAAAAAGCGTATGGAAGATAAACCATTTATACAGAATATTATCAATGATTTGTTATAGATAGCTTGACGTTTAACAAGATAAAATCAACCTAAATATTTGACATTTGTACATTTAATATGGTATGTTACATAAATACCATACATAAAATAAGTCCACTTGCAATTGAAAATGATTAATTCTGACTAAATGATTAATTTTGAAACTTTCTTCTACAAAATTATGAAAGCTTAAGAAATAAATAATTATATTTCATGCATTTTACTCTTCCATACAAATACAGTAGCCTACTTCGAGTTTTGATGCTAATTTGCCTTAAAAAAATTTTTTTAAAAATTTGAATAGAATAAGTTGATCATTTCATGGTCATTTGCTATACTTGTGAGTTTAATAAAGAGTCCAAGGCTAAGATTTTTAGCCTTTTATCTCACATTAACTTTATTTTGATTTTTCAATCAATGAACAAAGGAAACGTGAAGCGATTGATCAGTGATCCAGTTCAATTTCCACAGCCAATAAATGGTTGTTTATTTTACAAGCAACTGGTTATCAAAAATGAAATATTTTTTATTCATCAAAAATAAATTTTTGAATGAAAGAATTGTACAGTTTAGATTTGGCACGGATGTCAAATTTTTACTGATAATTTGGGCACTGACACTGTCAAAATTTTGTAAACTTTGGAGTTGGTTTGGAATTCATGCTCACTTTACACAACTGCTCTCCTCGGGAGAGGTCTTCAAATGGATGCCTTGTATGGCACTTAGTGCATGAAAACAAGGCAGCCATAATCAACAGTTACAATACTACTGCATAGATATTTTTGGGTATAAAACTGAAGAAAAAATATCAACAAATTGTTTTTCTAAAAAAGTGACCGGAAGTCAAAACTAAACCGGAACCTCAATTGCGCATGTAAATCGAAATATATTTTTTAAAAACATTGTTATTCATATATTTATACCAACATTTCGCTTAATTTACTATCTTAAATACATATTTATGTAAATGCTCTGGATAATTTGTTAGATTGATATTGTCGAAACGTTCCGATCAAATTGAATTCCTAGGAAGCCAATCAAAAGCTTTTTTAAATTTTCCGGAAATAAGCGAACATTGTCGATGTTACTTTCAGCGGTATGTTTACGTTTGTGAAACTTCACAGAAGAAATTGTATTAGAAATTCGGTGAAATATTAAAATTTACAGACCTAAATATAAAGATGGCTTACAGCCCAGGTGTAAGTATAGTTTTGCAGAAGTACAATCATCTGCTAAAACTGTTTATTACTTTTTTATATACTTTATTTGAGAAATGAAACCAGCAAACTCTGGTGCTAAATTTTTGCACAAGTCCAATCTTGATTGAAATCGAAACTGTCTATTTGTGAAATGAAAGTAGATATATATGTGTTTATTAGTGGATGGTCATATGTATTATCCATGTCATCAGTAGTCAGTTATGGAGTTCCATACATTTAATTTTATGCTACGTCTGACATCAGAATGTATCTCAACAAACTGCTATTCGTCTGCGAAACCTGCACAGTACAGTGACTGTCACAGATTGAGTCGAGTGGCATTATTCATTGTAGTTGTTACGATTCCAAATAAGTTATTTTTACTTTTTTTTCGTAATCTTGATTCTTCTTGTTTGACGGAACCTTAACCCCACTGCTGTAGTGGATATCAAACTGAATAAGTGATCCTTTGACGTCAAACTCCTGGTTAAATGAGCCACCGTCTAAATCAAGTAAAAAAATAAAGGAATTTTTCTTCGTTCAAAAATGATTTCTAAGCTTACTCATACAATATGTCATTATATTTTTTAAGTGCATGTTTGTCAGAATTAATACATGTACCGGTAGCAGCTTTATCCAAACGTAGATAATCTGTCAGCTTGGATTCGGTCAGATTAAAAAGATTTCACCTGACACTTACACTACTGACTTGTTTTAATGTAAAGGGAGTTGGGTAGCCGAATGGTTAGCATGTGCGCATTGTATCATAAGATCTGTCATTGAGTCAACTGGCGTAGTTTCGATTCCCCTTTTGTACGTGACAATTAGTAGGGTCCTCTGTCCAACCTTATGGGTTTTCTCTGGGTCATCCGTTTTCCTACCACTGCTAAAGACCCACAAGCTAATTATTGAAATAAAATTTAACCATGTTTTAGTCCCGAAATGACCTGGTTTGTGTCTAGTGGATGTTAAACCCCATTTCTCTCTGTCTGTTTAGTTTACAGTTATGTACCCAGTTAACCCTAAATTGCCAACCCTCTGTTCTCTCAATTCTCACTAGACAAATTTCAACATAAAAATTTCTGTATTGTATTCAAAAATCTTGCTAAGAAATAGATAAAACAAACTCCATGAAAAAAAAAATATTGAACATTTTCTGACCGACCCATTTTTTTTTTTTTTTGCCAAGGAACCGTAAACACAGATATTTTATTTTATGTCCTTACTGCTTATAATATACATTGTTTTAATGGCATTTAGTAATTGAACTGGAATATACAGGTCACAATTCTATGGAATACAATTACTGCTTATAACTGAGTGACATTTCCAGTAGGCTTCTCTAGTCATTATCATGTTATACATGTATTTCATGTTTTCTCATTGCTTGATAATAACTAGACAAGCCTAGTGGAAATGTCGCTCAGTATTCCATAGAATTGTGACCTATATTATATTCTTTATTAAGTTATTATTTACAATACCAATAGTAGAGTTTAATCCCCCTTCAAATCGTACATGATGTACTACTACTAGATATAAGGTATACAGGTGATTACCTGTACATGATGAACTACTAGTACTAGATATAAGGTGTACACGTGATTACCTGTAATAAAGTTTTTAATCTCTTTTGAATGTATTACTACTACTAGTTGTACACATGTAGTACTGAAAAGAGATTAGGTATACGGGGCTCAGACCACTTATAGAAGTTGGTATACATAGGCATATAATCCACTTCATGAATTCTGTGAGGTTATTTGATTAAATTATTGACCTGACTATCTTAAAGTCAACATTTGATGAATGAAGAGATCACTCTAGTGGTGGAATTATTATCTAGTAATATAATATACAAACATTCCAATCACTCTTCATAGCCAGTGTTTGGTTTGGTTATCAAATAAATTCACTTTATTGAATTTTTTTATTATCTTTCTAAATTCACTTTGATGAACTTATTGTCGTACTAATGGACTCTGTAGGTAGGATCTGTAGTAACATGTTTAGCACATAAATCATAGCCAGGCCGGGAGTTCACAAAACATTCTCAGACTTAAGAATTTACTCAACTTTCAATCACTGTTTATGAGAAATATCTTTGATCCAGAAATACAAAACTTTGCACATAGTTTCTTAATGATGTATTTAATACATTAAAACAACAAACGTTTAAAGATACATTATGGGAGATAAGATAAAGAGATGGCAGTTCTCGCTATAATAGTTAAAAACTAGATAGTGTAAAGGTAATTTGCTGAAAATTTCAGTCAAATTGATCCACTATGAGCCGAGAAAGAAGCGGGTGAAATTTTTGCATAGTCTCGGTCATCATTACTAAAATCATTAATATAAACAGCATAGTCTCAATTATCCACTTTTTCTGATTTAATTATCAACGGCTGTTATCGGCATATAGGAATCTAATCCAGCCAACATCGAAGGCTAGCCTTGACATCGAGAGTTTATTATGGTCTGGATAAGTTAATTAATGTCTAATTGATAATTTAGATAACATTTCAGGCCTAAAGAAAGACTTGTAATTAGCAGATTTTGCTCTTGCATAATGCATGTTTAATAAAGTGCTATATTTTAGTTAAAATAAGGCAAATAATTTTGAGTGAATTCTTAACTTAAATCTGACTATGCTTGTTAACTCCTGATCAGGTTTCTAAGTCAATATTTGTCCCAACTGGTTGATTTTCCCAATAAGATTTATTATGAGTTAAATGTAGATAAACTTTAACCTGAGAATAAATGACAGATTTATTGGGTAAACCTTCTTTTTTTTAAAATAGCTATTCAGTTCAAAATAACACAACTTTATGGATTTACTAGATGTACTTCTGGGTTTTACATGCAGTGTTTCAATAATTAAGACATTTAAAAACAATGAAAACATGGTTGTTGTTATAAGTCTTAATTAATGTTAGTTTTTATTGTTAAATTGTTTTTACTCATGGATGTACTATAAATGTATGGTTGTTATTCATTATTGATCATTGCTTGATAAAGATACCTGTATCTAACGTTGCATGTAATAAACCAAGAAGTAGTAAATCCATAAAGCTGTGTTATTATGAATATTATATCTCTACTTCTAAATGACATTCAACGATAACAGCTATTCAGTTTTCTCCGAAAAATCATTTTGAAATTTGAGTTGACTATAAGTCTATATGCGAAATTGGACTATTTAACATTGTCCAGAAAACAGAACATTGTTTCATGTATAATTTTATAATCAATTCTAATAATAATTTGTGCTGACCATCATTTCAAATTCCTTGCCAACTACAATATTGGGAAAATTCAATATCCAAAAACTGCATACAACTATATATCAAAATAATAATAATTATTTATTTATAGAGTGTCTATAATCCAATATTTTGTTGCTTTATGGCACTGTTACATTATGGTGTAAGTACAAAATAATAAAAATTATATATGCATAAAAATATCATGAATCAAAAAGCATAATTTCACCCAGAAAAAACCCACACGGTTGGACAGGAGATACTACTCTTTTTCAAGTACAACTGGGGAATCAACGAAAAACCAAGGTCCCTTGTCATGTACAACTGGGAAATCGACCTTATGATACAGCACACACCCTCACCCCCTTCCCCAAATAAAAACAATGTAGATGATTGAGGCAAAATGGTTTCAAAAAATGTGTTTATAAAATTTATTTGACATGTTTCAGAATAAGGCAAGAACAGATATTCCTATGATGACTGCTACACCAACCAAACATTCTTCACCTGATAGTGATGTAGACGAACCGGAAGAGATGTTCATCCCGTTTCAAACTTATCCTAAAACAAGACCCTTTATAAATTCAGATTATACTCAGTCACCTACTAAACCTATTATACCATTTCCTGAAAGTAGTAGAGATGGTGAGAATGATTTAAACAGGCATTATTTAAGAGAGAGAGAGAGAGAGACAAAAGGGGTTTAATGTCTATACGACAGAAACTAGGTCACTTTGGGACTAACATTTGGTTCAATTTTATTTCAATAGCAGTGGGAGGGAACCAGAGGACCCAGAGAAAAACCATGGGGTTTGACAGGCGAACCTACTCTCTGTCGCATACAACCGGGGAATCGAAACCATGCCAGTTGACTCAATGACACATCTTATGATGCAACGTGTACGCGCTAACCATTCAGCCATCCAACCCTCCCGCATTATGTAAGAATGAGATAGCGAGATGATTTTTCTTCTTACTGGTACTACATATATACCCCTAGTTACTTTAGTAATGGATTCTTATTGGCTCTGGCCTCTATCCTTTTACTGCCTGATCCTATACACAATGAAAATAAGGCCTTCCCCCCCACCTCGGTTCTAAGGCTATTTTGGAATCCTTACCGACTATTTTTACTATAATTCTTCTTTGTTTGCCAAAAGTAAAAGGGATCATTTCTTGCCACATCCGACACAAATTTATAATAATCCATTACTATTTTCATGTAGAATTTAGCGATCCAAAAACATAAACAAGATTCGTTTGAAATGATCCGCCATTATGAAACTAACTCCTGCACAGACACAGCCAATATTCCTAATTTAGGAATGGAATGTTACCGTAAGAGAGAGGGAGAGAGAGAGAGATGGGGTGTAAGTCCACTCGACACAAACTAGGTCATTTCGGGACTAACATGGTTTAATTTTATTTCAATAATTCTCTTGCGCGTAGGGGTCTTTAGCAGTGGGAGGAAACCGAAGAACCCGGAGAAAACCCACAAGGTTGGACAGGCAACCCTAATCCTTGTCACGTACAACCGGGGATTCAAAACCACGCCGGTCGACCCAATGACAGACTTTATGATACAGCGCGCGCACGCTAACCATTCAGCCATCCAACCCCCCGAATGTTACCGTAAACAAAAGTTCTTGCTGTACTTCAATTAACGGATAAAACTGTCAATATAGATACCACTAAAGTTTATGTATTCAACATACATAAACAAATATTAGATGAAATCAAATAATACATAATTGAAGTACAGCAAGAATTTTCGTTCATGATAACATTCTATTCCTAAATTTGGAATATTGAAATGACTATATGCCATCAATCATAGATATACCGTCAATCTGCAGTCTTCATTAGACTAAATACAGTATTAATAAAATAAGGACGCTTAAGATAGGGCAACTTCAATAGAAGGCTTGATCTCGCTTTACATCTTATCAAGGCCTTCACGTAATACCCTGCATATTTCGGCACTAAAACTAGCCGTAATTGCTTCAGGAACATGAAGATAGGGTTGTTCACATAATGATTTTACTTGCTTCGATTGAGTATTTTGAGGCTCTAAGTCACGCAGATGTAGAGGGCAGAAACACAATATTTTGGAATGTCTGCATATTTTTACGCAACTCGAAATTGATCCACTGCGACTTTTGCTTCCCAGTTGGGTTTTGGTAGATAGTGCAATGTATCTGGTAGGTTATATATGTGTCCTAAAGACAAAAAAAAATGGGGAGCCACGGTGGCTAAGTGGTTAGAACACTGGCTCTCTAGTCTGGAGGTCGGGTGTTCGATCCCTGCATTGGCCGAGAAAGTTCATTGTGATTTTCCGACATTGTTTCCCCTTGTCAGAGGTGCAGGATGGAGGGCCTTACAAGGACAGTAATTGTCAAGTCATTCGGATTGTACGAAAAACCAAGGTCCCTTGTATACCGATACATTGGCATGCACGTAAACAATCCCTTGGCAATTGGAAATCGATATAAGAGTAGGCCATAGTGCCGCTGCCTGGGCAAAATTTCCCTCATAGCACACTATGGCAGAACAGTAGGATGTTAAATTTCATTTCATTTTCATAAAAAGATGTGGTTCTTTTTTTAGGTATTTATTCGGCAATGAAGAATTTACAAGAGAAGGTTCGTAGATTAGAATTAGAGAGAACGGCTGCAGAAGATAATCTGAAAACTCTGGCAACGGAGACCACGCAATATTCTTCATCCATATTACAGCGAACTCAACAATCAGAGAAATTAGCCAATGATATTGTAGCTAAGCAAACACTAGGTGGGTATACAAAATGAAATGGAATGCGGTTTAACTAACTACTTTTCCAGTCGTTGTTTGTATTTTAGGGAAGAGCCAAAATAGCCTTAGAACCGAGATGGGGGAAAAGCCTTATTTTCTTATTAGTTGTTTATAGGATCAGGTACTAACGGATAGAGGATCTGTTTCTAAAGCAGTTGTTGTTGTTTGTAGTTTAGAGGAGAGCCAAAAACAGCTCCCCTTAATCAAAAAATTGAAAAATCGCGCCCCTAAAAAGCTCTCCCAGATTCGATAAGAAGAGTGATTTAGAAATTAAGTAGAGTGATCTGATATTAAGGAGAGTGATTAGTTGTGTGTATGGGAAATGGTTCTGAAGATCAATAACTGCATGTTGGGGGGTCATTCCTGGTTTCATAAATGATAATAAACCCCTGATGATTTTCAGTTTTGTGGTATGCTTTAAATATCGTTTTATTGTAAGCTTATTAATTATGTTATTCTCTTAATCAGAATTAGAAAGTCAGTTAACGGCAGCGGAATCACGATGTGGTATGTTAGAGAAACAGTTAGATCACATGCGACAGATGGTCCACCATTCAACACAAGAACAGCTCAACTCAGCACGCAGACGATTAGAACTGGAGAAACAGACTGATTCCAACGCTTCATCACAGTTCCGCAGTCAGCTCAATAAGATATCAGATCTAGAGCGAGAACATTTAAAACTGACAGCAACCCAGTCAATATCGGAGGTAGGACATTACAACAGATAAATCTCTTCTCTTAGATATTTCCATTTTGATTTTTGTCTTTCTACTTTGATTAGTTTTCTCTATAGATTTATGGACCAGGAAGTGAACCCGAAGTTCTAATCCTTCTTTTATTGTTGGAGGGACGTCATACTCGGTTTCTGGTCTATAGTACAATAGTATTTAAATCATTTTTAGATTTTTTAAGAATAGCAATTACTATCGAAATTGATATATTTTAGTCAAAATGTAGTAAATGATTTAATTTTTTTTTTTCTTTTAAACTTTTGTAACAAATTACTTCTCTGTTTTCACTGACTTGTAGAAATTGTAGAAATTACCAATACTAAATGTCCTTATATTTACAATCTCCCTTATTGAATCATTTAAATATGTTTTTCGCAATAGCAACTTGAGCGTTGTATGCAGCTGGTTAACCTAAATAAAAATGGGATTTAAAGCTATCAAAAATTTTAAAAATACATTATGCAAGATCTAAATCTGTCTATTGCAGGTCTTTCTTTAGGCCCGAAATGTTATCTAAATTATTAATTAGACATTAATTAACTTATCCAGACCATAATCAACTCTCGACATCATCCCTAGACTGCGATGTTTATTGGATTAGGTTCCGATTTGCTGTTTGACTTCCATTCATAGTTTAATCATGAAATGGATAATCAAGACTATGTTTTTTATTGTACCAACTTTAGTAATGATGATCGAGGCTAGGTCGAAAATTCAATCGCTAAAATCTTGGTTGAGAGTGGATCAATTTGACTGAAATTTTCAGCAAATTCCCTTTACATTATCTAGTTTTTAACTATTATAGTTAGAACCGCCAGCTCTTTATCTAATCTCACATAATGTATCTTTAAATAAATTCAAATTTCAACCTATCATGATTGATTAGTTGTCCTTTATAAGTCTTGTCATTTATGTAAGGGAGATTGTAAAATATGTAGTTTGTAGATGTGTTTTTAGTTTAGGATTTTTTTTCTTATTTTGAAATATTTTCAGAATAAAATTCGTGAATTAGAGCAAAAATTACAACAAGAAGATATTCACCGTAAACTTATTTTACAGAGAACAGCGGAGGTTTGTTATTAGTAAAAGTTGTTCAATCCCTGCATAGACCGAAAAAGTTCATCGGGATTTTCCGACGTGGTTTCCCCTTGTCAGTGGTGCAGGACAGAGTGCCTGACAAGGACAGCTGTCAAGTTGTTCGGATGGCACGAAAAACTGAGGTCCTGTGTATACATTGGCGTGCACGTAAAAGATCTCGTGGCAGTTGGAATTCGATATAAGAGTAAGCTCGGGCAAAATTTACCTCATAGCACACTGTATTGCGTATGCCCGTCTTCATTAGCCCAGATTAGGAGGAGAACAGTAGGAGGTTAAACCCCATTTCATTTCATGTCATTATTAAAAGTAAAATAAAGATATACCAAATTTGTTATGATTTGGTCATATTATATTTTGTCATTATAGTAGGACTAACAGATAAGGCTTTTTAGTAGTAGTGTTACATAGTGTAGATTTATTATTATTATTATAAAAGTAATAGCAGTACTGAAGTTGTAAAGTTGACAGACTCGCTGTAATTAGCCATTGTTTTCCCGGTCCCAAGTTCACAAAGCATTCTCACACGTACTTCTTAAACATACATTATGGCAGGTCTTTCTTTAGGCTTGAAATGTTATCTAAATTATTAATTAGACATTAATTAACTGATCCAGACCATAATCAACTCTCGATGGCATCAGATTTCTGCGATATAAAATAGATTAGAACAGTTCAGCCAGATTTTCATTTAATTTAAAATGGAGGAGCGAGACTTAGCTTCAACTAACCAGTACGGTGGTTGAAATTATTGCACAAATCTTGTCAAACCTACAAAGGCTAATATCTTCGCTCGCAAGAGAGAAATTTGAATGAATTTTTCAAACTATTCATTTTACATTATCTATTTTCGAACTATTATAGCAAGAATGGCTAGCTCTTACCTAAATCTTACATAATGTATCATTAAACATGCATTATTCAAGAGCTAAATCTGCCTATTGCAGGTTTTTGTATCTGAAATGTTATATAAACTATTAATTAGACATAAATTAACTTATCCAGACCATAATCAACTCTCGATGTCATTGCTAGCCTGCAATATTTACTGGATTTGAATCCGATTTGCTGCTCAATGCACATTTATTTTTTAATCCAAAAATGAATAATCAAGACTATGTTTTTAGCATACCTACTTTAGTAATGATGATTGAGGCTAGGCCTAAAATTCAAAAGCTAATATCTCGGTTCAATTTGACTGAAATATTTAGCAAATTCCCTTTACGTTATCTAGTTTTTAACTATTATAGAGAGAACTGCCAGATCTTTATCTAATCTCCCATAATGTATCTTTAAAATCATGCAAACAGTTTTGAGTAAATTCTTAAGTCTGTGAACTCGGGGACTGGTTAGTGAGCCAGTGGCACACTCACAGAGTCTCTGTGGTTCACGACCGACAACGCTGTTATCTCAATTGTTATTCCCTGTTTATACTTATTACAATAGGCTAACTTACACTGTAATCTTGGTTATTTAGCACTAATTTCTTTCACATATGTCAATATCAAATCTTGGTTTAAAAATTGTTTAAAATCACCAAAAATCGTCTAATTTGTACTTGTGTCCACTTTAAAACTGACCATCAATTTTGACATTGAGCGCCCAATTTAGTATTAACATGTACAAGCGTTTAATTTCTTGATCACTGAACTAAGAAATAAGCAACCCAATTGATTTTTGATGTATAATGAATAATTTTTGGACCAGTGGTCAGAAAATTAAATATTTGTAAATTAATCAGTCAGCTGTAAACTGGACACAAGTACAAATTAGACGATTATAGGTGATTTTAAATGATTTTTTACGAATTTTTAAACAAAGATTTGATATTAAACGAATGTGAAAGAAATTAGTGCTAGATACACAAGATTAAATGATACCCAGGTTACAGTGTTAGTACAAGTAATTGTGACAGAAAAATGCAATAATTTAACTTTTTACAATTGTAGCTTCAAGCTCGTCCACCATCATCATACATCACCCAGAATTACAGTGGGAGTGATGATATACCTATAAAACTACCAAATAAAACAAAAAAGAAAATGGTGAAAAAGAAAAAAAAGAAAACTGTGACGGCCAGCGAGAAAGGAAATCTGCACCCGACAAAGAAATGTAGCAAACATAACGATCCCACTTCTCATTATCGTCTCAATCTGGCAGAAATACCGTTTGTTGCTGGCAAGGTTTGTAAATAATAACAACAGTTGGATGGCTGAATGGTTAGCGCATGCACACAGTATCATAAGGTCTGTCATTGAGTCAACAGGCGTGGTTTTGATTCTCAGGTTGAACGTGACAAGGAGTTTTTCGCCTGTCCAACCTCGTTGGTTTTCTCCGGGTCCTCCTGGTTTTTGCCCACTGCTAAAGACCCCTATATGCTAGCGAATTTGAAATAAAATTGAACCATGTGTTAGTCCCAAAATGGTCATGGTATCTAAGTGGGTAAGACGCTGACTCGCTAGCCTGGAGGTCTGTTGTTCGATCCTTGCATTGACTGAAAAGTTCATCCAGATTTCCTGGCGTGGTTCACCCTTGTCAGTGTTGCACGATGGAGGGTCTGACAAGGACAGCTGTCTAGTCGTTAGGATGGTACGAAAAACTGACGTCCCATGTACACATTGGCGTGCACGTAAAAGATCCCTTGACAGTTGGAATTTGATATAAGAGTAGGCTGTAGTGCTGCTGTCTGGGCAAAATTTCCCTCATAGCACACTGTATGGTGTATGCCCGTCTTCATTGGCCCAGTTCAGAGCAGAACAGTAGGAAGTTAAACCCCATTTCAAATGGACGTTAAGCCCCATTTCTCTTTCTCTCTCTCAAAGAAAATGTTATTTGTATTTTGTTTTCAGTCAACTGGTCCTAGTCATTCTGTAGGTGCGAATGTACAGAAAGTTATATCAATGATGAAATCACACAACCTAGCGCTATGTTCAGCCATGTATAACGGCCACAGTCAGAGATCACCGAGCATGTCATCGTCATCAAGTACTAACAGTCTGGATAACGACATGTCTGAAATATTACAACAATTACAAGATGAGTTCGGACAACTTAGCATGTAAGTTCTTAAATACATAAACAAAGCCACAAATAGCTTAAAGATGGGTTCCCAGAAAAGTATTTATCGGGTGGTTATTTCCAATATAAGTATGGTAATTTTGGTATATATGGAAAGTAGAGATATCCAATCTTACTAGAAAAATACTGGATTCCCCGAAAAACACTCATGGAGCGTATACAGGACAAAAATGTAAGGGTTCCCCTAATCAACAGCACGACGATTAGGAATTTCTGCACGCGTGATGTCAAAGGTCAAACGCGAACATTGAGCACTTGATGTACAAGTTGATAAACTTTATGAAGAGTTAGACGTACAACACTTTCTGAGATAAAAATGAAGGAAAAAGCAGAGGGTAGTGGATAATCCGAGAATTTAATTAGGATTCGATATGTGTAATAAATAGTACGCGATTAAAGACAACATCGTCTTATGTATGCAATGAATTCTCCTCTGACTTCCAGGAGAGGTAAGTCACGTGACATAAACATGACCTGGTTTGATCAAATTTTTATAGCAGGACATTCCTTCGCAATTACAATGTTTGAGAAGGATTTGAAGCAAATTTATGACATATTAATTATTTTGAATATGTTTTTAGTCCATATATGCCATTAAATCACCCAGTTTGTACGCCGGAACCCATCTTTAAAGCCACTGTTGTTGTTTTCTGAAAATATTTCATTTTTCCGCAGCCTAATGTACTCAAATTGATTATTTAAAGATACATTATGTAAGATTTAGATAAAGAGCTGACAGTTCTCACTATAATATTTAATAAAAAGGATAATGTAAACAGAATACCCTGAAAATTTCACTTAAATTGCTTCGTAAAATTTGTTTAAAATAACCAAAAAATCATCTAATTTTTACTTCAGTGTTCAAAAATAAACAAACCAATTGATTATTGATGTATAATGATTATTTTTTTAACAGTTGTCAGAAATTAAATACTTTTAAATTGGACACTCATGAAAATTAATCAGTCAGCTTTAAACTGGACACAAGTACAAATTAGATGATATTGGGTGATTTTAAATGATTTTTACGAATATTTAAACCAAGACTTGATATTAAACAAATGCGAAAGAAATTAGTGCTAGATACACAAGATTAAATGATACCTGGGTTTCAGTGCTAACGACCCCCACAGAACAATAATTATGACCATGTTACCATATTTACAGAGAACACGAAGAGTTAGTGAATCATATCGATGAGGCGTCTGATTTACGAGTAAAACAAGATTTAAGGCGGGAACTGGATCGTATAATACGTCGTCTGGAAACAAAAAGTCAACAAATATCAAAAGTTAGATCACATCAACAAAAGGTACAGTATTTAACGTCCATACTAAAAGAAATATTTTGGTTTCGTTCTTAACAGCCCTGAACAGCAGCATTTCTGCTTACTCCTCATCTGCAACTCAAAATTATGTTACCAGTCATTGAATATATAACAAGTCAGCCCCAGAAATAATAATTTAAGTTGCACCTGGGCACGCTAGCCTGGAGGTCGGGTGTTCGATCCCTGCATTGGCCGAGAAAGTTCATCCAGATTTTCCAGCGTGGTTCCCCCTTGTCAGTGATGCAGGACGGAGGGTCTGACAAGGACAGCTGTCTAGTCATTCGGATGGGACAAAAAACCAAGGCCCTGTGTACACATTGGCGTTCACGCAAAAGATCCCTCAACAGTTGGAATTCGATATAAGAGTAGGCCGTAGAGTCGCTGTCCGGGCAAAATTTCTCTCATAGCACACTGCATGGTCATACCCGTCTTCATTAGCCCAGTTCGGAGCAGAACAGTAGGACGTTCAACCCCATTTCATTTCATTTCATTTCAAGTTGCACCTGACAAAATATCCACACTAATGGACTAATATCTGATATTTTAGAATTCTTTAACAGTCCATATTATAAATATCAATAAAAACAAACCCATAAAAAGAGACGGGGGGGGGATGGATGGCTGAATGGTTAGATCGTGCGGGTTGTATCATAAGGTCTGTCATTGAGTCAAATGGCGAGGTTTCGATTCCCGCGTGTACGTGACAAGGAGTAGGGTCACCTGTCCAACCTTATGTGTTTTCTCCGGGTCCTCCAGTTTTCTCCCACTGCTAAAGACCCCTACGCGCAAGCAAATTATTAAAATAAAAGTTAACCAAATGTTAGTCTCGAATTGGCCCAGTTTGTGTCGAGTGTACGTTAAATCCCATTTCTTTCTCTCTCTCTCTCTCTCCCCTTTCAAACATGAATTTATTTAACACATGGTACAATTTTATGGATATACAATTACTGAGTTTAATACTATGTGACGTTTCGACGACAATACTCTCGTCTTTATCAAGCAAATACCAATCAAAGAAGGAGAATTAATTTGTATATTCAATGTCTTGTAAAAAAAGAGATTTCTTTCTTTATTTCAGTTGGCAGAATTAAAGAAAAAAGGTAAACACAGAAGAACAGATGTAGTGAATCGACTATCACCCCAGCGTCCGTACTCCGCTGCGCCTCGACTAACATCCACTAAACAAAACAACACAAAACAAACCAATAAAAATATTTCTAGTCCGCGTTCCGCTGGTGGTGCAGCGTTAAATGTTTTAAATGATATGCGTAAATTACAGACAACGTTACGGAAGGATGATGTGAGCTGGGAATGACACACTCGGATAATTTAATAATGGTTTTTATATTTATGTTATTTTATTTACTGAGGTATTATTTATAAAAATTTAAACTACAATATAATGAAAAACCAGCGCATAAAGCAAGCAAGAAATTAATGTGAGGAAAAATATTAATGTGAGCAATGAAATAATAAAAGTAAGAAATTAATGTGGACAATGAATTAGTGTGGGCAATGAATTAATGAGAGCAATGAATGAATGAGAGCAAGATATTAATGTGATTAATGAGAGATTGGCAAGATATTATTGTGGCCAAGCAATTAATGTGAGAAAGAAATTAATTTGTGGAATTAATGTGAGAAAGAAATTAATTTGTGGAATTAATGTGAGCGGAAAATTAATGTAAAAATTTAATGTAAGAAATTAATGCAAGCAAGAAATTAATGTAAGAAATTATTGTTAGCAAGAAAATAATATTAGCAAGAAAATAATCTGGACAACAATGTGAGCAAGAATTTAATGTGAGTAAGAAATTAATGTCGTTGAGAAATTAATGGAAGCAATGAATCAAGAAATTAATTAATGTGAGCAAGAAATTAATGTAACTAAGAAATTAATGTGAAAAATGAAATAAAATTACAAGGAAAAAATATTACAAGCAAAAAATGTAAGAAATGTGAGCAATGAATTAATTGTGAGCTAGAAATGTAAGCAATGAATTAATGTAAGCAAGAAATTTGAGCAATGAATTAATTGTGAGTAATGGAATAAAATCACAAGCACGATATATTACAAGCACAAAAATGATAAAAGCAAGAAATTAATGCTAGCAAGAAATTAATGCTAGAAAGAAATTAATGCTAGCATGAAATTATTGCAAGAGATGTATTCTATTGCCAGTCATTGAGATCAGATAAATAGAGGATATTTGTCGTTTTAGAGTGAATAACATATTTTATTTCATCGAGAAGCAAGAAAACTTATATTTTCACGAATGCGTAGCATGAGTGAAAATATAAACGTTTTCTTGCTTAGAGATGAAATAAAATATGTTATTCACGACAAAACGACAAATGTTCTATTTATTTTATGATTTTACAATCATTTTAGGTAAAAACAACTAGGCAGTGGAATAACACTTTTATTTCACTGATAAAACGCGGTATTCCACTACTGATCATAAAATAAAGTATTATATATAATGTCTTTACCCGGTAGATCAGCTGTCTCATGTCAAATAGAACACACCTTAAAACAAAACCAAAACAATATTCTCCAGTGATTATTGCCATTATGCTCATAACATGGGGTTTTATTTTATGTTAAAATTACTAGACAAGACTAGGACACAACAGGTTGTATTAAAATCAATATTGGGCTGTGGATGGCCGAATGGTTAGCACAGGCGCGTTAGATCATAAGGTCTGTCATTGAGTCATCTGGCATGGTTTTGATTCCCTGGTTGTACGTGACAAGGAGTAGGGTCGCCTATCCAACCTCGTGGGTTTTCTCCGGGTCCTCCGGTTTCTTCCCACAGTTAAAGACAAAGACCCCTACATGCAATCAAATTATTGAATTAAAATTGATCCATGTGTTAGTCCCGAAATGACATAGTTTGTGTCGAGTAGGCCTTAAACCCCATTTCTCTCTTTCTCTAAAATCAATATGCAGTAATTTCATGACACATTAAGAATACTTGCTTGTCATTGGTTGGTTGTAGTAATCCTAGTAAACATTTATCTTCTGGCCAGTCTCTAAAACATTTTAGTTTAACTTTGTGTAAATAAAACCCCAGGTATTGTAGTCAATAAATAGTGATATTAGTAGTAAAGGGACATTTAGACATAATGAATCAAAAATCACCATTAGATATTAATAGAATCATAAGAAAACTGATCAAAGATCTGTATTTAATTATAACATCGGGATGTTATAATCATAACGGCCATTTTAAATTCATAATATCTTTCTGAATACTGGACGGAGTTAAATCACGTTTAGTTGACATTCCTTCTGGAGTTTAATATTGCGTATTGGCATGGGATTTAAACCCCTAATATGACATTCAGCGGAAATATCTTTTTAATATATCATAGGTTTAATATGTCTGGGGCTAAATGGTCTAACTTGTACGCTTTAAATCATAAGGTCTGTCATTGAATCCAGTGGCATGGTTTGGATTCCCAGTTTGTACTCGACAATTGTATCATAAGGTCTGTCATTGAGTCAACTGGTTTGGTTTCGATTCCCCGAATGAACCTGACAAGGACTAGGGTCTCCTGTACGCAAGTGAATTATTAAAATAAAGTTGAACCCTGTTAGTCCCGAATTTACCTGGTTTGTGTCAAGTGGATGTTTAACCCCATCTCTCTCTCTCTCTCTCTCTCTCTCTCTCACTCTCTCTCTATCTCTCTCTCTCAAACAATAGTATAGAGTTAATAATTAATATAGGTAACACTATTTAATATTATTTAATCATCGTTATTTCTATCGTAAATAAATTAATGCTTGATTTTCAACGTTTAGTTCTTTATTCACAGACCTTCATCGAATGTTGAAAACCCAAAGTTTATTTATTTAATTTTATTTATATATATTTATATCCAGGTAATAATTTATAAAATTATTTTTGGCCTTTGATTATTGAGTCAGAATTGATAAAGAAAAAATAATTATTGACATTTCAAACTTTGTGCCAGACATGTATTATGCAAGATCTAAATCTGCCTATTTGCAGGTCTTTCTTTAGGCCCGAAATGTTATCTAAATTATTAATTAGACATTAATTAACTTATCCAGACCATAATCAACTCTTGATGCCATAGCTACCCTGCGATATTTACTGGATTTGAATACATTTGGTGATGGATGATTTAACGTCAGAATGGTTAATCAAGCCTTTGTTTATTGTTGTACTAAATTTAGTAATGATAATCGAGAATAGTCTTAAATTGGATTGTTTGTATCTCGGTTCAGAGTGAAGTAATTTGACTGAAATTCTCAGCATATTCTATTTACATTATCTATTTTTTAACTATTATAGCAATAACTGTCATTTATAACTGTCATTGTCCCTTTAATAAAATCAATAGAAACACATAAAAAAAAAATACAAATCAATGGCGTCCGAGCGGTTGTTTGAATTTCTGCTAGACAATATCTGTAATCAGTGCTTTATTCCCAGGTCTTCTGTTTTATTCCTTGTTGTTGAGTAAGATAAAAAAACTTCAGTTTAAATTCTCAAACATTCTGTTAAGTTCATTCCAGTAAGCTCAAGTTTTATTTTATCTTTGCGTAACAATGAGCCTAATTTTAATGATTAAATTGTTTCAATGGCGTTTAGTAATTGAACTGAAAATAAGACATTTTTTCTAGTCTTCTCGTGGTCTTTATCAAGCAATCAGACTAGAGAAGCTTAGCAGAAACGTCACTCAGTAATATAATTCTAAAATACTTTTTTGCATATAATTTGGTACTGTGTTTTTCCAATTCGATTAGGGTGCCACGGTGGCTAAGTACGTAAGACGCTGGCTCTCTAGCCTGGAGGTCGTGTGTTTGATCCCTATATTGTCCGAGAAAGTTCATTGGGATTTCCGGTGTAGTTTCCCCCATGTCAGTGGTACAGGACGGAGGGCCTGATAAGGACAGCTGTCTAGTCACTCGAATGAAAAAACGAGGTCCTGTGTACACATTGGCGTGCACGTAAAAGATCCCTTGGCAGTTGGAATTCGATATAAAAGTAGGCCATAGTGCCGATGCCCGGACAAAATTCCCTCATAGCACACTGTATGGCGTATGCCCATCTTCATTATCCCAGTCAGACCAGAACAGTAGGACGTTGAACTTCATTTCATCTCCAATTCAATTACTAAATGTTGTTGAGAATAATTATATTCAGTATTTTATGTGTATTGTTATTATATTCCTCACCAATTATTATTTTAATTCATGGCTGGCCAAATTTGTTTTTAAAATAAAATATCAGTTTAACTGTAATATAACAAAAAGGCTATAGTTGGTAATAATGATTATGAACTGCAATAGTTATACTTAAAATACAGATGTGACATCATCCTTTGATGTTGGGTACCATTATTTCACATAATGGTACGGGCAATGTGCCAATCGTACCTTATTTATACTAGTTGAAATATTGGACCCGCGTGACGCATTTCATTGAAATGCACGTGCTGGATAGTGTCTGTATTTTAAGTTGTTTAATGGTTTTGTGCAAGACATTGCGTAATATATAGATATAGCCCTCGTGTTATCGCGTACTCGTACAATATCAATATATTACTTAATGTCTCGCACTCGACCATTAAACTATGGTCATAATGTATGTAACCCATTCAGTCATTTAATAAGGGTTGCCAGTCACCATATTATTACCTCTCATGCAAGCCTTGAATGTATTCCATTGTACATATAAAATGTATTAATTGTATAATAATAATAAAGTCATATTTTACAAAATGGATGCTTTTATTTCTTGTAGGGTATTATTGATCATTTGATTAGAATCAATAAAATAGGTCCTACTGGCATTACTCAATTGAATGTTCCAGAATTAAAATCTGGCAATCAAGTAAGCTTCAGAAATTCCGAAAATGAAATGGCATTTAACCGTCTAATTTTTGTGCTCCGACTGGGCTAGTAAAGATGGGCATACACCATACAGTATGCTATTATGGGAATTCTACCCGGACAGTCAGTGGCGTTATGGCCTAGTCTTTATTTTGAATTGCAGAAGTCAGTTGTTTTTTCTGTTAGTGCTGCCAATTGTATGGGACCTCAGTCTTTCATCCATTCCTTAAACATGCATTATGCAAGAGCAAAATCAGCTTATTACAAGTCTTTCTTTAGGCCTGAAATGTTATCTAAATTATCAATTAGACATTAATTAACTTATCCAGACCATAATAAACTCTCAATGTCAAGGCTAGCCTTCGATGTAGGCTGGATTAGATTCCTATATGCCGCTAACGGCCAAAGATAATTAAATCAGAAAAAGTGGATAATCGAGATAATGCTGTTTATATTAATGATTTTAGTAATGATGAACGAGACTATGCAAAAATTTCACCCGCTTCTTTCTCGACTCATAGTGGATCAATTTGACTGAAATTTTCAGCAAATTACCCTTACACTATCTAGTTTTTAACTATTATAGCGAGAACTGCCATATCTTTATCTTATCTCCCATAATGTATCTTTAACCAGCCCTCCATCCTGCATTCCTGAAAAGGAGAGATCTAACTGGGGTTTTAACTCGGGACCTTCTAGTTAGTCAGCCAGCAAGATACTCACTGAACCACCATGGCTCTCCTGGTCGACCTTCATATGTAGACTATGGTCGCGACTACAGTCTGAACCAGCACCCAATCGCAACTGGCCCGGACCATTGACTAATCATTATGGATATGCCCATGTCAGTTGCTCCGCCTTCTATATTTTCTGCTATTTATTCATGTTTTTTTAATAACTGGTTAATTTTCCACACTGCGATGTGAAAGCAAGTTTAAAGTAAGTTAAAATAGGATTAGTCAATATCAGAATATTTTTCATTGTATTTATGTCATCCAAGATCATTTCACACAGTGTTTTGTTGTGGGCCTATATATATTCGAATAAAAAGATCCTAATCTGTCAAATTCATCAAGAAAACGTGTGAAAAAAATCAACGCTCATTCACCAACTTTCGGGTGTTAACATGGACCCTATAATACAGTCCATGGCATGGCATGGTGTAAATAATGCAAATCTTGTCAGCCATCTTTGCGCTATCCCGAACTTGCTCTATAGTAGGGTGCAGCTGGTCACGACCACAGGTTGAACTAAATGTCAATCGCATGCAGATAGTTCGACTATAGCACGAAAGGGCGCCCAGAGTGACCAAATGTCTTGCGTCCTATGATACAATTTTTGGAGTTGATCACAAAAAACAAAACATGTTTATTATATCAATTTTTTTTATAATTCTGATAATTTACAAAGTCATTTTAATATAAAAAGGTCAATAATATAGGTAAATATATAGATACCGGTATATGTATATCTAGATATGAAAGTGTTCTAATATTGTGGTATCAAACATTCACAGGCTAGGTAATGGGGATGTGATGTCGCACTTTATGTCATGGGTTATATTCATCCATGTCAATGGAGTTTTCGATGCAATCTGATTAAAGCACAGATCCTATTTTTTTTCGTTTTTTATAGTTCATTTACTTGTCTTCACAACACAAGGATGTGGAAGAGTTGTTATATAACAGGCATTCTGGGTGTTGTGAGGGATTAGCCAATACACGGTCTGTTATGGCGAGTTCTTGGCGTGCAGTGCACGGAACTGTGGGTAAACCACTAGAAACGTTATCGCTGATTGATTAATAAATATTTGATGTCATAAGAGTCAAAAGCTGCTCATATGACGTCTGACACAACTTTCCACTACAACCAGTCAGATCTTCATGTAGTGGAGGTCAACGGAAGTATAAACAAGCCAACAGTGAGGCTGATGTCCCCCGCTGAAATCCCGAAATAAATAGATGACATATATTAATTAATTGCATGTTTATCTTTTTCAAAAGTATCCAGCAATCAAACTGATTATTAAGTATACATTAAGTTTCATCACTCTCTATCAGATAGAATCAAAATAAACAAGGCATTGACCTAATAAACACATACACCAAGTTTGAACATTCTAGCTCAATTAAAAGTTATCGTGTCCCAAAGCATCAACCAATCAAATTGCTTATCTCTGCTTACCCTAAGCGGAAAATGCTCATCTTCGAACTCCATCAAGGCATTGACCTAATCAACACATACACCAAGTTTGAACATTCTAGCCCAATTAGGAAGAGAGTTATCGTGTCCCAAAGCATCAACCAATCAAATTGCTTATCTCTGCTTACCCTAAGCGGAAAATGCTCATCTTCGAACTCCATCAAGGCATTGACCTAATAAACACATACACCAAGTTTGAACATTCTAGCTCAATTAGGAAGAGTTATTGTGTCCCAAAAAGTGTGACGGACAGACAGACGGACAGACAGACAGACGGACGAACCCATTTTAATAGTCCCCTGCTTTCTTCGAAAGGCGGGGGACAAAAAAAAGAAACGAAATATAGATCTGTATTTTAATCAGATGGTTTTCGATACTTTTGGCAGATGTTTAGTTTTACCAAGAAAATGTTCTATTATTATGGTATCAAACATTCAGGAAGTAAAACCGTAAGCCATCTGAGAACATTTTTGCTGTGGATTAAGTCGTTTAAAAAATCTGACACATGAGATGATGACGATCAGTGACTTCACACTAATCTTATTAATTCATAAACCATGACCATGTCCATTAACACATCTAGTACTTAGAATAAGGCTATTTTTTTATTTTCTGGAGCTGTCAAGCCAGCAAGAGTGTTATTGTCCCTTTAATAAATCTTCTTAACCTCTTAATAATAACAATTAAATGTCTGATGACCAGAATATAAAACCATTTGTCATTTTGAAATTAATATAAAAAAAAATTTCTGCGGTCACATGTGCAATACTAGGGAGGTGCATTTTCATTGGACAGCAGGCCGTGTTTCTGCCATCTCTTCAATGAATTCCACTGTACTTATTAAGTATACACACTATTTTCTGTATATATCCACAATATCCTTCTTACTCTGGACAAGTGATTCAAGCTGGCTCCAAATCAACTGTCCTTCTTACACTAAACAAGTGAATCAAACAGGCACAAAATCAACAGGGGAGACGCTAATTGTAGGCCGATTGGGGAGTTTTAGGAAGGTTCAGGAATTCCCATAAATGAGTATTTTGGGGGAATGCCAACTCTATCCTACAATTAGCATCTCCCAATCAATTGTCCTGCCATTCAGCGAGAAAAGTGAATCAATGAGGCTCCCAATCAACTGTCCTGCCATGATTAAGCTGAACAAGGGAATCAATCAGAATCAATCAGCTGGAGGTCCATATGAACAATGAACCAATATCCGTGCATGTGATGATGACTAGATATGCTTCTATCATGAATTATGTGTAAAATATATAATATACGTGTATGTAAAATATATACCGGTAGTGTACGTGTATGTGGTATTAATCCTACATTTCATCATCAAAATATATACTCATCGACAAGATACATATATATTACCTTATAGTGGCTACCTGTTTTCGAGGGAGTACGCTAAATCGGAGACGGTCCTGTACATACGTCATATGTGGGTTAGGACCTGTAGATTTTGTTAAAGTCTTGAGATGTAAACAGGGCTAGCACCAACCCTCACCCTGGACCAAGCCTAACCCTTACACTAACGCACAATCTACAAATGACGTCACATTTGCAGGACCGTCTTCAATCTAGCGTTTTTCGTGTCCGAGTGACCTGAATCTGGAAATTTATAGTTTTTATGTGTTAAAAGATACTTAAAATGTTCCTATTCTTTAAAAAAAAATTATTTTCGTAATTTCACAGGAATGTGTTTATATATTTATTCTGAAGATATTGTTTTATGCTAGGTTCCCACTGTCACGAATCACGCTACGATTGAAATCGTGATGATGATACTATCAGGTTTTATCATACATTGTGGTCAGTCGTAGCAATCGTGTTGACTGTATTGAAACGTATACGAATGTACCAGATTGTGGACTCAATAGGGGCAATCATATTGTAACGCGTCGCTCGACAATGGGGACCTAGCATCAATTAGTAATTACAAAACTTCACTCTAATTCAAATTACTCGGAAACAATCCAAAACACCTTGATGTTTAAACATAGATTATGCAAGAGCTAAATCTGCCTATTGCAGGTCTTTCTTTACGCCTGAAATGTTGTCAAAATTATTAATTAGACATCAATTAACTCATCCAGACCATAATCAACTCTCGATGTCAACGCTAGCCTGCGATATATGCTGGATTATGATCAGATTTGCTGCTCAACTTTCATTGATGATTTAATCATGAAATGGATAATCGAGATTATGTTTTTTATTATACCGACTTTAGTAATGATCATCGAGGCTAGACCGAAAATTCAATCGCTAAATTCTTGGTTCAGAGTCGATCAATTAAACTGAAATTTTCAGCATATTCCCTTTACATTATCTAGTTTTAAACTATTATAGTGAGAACTGCCAGCTCTTTATCTAATCACCCATAATGTATCTTTAACAGATTCAGTTATATATCAATAAAATACGTCTTGATTTTAAATAGGAACGGATTCAATTTCATTTAAATTTAACATACCTTATAATAATTAATTGCATAGATCATAAACAATTTAACAAAATGAAACAAAAAAACTGAAAACAAAAACACAATATAATAAAATATAACAAATTATGTGGAATAATTAAATAATATAATTGACATGATAAAAATAATTCAATTTCACAGGTAATTTATTAAAAAAAAAAAAAAGGTTTAAGTAAAATTATATGATGACTGACTAATTTATCACTTAACGTTGCTTTAAAGACAGCGAAATTATTTAATACCTGACCGGCGATCCAAAGTCGTCTCAATTCTCAGCAGCCCTGCTATACTATTTGTAGGCCTGACCTAATGTCTATCCAGGTGCAATGCCTTTAGAAGGGGCCTAGGACGACATCTTTGGATTGGGCCTATAATTGGAATTAGCACCACCTTTGGAGACTGTCAGGTAAATTTCTTAATCGATCCTTGTTTGTTTTAAATTCTTTTGTTAGTTTTCTTTTATTTATTACTACGTGGTGTAAAAGGTAGAAAAACAAACAAAACAAATCTATATTATATCAAAGAAATTGACTGTTTTGTGGTTTTATTCACAAATTCCACAGTCAGTTTTAACTACTTTTACTTCTCTAAACAAAATCTTTCTAAAAAATTAAATGGTTTGTGGTTATATTCATAATAGGCAAATTCAACATTTTTAAGTCAAATTTCAAACTTTCTATAGAAAGTTTTAAAGTGAAATAATATAGCTACAAAGACAAAAATTGAACACAATAAAATTAATCACAATTAATTGACTAATCAGGTTATTACATATTATATAAATGTGATTCAAAGGGTATATAACTCTAACTCAATATTAACCATAATATTAAACATTAAAGACAGAGAGAGAGAGAGAGAGAGAGATGGGGTTTAACGGCCACTCGACACAGACTAGGTAATTTTGGGACTAACACATGGTTCAATTTTATTTCAATAATCTGCTTGCGTGTAGGGGTCTTTAGCAGTTAGAGCAACCCGCAGGATCCGGAGAGAACCCACAAGGTTGGACAGGCGACCTTACTCTTTGTCATATACAACCAAGGATTCAAAACCCCGCCAGTTGACTCAATGACAGACAGTATGATACAGCCATTTACCCCCCAAACATTAAATAAACAAATTATAATTAAATATCATCCATGTCAATCAATATTGATGTTATCTTATAGTTGCTTATAGAGAGAGGGAGAGAAAGGGACAGAGAGAGAGAGGAAGAATGAGAGAGAGAGATGGGGTTTAACGTCCACTCGACACAAACTAGGTTATTTTGGGACTTAACACACGGTTCAATTTTATTTCAAAAATCTGCTTGCGCATAGGGGTCTTTAGCAGTGGACCAGAGGACCCAGAGAAAACCCACAAGGTTGGACAGGCGACCCTACTCCTTGTCATGTACAAACAGTTGCTTATAGATGTTGCTTATAATATCATATGTTAAATATAACAGAATTGTATATAAACCTCCAATTATCAACAATTAATAATTTTCTAATGAATCGCACCTTTTAAAATATAATTGTACATATCATTTTCTAGTTGATTCAAACTTGTAACGTTTGGTCTTTCACCTATATTACTGCAATAAACTTATTCTATTCTATGGCCACCTGGCTTCTCATATCCAATATTATAGACGCAAAAACATTTCAGAATCAGTTCCTTTGGTCTGAGTAGGACCTTAAACTTCTTTTGGTCTGAGTAGGACCTTAAACCCCATTTCATTTCCTTTGATCTGATTCTCTATGGTCTTAAATACCATTTGTAATGAAGAGACTTGATGAACAAAGCAAGACATATGTGGCAGCAATCAAAATTGACTGATCCACAACAATAAAGAGAAACAGAGATAAACTTGTAGACTCGAATAACCAGGTGCACAATTGGACGGGTCATATATTTCACCGAAAATAACTGACTAGGTATTAGAATAAAAATTTATAAAACTTGAATATAAATCAGTTCGTATAAATTCATATTATATTATATGTGCTTTTTAACTCATTTTCGTCTATTTCATGGTTACTAAGAACAGAGTTATGTGCCCTTTAATCATAATAACAAATATACAAAGCAGGATTAGAACTATGAACATATTTTGATGAGCCAGGCAATTTCTAACTTAACGATATACACTCAAAAATAAAAAATACTCAATATGATTAGAACACAGATCCTATTTTGTTTCGTTTTTATAGTTCAAAATTTCGTTCTACTTGTTTTTACTACACTAGGACCGGGAAGAGTTGTTATATAAGCCATGTTCTGGATGATGTGAGGGATTAGCCAATGAAACGGTCTGGTACGGTGAGTTCTTGGCATGAAGTGCACGGAACTGTGGGTAACCCACTAGAAACATCAACGCTGATTGGTTAATCAATGTCTGACGTCATAGGGTCAAAAGCCGCTCGTATGACACCTGATGTAACTTTCAACTAAAATTGGTCAGATCTTCATGTAGTGTAGGCTATCGAAAGTATAAAATAAATGAAACGAAATATAGATCTGTATTTTAATCAGATTGAAAGTACCCATATTTCATTTAATTTTTTTAATACTTTCGATGGCCTCCACTACATAAAAATCTTACTGGTTTTAGTGGGTGGTCGCTTCAGGGGTCATATGGGCGTCTTTGACCATGTGATGTCATTCATTCGTTTAACTTTTTGCGGCGGTGTTCCAAGTGGTTATTTGGGAATACAAATTTTTCTGTTTTGTTTTCTATCGCTGTGAATGATTACACAGTTCCATGCGCCACACAATAACAACGTGACTTAGGCCATTTGACTGGCTAAATTCTCACATCATCCAGAATGCAAGTTATATAACAACTCTTCCAGATCTTAGTGTAGTAAAGTCAAGTAGAAATGAAATCTTGAACTATAAAAAATGACACGAAATAGGATCTGTGTTTTAATCAAATTGAAACAAATACTGTAAGTTTCATTATAAATGACAAGTTCATGTTAAGGTTTAAATATTCAATCCTAATAAATAAAATGTTTAACAAAATTATCATATTTCATAACCTGGTAATAAGGGTATTTCCGGAATCCAAAATGGACGCTTTATATAGATAGAGTAATTTGGGGAAAACTAACCCTTACCCTAACCCTTTTTAGAAGACTGATCCAATTTACCTTTTACCTCCTTGAAAGGGTTAAGGTTAGGGTTAGTATTCCCCAAAATACTCATTTATATAAAGCAGCCATTTAGGATTCCGGAAATTCCCGAACCTCCTCCATATGGCCTACAATTAGCATCTCTCTTTGTTTTTTATTAGGCCTAAGGCACCTGTCACAGACAAAGTCAGACATGATTCAAGCTTTATCAGACATGAGACCTCTGGTGTCTGGTACAGGTTTGTCATTTCCAGATCAGTATATTTTGGCTTTCATATTTAACAAATTTGGATGAAATAATCAGAAAACTTACTTTCTGACACAAAAAGAAAACAAAAAAAAACAAAAAAACCATAACAATCACAGGCATAAATATATCCAATAATAAGCTAATTATTCAGCAATATAACAGATGCAAAAAAAAAAAATATACAAATTAACAATATTTTGGCATGTCCTCGTCTTACATTAGTTTCTTATACCCAGACATACTAAACTTGTGCTGTCCACTAAATGAGATGAGAGATGAATGGGGTTTAATGTCCACTCAACACAAACTAGGTCATTGTGGGACTATGCTTGTGCGTAGCTGTCTTTACTCTTTAGCAATGGGCAGAAACCGGAGGGCCTGGAGAAAACCCACGATGTTGGACGCTGGCCATTAGATTTTGTGCCAGGTCCTTAGTTATATAAATCAATCCTTTACATGTTTATTTGCATGAGAACTAAAATTTTATAATAATGCCCGCCTTTACTATATTGTACCATGGAAGCTAATTCATATAAGTCCATTTGGCTTGCTTTTTTTTGTATCAGGTTTTTAATGGGAGAGAGAGAGAGAGAGAGAGAGGGTTTAACCTTCACTGACACAAACTAGGTCATTTCGGGACTAACATATGGTTTTTATTTTTATTTCAATAATTCGCTTGCGCGTAGGGGTCTTTAGCAGTGGGAGGAAACCGGAGGACCCGGAGAAAACCCATGAGGTTGGACAGGCGACCCTACTCCGGGGATTTGAAACCACGCCAGTCGACTCAATGACAGACTTTATGATACAGCGCACGCACGCTAACCATTCAGCCACCCAACCCTCTTTATTTAGGGACTTACTTATTAAATTGCTTAAGTAGAAATTATTATTGGGAAATATGTCTGGATGATCTGAATGAAAATTGTGTTTTAAATAAAAAAAAGATTCTAATTAATGATAAGGTTGATGTAAAAAGCCTCCAACCCACAATCATCCGCTGGACTGGATAATCAAAACTCAAGGCTATGGACCAATGGAGATCCAGGGTCAGGGATGATCAAGTCTAGTCATGTAAGTTCAGCAGGGTTGAAAGACATTACATTAATGTTTTATAAATTCAATAAAAACAAAATACATTCATATTGCGTGTATAAATTAAAACGCAACAAACATTTAAATAGAATACAATAACTGGTTGTTATACATATAGCGCGAAAATTCACCAAGTATATAAGAGAGAGAAATGGGGTTTAACATCCACTTGACACAAACTAAGTCATTTCAGGACTACCATATGGTTCAATTTTATTTCAAGAATTTGCTTGCGCGTAGGGGTTTTAGTAGTGGGAGAAAACAGAAAGACACAGAGAAAACCCACGAGGTTGGTGAATCACAATACATATCGTATTGTGACTGCAGTGACAATAAGCAGTCAAATCATCATGCTATATGTAAAACATCCAAATGATTATTTTCCATATAAATATTTGTTGTGTTTTTATTGTGCTCTATCACTAAATCTCACTCATGGCACTGTAACATGGGTATCATTTAATCTTGTGTATCTAGCACTAATTTGTTTAATATCAAATCTTTGTTTAAAAATTCGCAAAAACTATTTGAATATGAATATTTTTGTGAGCACTAAATTTAACACATCAATTTCTCAACTGAATTAATCTACTGACAAAGTAACATCGTCAAATCATTCCTAGTATAATATACCAGTAGACTAATATATAATTTATATCAGCGATGCTTCAACGATGGTAGTCTATCAGGCAATTTAAGTACCATTGTAAAATGAAATAATAAATCATACTAGGTTCCCACTATCATTATTCGAGCTACGATTGAAATCGTGGTGTTATCGTGGTGATCCTATCAGGTCTTATCACATATTACAATCATTCCTAGCAATCGTGTTGATTGTACATGTATCTGCACGTACCAAATTGTGGACTCAATAGGGACAATCCTATCGCAACGCATTACACGACAGAGGGAGCCCAGCATTAGTAATTTTTTTCTATTTAAATGTGTTGATTTTATCAAAAACGTATCTGCATGTACCAGATCGTGGACTCAATAGGAACAATCCTATCGCAACACATCGCGTGACAGTGGGAACATAGCATTAATAATTTTTTTCTATTTAAATGTGTTGTGTTAATAAAATGTATGATATAAGTGATTGCAAGTCTAATGGGTGGTTTATGAAAACAGACTCAGCAGGGCGATTGACACCCTGCAGGCTATCTGTAACAACCAGTCTGATTGGGTTAAACATCCTGAGTTATAAATGCATAAATTATGCTAATTAGCAGGTTGACCTTTTAGTTGACCTTTTTGTGATTTTTGTTGTTTTCTGTTCCATAGTGTGAACCCCTGGCTATTTCTGTTACTCCTATCATCCATCGAACACCTACAGACGCTGAAATTACAGAAGACAGGAAGTGCTAAACAGGAAGTGCTAAACTGAAAGTAGACTCGAGGAGATAAAATTGTGTCCTTTTTTGCACAATAGGAATTCCTTGCCTGTAGTACAAAGGAAAGAAATGAAATGGGGTTCAACGTCCTACTGTTCTGCTCCTATACTGGGCTAATGAAGACGGTCATACGCCATACAGTGTGCTATGAGGGAAATTTTGCCTGGACAGCGGCACTATGGCCTACTCTTATAACAAATTCCAACTTCCAAGGGATCTTTTACGTGCACTCCAATGTGTACATGGGACCTTGGTTTTTTCATCCCATTAAAATGACCAGACAGCTGTTCTTGTAAGGCCCTCTGTCCTGCTTCACTGACAAGTGGGAAACCATGCCGGAAAATCTGGATGTACTTTCTCAGCCAATGCAGGGATCAAACACCCAACCTCCAGGCTAGCGAGCCAGCGTCTTACCCACTTAGCCACCATGCCCCCCCCACCCGATTTACATATAACTTGTTGTACTGTTACATATACTTACTTTAATGATTGATATACATAGAACTTGTGAGAGAGAGAGAAATGGGGTTTAACGTCCACTCGACACAAACTAGGTCATTTCGAGACTAACATATGGTTTAATTTTATATACATAATTCGCTTGCGCGTAGGGGTCTTTAGCAGTGGGAGGAAACCGGAGGCCCCGGAGAAAACCCACGAGGTTGGACAGGCGACCCTACTCCTTGATACGTATAACCGGGGATTCGAAACCACGCCAGTCGAGTCAATGACAGACTTTATGATACAGCGCGCACACTAACCATTCAGCCATCCAACCCCCCCATATAACTTGTACTGTTATATATACTTACCTATAGTTATAACTGATATACATATAACTTGTTGTAATATTGTTCCTGATAGAAATATTCCACCCAGATATTTAAATAATGGAACGCACGTTAAAACGAACCAGAATATAGTAATGATCAGATCATAAGGCCGACTTGGTATTTTATATGGTACACCTTCAAATTTCTGTTTTTGCATAAAATTTTCAAATATTTCATCCTGAAAGATAAAAATAAAATAGAAATTTCACAAAGTTTGGATGATAACTTTTGGCGTTAAGAGTGTTCACAAGGTTCAACAAAGTGAAACAAGGGCCATAACTCTAGACATAATAAACGGAAATTATTGAAATTAAATAGGATTCTATATCTCACTAATGTAAACAATATAGATCAATTCTAAAACAATCGGCTGATAAAGTTTGGCGTTAGAGCATTCACAAGAAACGGACAGACAGACCGACAGGCAGACCGACGGCAATATACGTCCACTTTTCCACGAGGGTGCATAAAAATGATAATTTTGTGAATTGCCAGCTGTCCACGAATGTTTTTCAGTCTGAACACTGGGAGGAAATAGATGTCGCCTAGATGTAACAACCAATCTGATTGAAATACAGATCCTATTTCGTTTCAATTTTTATAGTTCAAAAATTTGTTTTACTTGTTTTTACAACACTAGGATCTGGAAGCGCTGTTAAATAACCCGCGTTCTGGATGATGTGAGGGATTAGCCAATGTAACGGTCTGTTGCGGTAACTTTTTGACATGAGGTGCATGGAACTGTGGGTAAACTACTAGAAACATCAACACTGATTGGTTAATAAAATGTCTGACGTCATAGGGTCAAAAGACGCTTGTACTAACAGTTGTTGTCTGGATGTCTGATATCTGATTGTAAACAAACAAAGGTCTTGGCCAGAAAAATGGCTGCTTGTTTTGTTAACAGAACACAGTTTTTATGGGATACAATCACTAGTTTTATTCTAAAAGCACGATGTTTCGACAAGTATCCTCTTATCGTTATCAAGCTTGATTGTATCCCATAAAAACTGTTAATGTGTTTCCGATTGCTAAATGCCACTTAAAGATTATGCTTGTATTGTTGGCACCACAATGTCACGGCCACTCAGGTTAAAAGTACATGCAGGCAAATAAGTGGACTTAAATAAGAATTACACAGCACAAAATCATCACGGTGATACCCAAATAAGTTTACATACTTTTTCTTGAAATAAATCACGTAACCAAACTGCTGCCTCCTCATCCGTATCTACAGGTACTTTATCTAAATCAAATCTCCTGAAAATAATATACATAAACAAATTAAAAGACTATCTCCCTCTCTCTTTCTATCTCTATCTCTGTAACAAAAATTTGTAATTATTTAAGTGAATCCCTGTAAACAGCATGAATAAACATATGATCAGATACATGTAGAACATAAAGAGGCATTATGAGAGATTAGATAATTATCTAAATAGTTATAAATAGTTAAAAAATAGATTTGAAAATTTCAATCCAATTGCTCCACTCTGAACCGAGATATTAGCTTTTGAATTTTAGGCCTAGCCTCGATTACTAAAGTTGGTACGATAAACGGTAAATCATCAACCCCAAAACATATGCCATCCGATGGCATCAAGAGATGATTATGGACTTGGTGAGTTATTAAATGTCTAATTAATAATTCATTTAAAATTTAAGTATAAAGAGAGATTTGCAATAGGCAGATTTACCTCTTGCATACACTGTAATCAGGGTATCACTTAATCTTCCACATTCATTTAATATCAAATCTTTGTTTAAAAATTCGTAAAAATCGTTTAAAATCACCGAAAATAGTCTAATTTGTACTTATGTCCAGTTTAAAGCTGACCATTCAATTTTGATAATGTGTGTCCAAATTAGATGATTTAGGTGATTTTAAATGATTTTTTTATGATTTTTTAAACAAAGATTTGACATTAAAAGATTGTGAAAGAAATTAGTGCTAGATACACAAGATTAAATGATACCTGAGTTACAGTGATACATGTATGTTTAAACGTACCTAACGAGTAAATGAGCTGTAACTGATTTTCCCTGTATAACATTCATTAATGTTGGTTCTGGACCATCGCTAGGAAACGCTATTGTTAAATCATATACTGCTGGTACTGAATAAAAAAACAATCATATTATAAATCATAGTGTTGTCTTCACCAAGGAGACAGTGAAATGGGGTTTAACATACACTCGACACAAATTAGGTCATTTCGGAAGTAACATATGGCTCAATTTTATTTCAATAATTCGCTTGTGTGCAGGGGTCTTTAGCAGTGGGAGGGAACCGGAGGACCCAGACAAAACCCACAAGGTTGGACAGTCGACCCTACTTCTCGTCTTAACAAAGACAACAGAACTATTCTGGCAGTCATATTGTTAATGACTTTAACGACACTGTAATTTGCGTCAACGAGCAGCCTTTTGGTTGGAATTCCAGCACTATATAAGACAATTATTATTATTTATTTATTTATTAAATCAGCAGTCACTTTTTAATTTCATATTTTGTGCCAACGAGCAGCCTTTTGGTTTGAATTCCTGCGCTATATAAAGACGATTATTATTATTATTATTATCATTTATTAAATTGGCACTCACTTTTTCCTTTCATATTTTGTATCGAGAGTATGAAACCTTTTGGTCGTGGTAAAAGATGATGTTTCATATCGGGATAACCTCTTGACCTTGACACTTCTAAACTAGCTTTATGTTTATCTTCTGTAAATCGTGTTCCCTCAGGAAATAACAAACACTGAAATACACAAAAACACGACAGATCTATTTATGTAAAAATCTACGTGATTTCCTTTTCGATTTAATCTTGAAGTCAGTTAAAGTAGTTAAACATGCATTATCCAAGAGCAAAATCTGCTTATTACAAGTCTTTCTTTAGGCCTGAAATGTTATCTAAATTATCAATTAGATATTAATTAACTTATCCAGACCATAATCAACTCTCGAGTCAAGGCTAGCCTTCGATGTTGGCTGGATTAGATTCCTATATGCCACTAACAGCTATTGATAATTAAATCAGAAAAAGTGGATAATCGAGACTATGCTGTTTATATTGATGATTTTAGTAATGATGACCGAGACTATGCGAAAATTTCACCCGCTTCTTTCTCGGCTCATAGTGGATCAATTTGACTGAAATTTTCAGCAAATTACCTTTACACTATCTAGATTTTAACTATTATAGGGAGAACTGCCATCTCTTTATCTTATCTCCCATAATGTATCTTTATGTCTCTAACTCGATATCATCTAAAGTCTTTGACATTGATGTTGTGATCTTACCGGGAAAAGATGGCTTCTGATATCCAATATTTAAGACGAAATAAACATTTTACCATTGGTACAAGAATTGTGTACCGTAATGCGTTTCAGTTCCATTGTAACAAGGGACACAAAGAATAAGGCTAGACATATTCTGCAAGTCATTTCAAACAGTGACGCCATATTGTTACTAACGGTGTAGACTGGAATAACCAACGGTGACGCCATATTGTTACTAACGGTGTAGACTGGAATAACCAAACGCTAGAGGTTGCCATTCGATTGAGATTTCTGGCGTATTTCGCCATACATAACTGATTTGATATTACTGTAAAAACGGAAATGATTGAATGTAAATCGGTTTAAATACAGATCTATATTTTGTTTCGTTTTTTTTATACTTTCGATGGCCTCTACTACATGAAGATTTGACCAGCTGTAGTGGGAGGTCGTGTCAGGAGTGATACAAATGGCTCTTGACCATATGATGTCAGACATTTGATTAACCAATCAGCGTTGATGTTTCTAGTAGGATACCCACAGTTTTGGGAGTCTCACGCCAAGAAATGAAATGAAATGGGGTTTAACGTCCTACTTTTCTGCTCCTATACTGGGCTAATGAAGACGGGCATATGCCATACAGTGTGCTATGAGGTAAATTTGCCCGGGCAGTGGCACTATCGCCTACTCTTATATCGAATTCCAACAGCCAAGGGATCTTTTACGTGCATTCCAATGTATACACAGGACCTCGGTTTTTCGTTTTATCCGAAGGACTAGACAACTGTCCTTGTCAGGCCCTCCGTTCTGCACCAACGACAAGTGGAAACCACGTCGGAAAATCCAGATGAACTTTCTCGGCAAATGCAGAGATCGAACACCCGACCTCCAGGCTAGCGAGCTAGCGCCTTATCTACCTAGCCACCCTCACGCCAAGAACTTGCGTTCTGGTTGATGTGAGGGATTAGCAAATGAAACGGTCTGGTCAGATCTTCATGTAGTACAGGCCATCGAAAGTACAAAACAAAAGGAAATGAAATATAGATCTGTATTTTAATCAGATTGAGATTCCATGTGATTTAAGACTTTTTAAAACATATTTTAAACCGCATATTTCGGTAACAGGACACAAAACGGATTCCTTCATTAATCAATGATTATCAAGATAATAGCTTTGCTTTACCAGCCTGTAAAATATATTTACACTGTACAGTAATACATACCGTCACCCAATAACCGTCTGGATAATCTGTTAATTTCTTTAAATCATTTTCTATTGTCTTTTTGTCAGATTCCCAATTTCGTTTTAAAAATATACTTTCATTAAAATACCAGGCCCAACCAATCAACGGAACATATTTCAACATTTCTTTACCATAAATCTTACAATTCTACAAAAGATGAAAAAAATAAATTATTTAAAGCTATATTTATTCAACACATTGATTGGAGAATATGACTATTTTAAAATATATGACTACTGTGGAATATTTGACTACTGTGGAAAATATGACTACTGTGGAAGATATTTTGTTTCTAAAAACAATACCTGTTTATATACAACGTATGTTTTGAGCTAGTTTGTGTTATCAGCATATTAAAAAAATGTGAAATGAAATGAAAAAGATTTAACGTCCTGCACCCACAAGCATACGCCATACAGTGTGCGGAGGGAAATTTTGCCTGGAAAGCGGCGTTACAGGCTACTTTTATTTCAAATTCCAACTTCAAAGTCTAGGCAAAACTTTCGAGGGTCCTTCTAGGCCCACATCAGGATTTGACTAACGCAGATCCTACTTCGTTTCATTTTTTATAATTCAAAATTTCGTTTTACTTGTCTTCACTACACTAGGATCTTGAAGAGTTGTTATATTACCCGCGTTCTGGATGATGTGAGGGATTATCCAATGAAATGGTCTGTTACGGCGAGTTTTTGGCGTGAGGTACACAGAATTTTGGGTAAATCACTAGAAACGTCAAGGCTGATTGCTTAATCAATGTCTGATGTCATAAGGTCAAAAGCTGCTCGTATGATGCGACCTTCCAGTAAAATCCGCCAGATCTTCATGCAGTGTAGGCCATCGAAAGTATAACAAAACAAAACGAAATATAGACCTGTATTTTCATCAGATTGGTAACATACTTAAACTTTAATGTTAGAAAATATTTTTAAAAAAATGAATTTTACCCCAAGCATTCCAAATCGTTCTGCTAGAAGCCACGTCATCAACCAATCAATATCGTATTTATGATTCATGACCACGAGAATATGTTCCTTTCCCACCATCTTTAAAACCTCAGGACTCGTATATAACAGACATTCTGATCCAGACCACCATTCTCCTAGTGATATAAACACTGAAAACAAGACAGAGATGAAAATGAAATGAAATGGGGTTCAACGTCGTCCTACTGCTCCTATACTGGGCTAATGAAGACGGGCATATGCCATACAGTGTGCTATGAGGGAAATTTTGCCCGGGTAGTGGCACTATCGCCTATTATTATATCAAATTCAAACTGCCAAGGGATCTTTTACGTGTATTCCAAAACAAGAGAGACGCTAACCAATCGGCCATCCACCACCCCCAATGAAAACAAACATGATATTGCAAAGTAAATTGAAAGTAGCAAGAAAATTCTGTATGCTGCAGAAAAATAAAGCTTTAATTTCTAACTTTGTGTATGGCACAGGAAACGAAATGGGGTTTAACGTCGTATTGTTCTGCTCCGACTGCGATAATGAAGACGGGGATATGCATAAAGTGTAGTAGGTGGAAAATTTTGAAAATCATAATACAGCCAGCCTTCTCTTATATCGAATTCCAACTGCCAAGGGATTTCTTACGTGCACACCAATGTGTACATGAGACCTTGGTATTTTGTCCCTTTCGAACAACTATACATTGTCCCTTGCCAGGCACTCGAACCACTGACAAGGGGAAACCACTCTGGAAAATCCTGATGAACTTTCTCGGCCCACACTATTAAATGCAGGATAAAAAAAATGTCAACTTACATGACCAATGAGCGTACGCTAAATGTACGATGATCTTTCTGTATAGATGTTTATTAAACGGCCAGACAATACAGGCACACAACATGAGAAAACACACGATCAAACCACTCGCTACGAACACGTAACCCATTAATAGATGTAATATAAACCATGTTTTTATCTGCTGACCTAATGTCATCGTCATGGTGATCTGAAATACACAAAATAAAGACAAATAATTAATTTTATAAAGAGAGAAAGAGAAATGGGGTTTAACGTCTGCTCGACACATACACCCAGCAAATCGAACCACGCCACTTGAATCAACGACAGACCTTCTAATCCAATGTGCAAGTGTTACCCAAACCTTCTGATCCAACACGCACTTGTTAACCATTCGGCCACCCAAGCCTCCTCACAGTTAACAAAATGGTGACAGGCTTATTGCATAGTGAGCAACATACATCAATGACATTTTAATTCCACATATCTTTGTACACGTAAATACAGAATGGAATTGAAACATTTTTGGACTGATATTCCTAATTAGAGACCATTCCTATTGATTCCTATTGCCTAAAACGGTGCAGTATGTGTAATATTGCAAAGTATTCAGTTACAAATGTAGCTCCTATATCGTCTACTTAACCTCTGTTTAAACTAGTTACATGTATTAGCTCCTATATCATATACTAAACCTCTGTTTAAACTAGTAATTAGCTCCTATAACACCTGTTTGATCTCTGTTTAAACTAGTTAGCTCCTATAATGCCTGTTTGACCTCTGTTTAAAATAGTTAGCTCCTATAATGCCTGTTTAGCCTCTGTTTAAACTACATGTAGTTAGCTCCTATAACACCTGTTTGACCTCTGTTTAAACTAGTTACATGTAGCTCCTATAACACCTGTTTGACCTCCGTTTAAGCTAGTTAACTCCTATAACGCCTGTTTGACCCCTGTTTAAACTGGTAAGCTCCTATTTAACCTCTGTTTAAACTAGTACACGTAAGCCCTATTTACGCTCTTTGAATGAAATGTTGATGGCTGTCCACTATCATAAATGCATCCGGGACATGTACATACTACATGTATGAATGATGTTATAATTGTGTTGACAGAATGATCATATGGTTATGTATAAAGATACATGATGAAAATTTGACAGAAAGCCAACAATGTCTAGAGTTGTGTGTTATTTTGTTCATTAAAAAGACATTTTGGTGAGTAGAAAAAGGTTCATTATATCAAGGACATTGTGTTAAGTTACATGACGGTGGATTTTATCAAGGACATTTAATCAAGGACATTTTATCAAGGATATTTTATCAAGGATATTTTATCAAGGACATTTTGTTAAGTTCAAGCAACAATTGTATTTTTTTTTTAAGTCATCTGTTTAAAATAATAAGTTAAAATAAAGCCTTAAAATACATCTATATACAGTCCTACCATATGAAGGGGCGGGACGAAAAGTTAACATGTGCACGTTGCATCAAAAGTTCTGTCATTGGGTCAAATGGCTTGGTTTTGGTTTCCTGTATGTACGTGACAAGGAGTAGGGTCAAGGAGTAGGGTCGCTGTGTCTGACCTTATGGTTTTCTATGAGTCCTTCAGATTTCCTTAACATATGGTTTAATTTTATTTCAATAATTCGCTTGCGTGTAGAGGTCTATAGCAGTGGGAGGAAACCGGATGACCCAGAAAAAACCAATGAGGTTGGACAAGCGACCCTACTCCTTGTCACATACAACCGGGGAATCGAAACCACGCCAGTTGACTCAATGACAGACCTTATGATAAAACGCACCCCAGAATAATTCCTATGATTGTATAGAAATAGTATTGTATTAATTTAAACATACATTATGCAACAGCTAAATCTGTCTATTGCAGGTCTTTCTTTAGGCCTGAAATGTTATCTAAATTATTAATTAGACATTAATTAACTTATCCAGACCATAATCAACTCTACATGGCATCGCTAGCCTGCGATCTTAAGTGGATTGTGATCTGATTTACTGCATAACTTTCCTTCTCGATTAAATGATTAAATGGATAATCGAGACTATGCTGTTTAACGTACTGACTTTAGTAATGATGACCGAGGCTAGGCAGAAATTTCATTCGCTTAGTTCTCGGTTCATAGTGGATCAATTTGAATGAAATTTCCAGCAAATTGCCTTTACGTTATCTAGTTTTTAATTATCATAGTGAGAACTGCCAACTCGTTATCGAATCTCCCATAATGTATCTTTAAGTAATACAATTATGTTCTGACTTTCTAAGAAAATATGAAACTATATCTTTAAATTGAAGAGAGGTTGATTCTATCAAGGACATCACTAACCTTGATTCTTATACAAGTAGATGTAATATCTATCTTGTTGTACAAAAAGTACAGGGTACACTGTACCAGTACAACTTGACATACAGATATCAACTGGAATGGCTGAAAACACTTCTATAGAGAGAGAGAGAGGGAGAGAGAGAGAAAAAGAGAGAGAGAGAGTTTTAACCCACACAGGACACAAACTGGCAAGGGGGAACCACCCCCGAAAATCTTGAGGAACATTCTAGGACAATAACAGGAGCAAACCTTAGACCTCCTGATTAGCAGAGAGAGAGAGAGAGAAATGGCGTTTAAACGTCCACTGGACACAAACTAGGTCATTCTGGGACTAACATATGGTTCAATTTGATTTCAATAATTCGCTTGCGCGTAGGGGTCTTAGTAGTGGGAGGAAACCTAGAGAAAACCCACGAGGATAGACTGGCGACCCTACTCATTGTCACGTACAACCGGGGAATGACAGACCATATGATTCAACATGCACATGCTAACTTCTACGATCATGTCAGGGGTGAGTCCAGAAATCTTTGTAAGATGGGGTTTGCCAGGTTCCTGTTAAGGAAATTTGACAGTTAACAAAGTATGATGCCATCATTGTCTCCAAATTACGTAGGCATACATACACATTGAGCTTTTGTAAAGAGAGAAATCCAACATAACTTTAGATGTCAATTTTTATAATGAATTAATAGGATCACACATGTCTATATCATTATTTCACGCTTTGAATGCCCATCCTATCCCCACCATTTGATGATAAAAGATAAAGCACATGACCGTTACACTTTTTTTCTCACAAACATGTTGTTTTACAAATCTTTTTTTATGTTGCTGATCAGGTCTGTGCACCCCCCTCCCACCCCCCAATCCGCCCCTGCATGTAAGACCAATACAATACAAACCTTTAATTCTGACCTGAACAGGGGGTGTTGTTCCTTTAACCCGTTGTACTCTACGTGATCTCTATAGGATAACCACTGTACAGTGTTTACACTATGATAAACAAATATTTCAGGTAGCTTCAAATTAGGTAATTCAGTCAATATGATCATCCAAAGTCCATTCTTAGCTTCTTGACCTCAGTTCTACTATCATAATTGTGTTTTAAATTTGTAAATTTATTGTTATCAAGTTTTTATTTTGAAATTTGATTTGTATACTTGACTTTCTGGATTGACCCTTTGCCCTGTAGATATGTATGTATTGGAGGTATACATGTCTAGTGTGCTAACAGTGTAAATACTACAGTGCAAAGTGCGCCTGATGGACAGTCCCCCCCCCCTCTCCCACTGCAACCGCTAAACTCCCCCTACCTGTCCAGGTCTTATTCATCAATCAATTTAAACCAAGGTCAAAACCATGACAGAGTCTGTCAAAAGATTTTCTCCAATACTATACCATAGCAGAGGCACAATACCTTACCCGAGGCACGATACCATACCTGAAGCACAAAATCCCAGCTGAGGCATGAACCCATACCTGAAGCACAGCACCTAATTACCTGCAGCATAATACTATTACTATTACTGAACGATATCACATGAGAGGCATGATATACATGTACATGGACCTCACCTGAGGCACAATAACTTACCTGAGACACAATACCATACTTGAGACACAATACCTTTCCTGGGGCACAATACCACACCCAAGGCACAATACCTTAACAGAGGCATACATGTAATACCTTAACAGAGACAAAATACCTTAACAGAGACACAATACCATACCTGAGACACGAAAGCATACCTGAGGAACTATACCATACCTGAGGTACATGTTTAATACCTTACCTGAGGCACAATACCTCAGTGGTTGAAATACTAATTTTAATTTGACACAAATCAGACCAACAACAGTATTTGAAAAATGTAAACACAGTTACATGTACAACGTAACTAATTAAGCCTATGAGAGAGAGAGAGAGAAATGGGGTTTAACGGCCCACTCGACACAAACTAGGTCATTTCGGGACTAACATATGGTTTAATTTTATTTCAATAATTTGCTTGCGCGTAGGGGTCTTTAGCAGTGGGAGGAAACCGAGGGACCCGGAGAAAACCCATGAGGTTGGACAGGCGCCCTACTCCTTGTCACGTACAACCGGGGAATCGAAACCCTGCCAGTTGACTCAGTGACAGACCGTATGATACAGCGCGCGAATGCTAACCATTCGGCCATCCACCCACCCCTTAAGCCTATGAATATAAATCTGTCAACCATGAAAAAACAGATAGTTCTTGTAGTTATAGAATATTTTTTAAATTTATTTTTTAAATAAGGAAGAAGAATTAAAGGAACTAAATCGCTAATATTTGGGAACTAGAAATTGACACAAACGAGTTGCAATGTATATAATAATGTAATATGAATGTATATAAACTGATTTACATTCAATTGTTTCTGTGTTTACTGTAATTTCTACCGTAATCAGTTATGTTCGGCGAAATAGGCAATCTCTAGCGTCTGGTTATTCCAATCTACACCGATAGTATTTATTGCGCATGCTCTCCAGATAAGAATATGGCGCCACCGTTTGACATGACTTGTGAATTATGTCCAGCCTTGTTCTTCAAGTCCCTCGATGCAAATGGCGCTGAAACGCACTATGGTACACGATTCGCGTACCAATGGTAAAAAGTTTATTTTGTCTTAAATATTGGATCAGAAGCCCATCTTTTGCCCAGTAAGATCACAACATCAATGTTGATTTAAATTAACAAATAATTTGTGTTTTCAATATCGAAGACTTTGGATGATATGGAGTTAGGGACTTCGCTACTTACTTTCATAAATGTTATTACCAAAAACACATTTTTATGTCATAATGAATGGCATGCTGGGAATGACATGCATGGGCCAACTGGGCAAAGTCCAAACTCCAAGACCAAACAGAATATAAAAAATGTTTGGAAATTTTAAAAAAAAACAATGACATGACTTTCAGGGTTTTCTTTGTAACTTTTTTTTCCATATTTGCTACAATCCCAACATCTACAAGTAATTAATTAATTGTCACGATTTAAAATATACAATACCTGATCAAAATTGATCAACTGATTGGTAACCACACGTTTTTATTGCCCGCTACTCAGTCCATTTAACTTAGCCAACTGACTCATTCAACCAAAACGTATCAAAACATACCATATCTCTCAACCTTTGACCTGTAAGACTAATAAAATACGGCAAGTCGTAAAATAAAGAGTAATTTTTTTTTTTAAATTTAAAAGCTCTCTATAAGCGATAAATTACAAAACACAATTGATGAAGAGAACGTTTGGTAAATAGTCTGTGATATAGAAACCGTTCAAAAGTATGAAAGTATTCTTATTTTGAATTTCAGATCTCGGTATATTTTACGACTTTACATCCGACCAGTTTCTGTTACCCACGTGTTGAAAGCGGAAGTAGGAAATAAACCCGCTGATGAAATTTTATGTAAACAATAAAATATTCAATAAAACTTCATTAGGTCAATGCGACACATTTGGTGTTGAGAGAACAGGTAAAGATTTCCATCAATTCTTGTTTTATAGATGTTAATATATGAGAGGTAAGCTTATATAATACAAGAGGCGTCTGGAATGATTTTTTTTTTTTTTTCATACTAATTTTCATTTTCTTTCGTTGATTTCTTTTCTTTTTTTTCACACGCCTTGATTCGTCATCTTCGCGTATAACCCACACTAATAATGCGGTTTTTTTTAAAACCGAGAAAAATAAATAGATTATTGAAAGATTGTTGTGTGTAGGCCACACCTTCTTACTTCAGTTCACTGAATTAAAGAAAAACCAAGGTTGATCAATTTAAATTGTAAGACAATGAATTCAATGATGATACTGATAGGGAAGAATCACATCATTGTACCATATGGTAGGCCATGGACCCTAACTATATGGGTAACTCACACAAATGTTTGAATAATTCCATTCAAATACTCTTCCGTATTGATGTGGGGAGTTGGGTGGCCGATGGTCACGGTCACCTGCACAACCTCCTGGTCTTCAACGTACATAGGCGGCGCCATAGGGTCTGGAACTGTTGTCCCTATTTCAGTATTTGGTGAAAAGTTCCATTGCTCATTCATAGCATAAATTAAGTGTGTTGGATATTGAACTAGCAATGCAATCATGGATTTTCTGAAATGGCATTCTTACGTTAATTTCATGTGCGTCATCATCTTGTTTTAGGACTAGTTACCTCCCTTAGACTTTGTTTATGAAAATGTAAAAGACCGGATAATCTAGCCAATTCTTTTAATACAATTGCTGCTTATTACTGAGTGACGTTTGAACTAGGCTTCCCTAGTCATTATCAAGCTCAGTTGGTTCTTCATTGGGATATATTTGATCATGTTAATTCATTTCAATCATCTAATCTTTTGATATGGAAACTGTATTGATTTTAAAAATTCACAATCTCTAGAAATCTGAAAAATGCTGTGTATAATCATTACTGATTATTTAGATTGGATCAAACCAAATAATGACATACATTGTACATAGAATATTTGACTACCCGGTACTGTACTAAAATCGGATGTATGACAACTCATTCCAAGATAGAAGACCACTTGTCCCACATTTACAAGACCACACTGATCCCACAATAGTTGTCTATTAAAACAAACACAGTTATTGTGGAATGAGTGGTCTTCTAAACTTGGGATGAGTTGTCTTCTATCTTGGAATGAATTGAATTATCTTCTACTGAGATGAGTGGTCTGAAATGAGTTGGCTTAGGGATGAGTTGTCTGGATACCCTAAAATCAGTATTCATTGTGACCACAAAAATCTCTTCTTTTTTTTTCTAGATTGAAAATGGCAGATGAAAAGTTGAATCTAATCACCAGAAACCTTCAGGTACGTACAATATTATATCCAAACTCATCTGGACAGCAATAGATCTGTAAAAAAAATCAATTTCAACAACATTGATGTATAAGAAATGTCAACAAGAGGTTACTATGCAATATACACCTATGTTTTGCAAGAGATGGATGGAGAACAGGGAAATAGATAGGTGCCTATGTATCTACATGTATATTCATTACAGTGTTAAAATATATCTGTATATTTATATAGGAGGTTATTGGTGAAGACAGATTAAAGGCATTATTATCTGAACGAGATGTAAATCTATACTGGGGAACAGCAACTACAGGAAAACCTCATGTAGCATATTTTGTACCTATGACAAAAATAGCAGATTTCTTAAAAGCAGGTTGTAAGGTAAAGTATATCAGTCCTTCACATGTAAGGGGAGCTTTTGTTCCTGCTCCTCTCGACGCATGTCGGCTTTCCTTCGAAGGAATCATTAGAGACGCCTGCAAATTCGCTAAATCGCTCTCCTAAATATTGAGATTAATAAACTTCTTCCAATTTTTGTTTACTTTTCAACTGCATATATTCATGGTATCAGGAGCTTTTTATGGCTCCCCCACAATTTTATAAACATGAAGGACTGATATATTGTTCTTCAAAATAGGGAGCCATGGTGGTTAAGTGGGTAAGACGCTAGCTCACTAGCCAGGTTGTTGCATGTTTGATCCCTGCATTGGCTGAGAAAATTCATCAGGATTTTCCAGCGTGGTTTCCCCTTGCCGGTGGTGCAGGACGGAGGGCATGACAAGAACAGTTGTCTAGTAGTTTGAATGGGACGAAAAAATGAGAACCTGTATATACATTGGCATGCACGTAAAAAATCCCCTTGCAGTTGGAATTTGATATAAGTGTAGACAAAAGCGCCGCTCTCTGGGCAAAATTTCTCTCATAGCACGCTGTATGGTGTATGCCTGTCCATTAGCCCAGTCAGAGCAGAACAGTAGGACGTTAAACCCCATTTCATTTCATTTTCATTCCTTATACTGGTAATAAGCAATTGAGCTTTTTTATTTTCATCTCCAACATTCTTATTCAGAACACTTTCTGTTTTATTTGATTGAAATTAAAATTTTTGTATTTTGTAGGTAACAATTTTATTTGCCGATTTACATGCTTATCTGGATAATATGAAGGCACCATGGGAACTTCTAGAAAAACGAGCTCAGTATTACCAAGAAGTGATTCAATCAATGTTACGAACTCTGGGAGTTCCATTAGAAAAACTCAACTTTGTAAAAGGCACAGATTACCAATTGAGCAGGTATAAACATATTTCACATATAGCATGGTATAATCAGGGTTGTCATATACAACAGTCTACCATTCTCATTCGATGTTATGTTTGACCCACCCTCGCCAGTTGCAAATTTGTGTGCTCATTTCTTTATCATGCTTTTAATAGCAGGGAGTGATGGGAGAGAGAGAGAAATGGGGTTTTAATTTTATTTCAATAATTTGCTTGCGCATAGGGGTCTTTAGCAGTGGGAGGAAACCGGAGGACCTGGAGAAAACCCACGAGGTTGGACAGGCGACCCTACTCCTTGTCAGGTACAACCGGGGATTCGAAACTATGCCAGTCGACTCAATGACAGACTTTATGATACAGCGCGCGCACGCTAACCATTCAGCTATCCAACCCCCCAGGCATTGACCAGTGGGAGTGTTAAATCTAAATGTATCTGCTACACTTTTATTGTCTATACCGTCTGCTTTGTTTTATACAAAAGTTAACTTGACTGACTCCGAAACAAAAGAGTCACAAAGGAAGCACATGCCTATTATCCCCCTTGCTATTTAAACGATTTCTACTTGTATATATACATCCGTTTATTTGTTACATTTATGTTTGTTGTATTGTATAAATGTAATGTTTGTAATTGTATGCTGCTCCCCATGGGCGTTTTTATGCAATAAAATTTACATACATGTACCTATAGTATGGTACAGACAGTGTTGGCATATAGCATGGTACAGCCAGGGTTTGCGTATAGCAAGGTACAGACTGGGTTGGCATATAGCATGATATAAAACAGGGTTAGCATGGTATGAACAGTTAGTATATATATATCAAGGTTTTTTTTGTCAATAAAGATCTCCATTGAATTTAAATTTCAGGAAATATACATTGGATGTTTACAAATTATCTTCATTAGTAACAGAACATGATGCACGTAAGGCTGGAGCAGAAGTGGTAAAACAGGCGTCGACTCCGTTACTCAGTGGATTACTATACCCTGGACTACAGGTAAATAAAACATACAGTAGGAAGGTGTAGGGCTGCCACAGTGGATCCATGAGTCAGGCATTTCCTCACTTACTAGGAAATCCCGGATTAGATCCCGATGTTTTCCATGAAAGTTTCTTGAGAGTTCACATTTGTTTTAGGAGGTCACCTGTCCATCCTCATGGGTTTTCTTTGTGTCCTTAGGTGTCCTCCCACTGCTAAAGAGTCATATGCACAAGCGAATTATTGAAATAAACTTGAACCGTATGTTAGTTCCGAAATGACCTAGTTTGTGTTGAGTGGACGTTCAACCCTATTTCTCTCTCATTGCGGTTCTCTTAATTCAATAGTTAAATTGGGCGGGTCACAGTGGCTAAGTGGGTAAAACACTAGCTCTCTAGCCTAGAGGTCGGGTGTTCGACCGAGAAAGTTCATCCAGGTTTTCTGGTGTGGTTCCCCCATTGTTAGTGATGCAGGATGGAAGGCCTTAACAAGGACAGCTGTCTAGTCATTCGGATGGCACAAAAAACCTAGGTCCCATGTACACATTGGCATGCACGTAAAGGATCCCTTCACAATTGGAATTCGATATAAGAGTAGGGCGTAGTGCCGCTGTCCGGGCAAAATTTCCCTCATAGCACACTGTATGGCGTATGCCTGTCTTCATTACCCCAGTTCGGAGCAGAACAGTAGGACGTTAAACCCCATTTCATTTCATTTAGTTGAATTGGTCTGTCAAAATATTAATTAAAAGATATTTCTTACAGGCTTTAGACGAAGAATATTTAGATGTAGATGCTCAGTTTGGTGGCGTTGATCAAAGAAAAATATTTGTCTATGCTGAAAAATATCTTCCAATGCTCGGTTACAAGAAAAGAATTCATTTAATGAATCCGATGGGTAGGTATTATTATTAACGATTTCTCAGACCTAGATCCTGTTCCATTCTCCAAACAAGTCTTGCTATCCAGCATTCAACTCTGCCGTCAGCTCGCGCACTACAATGGATATTGGCCACGTGATTAACCTCTTGAAGAAAATGGCATTTGTCAGAAAAGTTCCTTGTGTTATACACACTGAATGAGTTTTAGTCAATTTTAGGGGGAAAATGTGTCATCATTTACTACCCCTCCAAGGGGGGCTGGATGGCCGAATTGTTAGCATGTGCGTGCTGTATCATATGGTCTGTCATTGAGTCAACTGGCATGGTTTCGAATCCCCGGTTGTACGTGATAAGGAGTAGGGTCGCCTGTCCAAACTCATGGGTTTTCTCCAGGCCCTCGGTTTCCTCCCACTGCTAAAGACCCCGATGCGCAAGCGAATTATAAAAATAAAATTGAACCATGTGTTAGTCCCAAAATGACCTAGTTTGTGTCGAGTGGACATCAAACCCCATTTCTCTCTCTCTCTCTCACTACCCTTCACTCCCCAAAATTATCTAAATTTGCATTTTTTATGTGTAAATGTATTTGGAATTACGATCGCGTTTAAAATTCTAAAATTAGGACGATGTCTTGCACAGTTTGTATTTATGGCTTTTTAACTTTGTAATCTTACGTGAAAGAGTTCCCTGTTACACATCTATTGTAGCAATAATCTTTTGTGTTCAAATTATATATCGAATGTTTTTAACCAGTTCTGTCACATATGTAATAATGGCTGCTTTAAGTATATATGAACTAATAATTTGTAATTGTAATTATAGTTCCAGGATTAACAGAAGCAGGTAAAATGAGCGCCTCAGATGAAGATTCAAAAATAGATATATTAGATTCACCAGAAAGTGTTAAACGGAAATTAAAAAAAGCTTTTTGTGAACCGGGGAATATTGAGAGAAATGGAATTTTATCTTTTTGTAAATATGTTTTATTCCCTGTAAATAACGGTAAGTTTATAGAGGTCTTCTGTTGTTATAAGGTCTTAAATTAAAGGGTCTTTTTGTTATTATCAGGTCTTAAGTTATAAGGTCTTCTGCTGTTATAGTGGTCTTTTGTTATTTTCACATCTTTTGTTAGTGACACATCTTTTGTTATTGTAGCATCTTTTGTTATTGTCACATCTTTTGTTATTATTACATCTTTTGTTATTGTCACATCTTTTGTTATTGTTACATCTTTTGTTATTGTCACATCTTTTGTTATTGTAACATCTTATGTTATTGTCACATCTTTTGTTATTGTAACACCTTATGTTATAGGGTCTTATGCACTAAGGTCTTATGTTATCATATTGGTCTTTTATTATTGTCACATCTTTTGTTATTGTAACATCTTATGTTATTGTCACATCTTTTGTTATTGTCACATCTTATGTTATAGGGTATTATGCACTAAGGTCTTATGTTATCATATTGGTCTTTTGTTATTATCATGTCTTATCTTATAGTGTCTTGTGCACTAAGGTCTTATGTTATCATATTGGTCTTTTGTTATTATCACGTCTTATCTTAGTGTCTTTTGCATGAAGGTCTTATGTTATAGGGGGCTTATGTTATAGGGTCTTATGCTAAAGTCTTTTGGATTGTAATGGGACCTTCTGTTCTAGGGTCTAATGAATTATTGTCTTATGCACTAGGGTCTTCTGTAATAGGATTTATGCACTGTTATAGGGGTCTCCATGCACTGTTATAGATCTTTATGTACTATTCTAAGGTCTTCTATTATAATGTCTCATGCATTGTTAAGAGTCTCATACACAGTTTAAAGGTCTTCTGTGGTGGTTAATTCCCAATCCGATAAAAATACAGATCTATATTTTATTTTGTTTTTTTATATACTTATAATGAAGATCTGACCAGTTGTTTTGGGAGGTCGCATCAGAGATCATATGAGCGGCTTTTGACCCTATGACCTCAGACATTTGATTAACTAATCAGCATCAGACATTTGATTAACCAATCAGCGTCGATCTTTATAATGGGTTACCACCAAAAATTCTCCGAACAGACCGTTTCATTGGCTAATCCCTCACATCATCCAGAACGTGGGTTATATAACAACTCTTCCAGATCCTTTTGTAGTAAAAACAAGTCAAACAAAATTTTGAACTATAAAAACGAAACGAATAGGATCTGTGTTTTGATCAGATTGGTTAGTTCCTTGAAAATAATAAAAATCTAAGCCTAGTCGAAAAGTTGCCCAGTAATAAACAGTTAGATATAAAACAAGTGGTGAAAAGCAGTTTTTATTAATATTTGGGCTGATTTATTTTTTTTGTGCTGATTTATTTTATTTTTTCATATTTTATAGAATTAGGTATAGAACGAAAAGAAGAATATGGTGGAAATGTTACTTACAATAATTATGATGATTTAGAAAAAGCGTTTGAAAAACAGGTATTATAGATTAAAATGGAATAAATGATTTTAGTTACATTACCTGATAAAATGAACCTGACATTCTAATGAGGACCACTTCAGCCATGTATTGAATAATATCATAAAAATAGAGAAATTAGTTCCTTGCGACTTGATTGCGCGTCCGTTAATTCAGAGCATTCCGAGCTGACAATCCAGCAGGTCCCTTCATATTTTAGTCAACAACATTAACAAGAGTTTATTGCATATTGTTTAGTATCTTCAGACATTGTTATTACTTGCATGTCGTAGTTTTGACTCTTGTTGGAGTCCGATTGTATTAACATGCACTCTACATCATAAGGTCTGTCAGCTGGTTTGAATTCCCAGCTTGTACGCGTCAATGAGTGGGCTTGCCTGTCCAACCTCATGAGTTTTTCAGGGTCCTTTGGTTTCTTCCCTCTGCTAATTTATTGAAATGAAATTGAACCATATGTGTCAAGTGGACATTAAACACTTGTGCGTGTGTGTGTCTCTCTCTCTCTCTCTCTCTCTCTCTCTTTTATCTTGTTTCTTGCTTATGTCTGTCACCACTTGACCACCTGACATCGTTTAACGCCATATTAATGTCTAGCCTTGTTTTACAGGACGTACATCCAGGAGATTTAAAATTATCTGTACAAAAAGCATTGAATAAATTACTGGAACCAATTAGAAAAGATTTCGAAAAACCAGAACTTAAAACTTTAATAGCACAAGCCTACCCACCTCCACCAAGTAAGTAACTTATACATGTTTATAAAAAATGATGCAATAGTAAGACACAAAACCATATCTGTCACAGGGGTGTTGTATGGCCAAATGGTTAGCAGGTGCGCATTGTATCATTAGGTCTGTCATTGAATCAACTGGCGTGGTTTCGATTCCCTGGTTGTGCATGACAAGGAGTAGGGTCGTCTGTCCAACCTCGTCAGTTTTCTCAGGGTCCTCTGCTTTCCTCCCACCGCTAAAGACCCCTACGGGCAAGCGAATTATTGAAATAAAATTGAACCATGTGTTAGTCCCGAAATGACCTAGTTTGTGTTAAGTGGATGTTAAACCCCATTTCTCTCTCTCTCATATCTGTCATAAAACTGTGAAATTAAACCCCAGTTCTCTCTCAGTAAGTTGGGCCACTTAGATTGATTTAATAAGCCTCTTATGCCACAGGAAGGCCAACCCTGCACCTAGACATTAATATTACAGCATAATAACGTTGAAATATATGAACAAATTGGGTTTTTTTTCTTTTTTTTAACAGAGAAGGGTGCAGCACTGGAAGAAATTGTACCAAGTAGACTTGATTTACGAGTCGGAAAAATAATCTCAGTGGAAAAGGTAGATATTTTTTAATCAGAAAATTGATGAAATGTGTGCGACATTTGTGTTGTCGGAAAATATTACAAATTTCCATGAGTAAATGTGTGCAAATTGATTATTTGAAATTTAATTCAGGAGCTAAATTTGCCTATTGCAGGTCTTTCTTAGGCTTTAAATGTTATATAAATTATTGATTAGACATTTATTAACATGACCAGAACATAATCAACCCTCGCTGCCATTTAATGATTTAGTTTGAAAAATTAATAAAAAAAAGAGTCTTGAATATACAAGTACCATGGTTACAATAATAAACAATCAATGCACGCATCATGTCTAAACTACAAATTTGATAACTTGGCTCAGAATAAAGTAATTTGAATGAAATTTTCAATATATTTATTTTGTTTTTGAACTATTATAGTACGAATGGCTAGCTCTTTATCTAAATCTTACATTATGTATCTTTAAGAATACAAAATCAAAATATCAATAGTTGATAATCGGGCAGCTTGGATTCAATCAGGTTAAAAAGAAAACCATCCAATTATTGACATATCTTGTCAGGGAAATACGAACCACGACCATTTTAGAGTTTTGAACATATATCTACTCACCTTGTTGTTCTTGGAAGTTATGAAAGTTATCATCCGATATGTATGAAATTTATATTCATCATTAAAATTTGTGAAACAGAGGTCTATTGAATTTCAGCTATTTCCGTCAATAATTTTTAGAGTTATGGCGATTGTGAACCTTGTGAATGTTTGAATGACAAAAGTGATCATCTGATCTGTATGAAATTTGTATGCATTATTTAAATTAGTAAAACGAAAAATCATGTCAAATTTCAACAATTTCTGTTGATTACTTCCAGAGTTGAGATCCTTGTTTCTGTTTGTAGAACCTTGTGAACCCTCTAAAAAGAAAATTGATAATCTGATCTGTATGGAACTGTCTTGTAAAGGCCCCCAATTACCTACAAAGGAATAAATATACGACAACCCTTGTCAATGGAACTTTTCGTCAATTGACAGACTTCGATTTTTTATATGACGTTGACTTCATGCTTAGGTCCTTGGACAATTGTGCACCAATTGACAGGCTTGGATTTTGTATATGATGTCATAATTCCAAAATGGCGATAATGGCTTCATGCTTTGTTCCAAATCATATGATCTTTTAGTTTAAACTTTACTTACACTTTCAGCATCCGGACGCAGACAGTTTATTTGTTGAAACTGTGGATCTTGGTGAGGAAGAACCCAGGACTGTTGTTAGTGGATTAGCTGGTCTCTATCCAATGGAGAAGTTACAGGATCGAGTGGCGGTCTTTATGTGTAATTTAAAGCCTGTTAAAATGCGAGGTGTTATGTCGCAGGCCATGTTGATGTGTGCTTCTACGTAAGTCTTACTTGGATCTATTCTTATAAGAAATGCATGGTGGGTTTGGATTGCCGAATGGTTAGCGTGTGTCAGTTGTATCATACGGTCTGTCATTGAATCGACTGGCGTGGTTTTGATGCCTTGGTTGTACGTGACAAGGAGTGAGGTCGCCTGTCCAATCTCATGGGTTTTCTTCTGGTTCTCCGGTTTCATCCCACTGAAACAAAATTGAACCATATGTTAGTCCCGTAATGACCTGATTTGGATTGAGTGGACATTAGACACCATTTCTCTCTCTAAAAGCTATAGGGTTCCTTTAAGTGCATGTCATATGTCAGTCTTCATCAGCTGTCTAGTCGTTTGGATGGGACAAAAAAAAAAACGAGGTCCCGTGTACACATTGTCGAGCATGTAAAAGATCCCTTTAAAGTTGGAATTCGATATAAGAGTATGCTGTATTGCTGCTGTCTGGGCAAAAATTCCCTCATAGCACACTGTATGGCGTATATCCGTCTTCATTATCCCAGAACAGTAGGACGTTAAACCCCATTTCATTTCAGGAATCAATTCTATTTATGTATCTCTAATTGTCGTTATTTTTATTTTCAGGACTGAGGCTGTGGAGCCACTTGAACCTCCGAGTGGAAGTTCTCCTGGTGAACGGGTTTATTTTGAAGGTCATGAGGAAGGTCAACCAGATGAAAAACTCAACCCAAAAAAGAAAGTTTGGGAAAAACTACAAGTGAGTAGACATTTATTAGAGACCCATTGCTCTTTGGTTTGTTTGATTGTGGGGGGTTGGATGGCCGAATGGTTAGCACGCGTGTGCTGTATCATACGGTCTGTCATTGAGTCAACTGGCGGGGTTTCGATTCCCCGGTTGTACGTGAAAAGGAGTAGGGTCGCCTGTCCAACCTCGTGGGTTTTCTCCGGGTCCTCCGGTTTCCTCCCACTGCTAAAGCCCCCTACGCGCAAGCGAATGATTGAAATAAAATTAAACCATGTGTTAGTCCCTAAATGACCTAGTTTGTGTCGAGTGGACATTAAACCCCATTTCTCTCTCTCTCTCTCTCTCTCTCTCTCTCTCTCTCTCTTGTTTGATTGTGAAATAGACTAAAACCAAGATACCACAGACAATAAAAAATGTCAAGTTAATGACAAAGCCCTTTACTCCAACATAAAAGAGAGCACTGGATTGGAGATGTCCTGCACATTTTAGCAAATATGACGTCATGTGGATTGTGGGTTAGGGTAACAGTAAGGACCTGCAGATTTCGTTAACGTCTTGAGATATAAACTGGGCTAGCACTAACCCTAACCCTGGACCAAGCCTAACCCTTACACTAACCCTAACGCACAATCCACATATGACGTCCATATGTGCAGGACCATCTCCGTACTAGCATTTCCTCATAAAAGAAATAATAAATAATGGACCAAGAATCAAAATTTTGAAATGAAATGAAATGGGGTTGAAATGCATCTAGGAAGTCAGTGGTTCTTATGTTGTAAGGCAGTGAATTCCATAAGAGAGGAGCAGAGAACGAGAAAGATATTTTTGTAATTTCAAGATTCACGGATGATTGATACAGAAATTGTTTATTAGTGGATCTAAGAGTGCTTGTGGATTTATATGGAAAATGAAATGATGGGGTTTAACATCCTACTGTTCTGCTCCAACTGTGCTTATGAAGACGGGCATACGCCATACAGTGTGTTCTGGGGGAAATTTTTCCTGGACAGCGGGCCTACTCTTATATCGAATTCCAACTGTCCATTGCCAGACCCTTGGTCATGCACCACTAACAAGGAGGAACCATGTCGGAAAAATCATGGTGAATTTTTCTCGGCCAACCCAGGGATCGAACATGGAACCTCCATGTTAGCGAGCCAACTTAATTCAAAATTTCCTAAAACTCAAATTGAAAACAAAACAGTCGGTTACGTTAACCTGTTTCAAGTCATAGTTTCGTGTTATTATTTTTTTTTATTTCTTTTTTTCAGCCGGATCTTTCAATATCTAACAGTCTGGTGGCACAATGGCAGGAATGTAACATGATGACCAAACTCGGCAATGTGACGTGTCCATCATTAAAGAAAGCTCCTATAAAATAATCAATATTAAAGTTAATTATTATTTATTGAAATACTGGTGAAATTAAATGAAATAAGGCACAAATTATTTATGTGATCATCTTAGTTAAAGCCGTTGATCCTCATTTCTATTTGTTAAGAGTCGGATAATATCAGATTTATCACAGCGTAACCCTTGCTAATTTGTACCCAAATTGATTATTTAATATTTAATTAAACATGCATTATTCAAGAGCTAAATCTGTCTATTGCATGTCTTTCTTTAGACCTGAAATGGTATCTAAATTATTAATTAAACATTCATTAACATGAAAAGACCTTAATCAACTGTCAATGCCATCTTATACGTCCGATTTTCATTGGATTTGAATCCGATTAGCTGCTCAACACTTATTGATGATTAAACGCAAAAATGGATAATCAAAACTATGTTAATTATCATGTAAGAATGACAATCAAGGCTACAGTGATTTTAAAATAGGGTTTTCTTGGATTAGAGAGAAGCAATTTGACTGAAATTTTCAGCATATATCCTTTACATTATCTAGTTTTTAACTATTATAGAGAGAACTTCCAGCTCTTTAATCTTCCATAATGTATCCCTCAAATGATGATCAACAGTTTTAAGGAATACATGTATATTGATATCATCGGTTCTCATCAAGGCCCCGAGTTCACAAAGCATTCTCAGTCTTAAAGGAGCTAAATCGCTAATATTTGGAACGTAGAAATTGACTCAAGTGGGTCGCAACTCATATAATACCGTAATATGAATGTATATAAACTGATTTACATTCAATCGTTTCCGTTTTTACTCTAATTTCAAATCAGTTATGTTCCATGAAATAAGCCAGCAGTCTCAATCGAGTGCAAATTCCTAGCGTCTGGTTATTCCAGTCTACATAAGCCGTTTGGTTTGGTGCAATATGTCTAGCCTCGTTCCTCTAGTCTCTTGCTAGAACTGGGGCTGAAACGCATTATGGTACACGATTCGTGTACCAATGGTAAAATATTTATTTTGTCTTAAATATTGGATATCAGAAGCCCACCCTTTTCCGGTAAGATCACAGCATCAATGTTGTTTTAAATTGACAAATAATTCGTGTTTTAAATGTTGAAGATTTTGGATGATATTGAGTTAGAGACTTAGCTCCTTTAAGTTGAGAATTTACTCAAAATTGTTCACCTTATTTTAACTAAAATATAGCCCTTTATAAAACTTTTGTTGTTTTAATGTATCAAATACATCAATAAGAAACTATGTGCAAAGTTTTGTGTTTTTGGATAAAAGATATTTCTCGTAAACAGTGATTGAAAGTTGAGTAAATTCTTAACTTAAATCTGAGAATACTTAGTGAACCCGGGGCCAGGTCATTTATGTAAAGGAGTGTCGTAACTTCAAACCATTATTAATGAAATTGCGTTTTAACTTTTTCATGATTTATCTATGTTAAATTGTTTATTTGTAACTCACATTATGAAAAAAATAACTTTTCAAATTTGTCTGTTTTCATTTCAAGTGTTTATTAGTACATCTCCTTATTTGGAGCTTTGGGGGGGGCGGGATGTTCGAGTGGTCTTATGCTTGCATTTCACAGTCACTGAGTCAAGTTTCTTGGATTTAATTCCCAGCTTGTACCTTACAAGGAGTATGATCAAATGTCCAATCTGATTTTATCCAACTGCTAAAGCCCCCAACATGCAAGCAAATTATTGAAATATGTTAGACCCAAAATGACCTAATTTGTATCGAGTGGACATTAAACCTCTCTCTTTCATCTCATAATATTTTCAGTATCATATTATTATGTTCACTCAGGTGATAATTACAGCATTGACTGGTTTGTAATCATTCATATTTAAAACTAGAATATATTATGACATTCAACACTGTAAAAAAAAAAAAACCACACAACACAGTTTATATGGAAATACAATCATTGTTTTACAGGCATAGCTTGACGTTTCGACGATAAGAGAATACTTGTCGAAACGTCGTGCTATGCCATTTGTTGTGTTTTTCTAATGTGTTTATTCGCTAAATGCCACTCAAGGATTATATTCAACACTGTAACCCAGGTATCATTTAATCTTGTGTATCTAGCACTAATTTCTTTCACTTTCATTCTTTGTTTAAAAATACTTGTAAATTGGACACTCATTATCAAAAATAATCAGTCAGCTTTAAACTGAACACAAGTACAAATTCGATGATTTGGGGTGATTTTAAATGATTTTATGATTTTTTAAGCAAAGATTTGATATTGAATGAATGTGAAAGAAATTAGTGCTAAATACACAAGATTAAATGATACCTGGGTTACAGTGCAATGCAACAGAAGGTATATGTTCCAATTCATTGGGCCACACCAGTTTCTAGGAATATCTTTACATCTATTACTCAATGCTAAGGAGGTTTTTCAGAGGAGCCATGGTGGCTAAGAAGGTAATATGTTGACTCGCTAGTCTGGAAGTGGCGTGTTCGATCCTTGCATTGGCCGAGAAAGTTCTTCAGGATTTTCCTATGTGGGTTTCCCCCTTGTCATTGTCGCAGGACCAAGGACAGCCATCTAGTCCCATGTACACATTGTCGTGCAGGTAAAAGATCCCTTGACAGTTGGAATTCCAGTAGGCCGTAGTGCCGATGTCCAGGCAAAATTACCCTCATAGCACACTGTATGGCGCATGTTTGTCTTCATTAGCCCAGATATATCAGATTAACAATCCCTGTCAACAATCACATACCCTAACCCTGTTTACTTCTCGTGACCATCCCGGAATCTGCAGGTAGCCTTAATATTTAGACCTGACAGGACAGATGAAGGTGCTAGAGGGGGCTGTAGTTTAACATGGTCCAGAAGCTAAAGGGTTAATATAAATTCTCTCAATATTTAATCTCACATGGAGATTGGGTGGCCGAATGTCTTACGCTTGCAAGGAAGGTTGGATGGCCGATGTTTAGTGTGTGCACGCTGCATCATAATGTCTCATTGAGTCAACTGGCATGGTTTTGCTTCTCCGGTTGTACTTGACAAGGGGTAGGGTCGCATGTCCAACCTCGTGGGTTTACTCCGGGTCCTCTGGTTTCCTCCGCAACAAACTGTTGAATGATATTCTAGTCCCAAAATGTCCTGGTGGGTGTTAAACCCCATTTTTCTCTCTCTCTCTCTCCCTCCCCTCTGCAGCGGATATAACCAAGCCAGTGCCAATTAATATCTCACACATATGGAGACTGATCTGAACAAATCAGATTGTAACCAAATGCAAGGAAACACTATAGTAGGGGTGGGAGGGGGGAGAGATGCGGTTTAACATCCGCTTGACACATATTGTCATTTCGGAACTAACATATGGTTCAATGCATTTTGTCTATAATTCGCTTGCACGTAAGGAAATTTAGCAGTGAGAGGAAACTGGAGGAGCCGAAGAAAACCCACGAGGTTGGACAGGCAACCCTACTCCTTTACAGACCTTATGGCGTCATAAGACCATCCAACACCCCTATAGATGGTAATCCAGAATGTTGAATTAAATTTTATCTGACACAATATTAAATTTAAAGTATAACAATTAAAATTATTTGTTTCATGTTTAGTTAAAATTGGCATAGTCTGTTGTGAATGTAATAACAAATAATGGTATTTTGTTTTATTAAATTATGACTCAATAAATATTTAATAAAAAAGAAGGTATAATTGTCTTTTTGTGTGTAGTGTTGTGTTTTGTTCATGTTTCTGGGTATGTAGTCCTACCGTATTTTTCGGTGTATTAGGCGCACTTTTTTTACCAGAAATTTTTATTTACAGAAGGGATGCGCCTAAAAAATAGTATTAAAGATACATTATGTAAGATTTAGATAAAGAACTAGCCATTCTTGCTATAATAGTTCGAAAGTAGATAATGTAAAATGAATAATTTGAAAATTTCATTCAAATTCCTCTATTGCAAGCAATAATTTCAACCACCGCACTGGTTGATCGAAGCTAAGTCTCGGTCCTCCATATTTGATTAAATCAAAGTATCGCTGAACCATTCTAATCTATTTAATATCGGAGAAATCTGATGCCATCGAGAGTTGATTAAGGCCTGGATCAGTTAATTAATGTCTAATTAATACTTTAGAAAACATTTCTGGACTAAAGAAAGACCTGCAATAGGCAGATTTAACCCTTGCATTATAAATGTTTAAGCTTTTCTTTATGTCAACATCGAAGTTGATGATGTCTGCATTATTGGTGTACCGCTTTTTGTATACCGTTAGCCATAAACGACAATGCTAACACAATGGCCCGATAGCGGATCAGCGTTTATAGTGTTTAAAATATCTGAAAAATCATCGTCAATTAACTGATGACATATATTTCTGCTGTTCCGTAAAATGTGTACCGATACTATTAGCCGTACCCCAATGCATGCAGTGTCCCGTTCAATGGTGTTGTCCGTCAAGTTGACGAAAGTGCTTTTAGAAATGAAATCAAATGAAATGGGGTTTAAAGTCCTACTGATATGCTCCGATATGGGCTAATGAAAACGGGTATACGCCACGCAGTGTACTATGAGGGACATTTTGCTCGGACAGCGGCACTACGGCCTACTCTTATATCGAATTCCAACTGTCAAGGGATCTTTTACGTGCACGCCAATGTGTACACGGGACCTCGGTTTTTCGTCAGCTGTTCTTGGTCCTGCGACAATGACAAGGGGAAACCATGTCGGAAAATCCTTATGAACTTTCTCGGCCAATGCAAGGATCGAACACGCGACCTCCAGACTAGCGAGCCAGCATCTTAAATAACAGTTAAGCGTCCGTCATTAACACATTCAACCAATTCTTTCTCAATTCGTGGATAACGTGCGGCGCTCCATTATTCGCTTCTCTACTTCGTTTCATGTCACTAAGTTTCCTCTTTATAACCCTCCAAAGTCTCGCATTCGACTCACCCAAAGCGAACTAAATTTACGACCCGTTTTAGGTTACCGAAAGTTGTCATACACAACATGGATTCAGTGATTGATCCATTGTTATCATTTACCGGTATAGTTAATTATCTACCAGTGAGTTATCCTCTAATATTTAGCACCCAGGGAATGTAGTTTTTCAAAATCAAGATTACTAACATTTAAAAAAAGATAGACTAAAACAGGGTTTTTAAAAATAAGTCCTAAATGCTTTTGTGAGACAAAGACCAATATCTGCTCTGACAAAATATTCTGGCACTATATTTTATGCATCTAATACTTCTCATGGTCCTAGGAACTTAAATTCTCAGGATTTAAAACCTTTTTAAAACCGTTAATAGAATTTGCGCTTTTGGTTTCATTTGCTATTGAATTCCATAACTTCGGAGCACCGACTACGAAAGATCTATCGCCGGGGTTGGTTTTTGAAAAACGCTTAACTAAGAGGTTGTCTGACTGTGATCGAAGGGTTCTATAAGGTTTATTGGTGTTGAGAAGGTCTCTAAGGTATTGAGACGAAGAATCGTCATTTAGAGCAGAATTGGTGGCATATGTTCATTTGGTTTGGTCTTGGTTATGATCAGGGCTGCTTTATTTTTAAGTTTCTGAAGTCGTTTTATTTTATTTTCTGGTAGATTGTACAAAAGTGAGTTACAGTAGTCGAGTCTTGACGTAACCATAGTGTTTACCACCATTTTAGTCGTGTCACTATCAATGACAAATCTAATGTTTCCAATATTATAAATCTGAAACTTAATAATTTTACACATGACCGAAATTTGTTTATTCATGTCCAGATTAGAGTAATTTTACACAATCTGTTGTTATAATAGAGATATTGCCAATTTGATAATTTTCTGTTTTAGATTTTAGTAGTTGCTGCCTACTGCCGACTTTCATTATTTCTGTTTTGTCATCGTTGAGTTTTAATGAATTTGAGTCCACCCGTTTACGAATATCTGATAAACATACCGCATAAGGTTTCAGAGGAAGGCTCAAAGGCTATATAAATTTGAGTGTCGTCGGAATACAGATGGTAGTTAAGATCGTGTTTACGAATGATATTTCTTAAAGATGTTGTGTATGTAGTAAATAATAAAGGACCGAGAACGGAACCCTGTGGTACGCCATACTTTAAAACCGTTGAGTTGGATGAAGAATCTTTGATAACAAGTCTGTGTTCGGTTTTCAAGGTATGACTGGAACCAGGCAAGGGCTAGTCGACTTACCCCAAAGTTGTTCAGGGCTAGTACTGATTTTTGTTTCTTGTCCATTTTGTTTAGTAAGTCATTTTGAACACGCAATAAAGCGGTTTCACTGCTGTTTCTATATGCAGATTGGAATCCTTCTTTGAGGTTGTTATTATGCAAATGTCTTTTAAATTCGGATGCAACGGCTTTCTCTATAATTTGGAAAGGAAGTAAAGATTAGAAACCGGTCTGTAATTCTATAGTAATTCTTTATCGCCTCTTTCAGAACCTCCGACATACAGAAAGATGCCCAAGTGAAATTTACAATATCCATGATAGCTGGGTCCATCAC